GGACCTGTTGTGTGATGATATTGACAATAGGGATGTTGGTGATAATGGCACGTGTATCAAAATATTTGTTTTCTCACAGGTCGCAAAATCTTTACAGCGGCAATTGCTATATTAACACCAATTTGCTCACAAGTCACTCTTCATACAAAAAATATGAAGAAAATTCCAAATGTTTTGTCATTGTGTTAAAAATGATTAATTATCCTTCGTTTACCAAATAATTTGTACGGCAAATAAAATCACACAAATCAGATAAAAATGTGCTCAGTCGATTTTACTTAAATAACACATTACTATGGGCAGACCTGCCACTCTTAGCATCACAGGCAGCCTGCTCGACGTTACAAGGGTTCTGTCACGCCGACACACGTACATGCCAGGATGACAGGCTGACTGACAGAGCAATCAGGGCTGCCGTACACCGAGAGCTGCTGATGTGCTCTAATATAAGTTTAAATGGATTTAAATGCCTTGTATTCAATTCTAAGTGCGGTGTGGATGCCATAGGTGTTAAAGGGTGTTGCAATGTGTGCCTGGGAAGCCGTGTGTGCTTGCTCTGCGCTCTGCAGGGGCTGGGCCTGGGAGCAGTGTGTGTTTGATCTGTGCTTTGCAGGGGCTGGGGAGCAGTGTGTGCTTGCTCTGTGCTTTGCAGGGGATGGGGAGCAGCGTGTGCTTGTTCTGCGCTCTGCAGGGGCTGGGCTTGGGGAGCAGTGTGTGCTTGCTCTGTGCTCTGCAGGGGCTGGGGAGCAGTGTGTGTTTGCTCTGTGCTTTGCAGGGGCGGGGGAGCAGTGTGTGCTTGCTCTGTGCTATGCAGGGGCTGCGCCTGGGAGCAGTGTGTGCTTACTCTGTGCTTTGCAGGGGCTGGGGAGCAGTGTGTCTTTGCTTTGTGCTTTGCAGGGGCTGGGCCTTGGAGCAGTGTGTGTTTGCTCTGTGCTTTGCAGGGACTGGGCCTGGGAGCAGTGTGTGCTTGCTCTGTGCTCTGCAGGGACTGGGCCTGGGAGCAGTGTGTGCTTGCTCTGTGCTCTGCAGGGGCTGGGCCTGGGACCAGTGTGTGCTTGCTCTGTGCTTCACAGGGGCTGGGCCTGGGAGCAGTGTGTGCTTGCTCTGCGCTCTGCAGGGGCTGGGCCTGGGAGCAGTGTGTGCTTGCTCTGCGCTCTGCAGGGGCTGGGCCTGGGAGCAGTGTGTGCTTGCTCTGCGCTCTGCAGGGGCTGGGCCTTGGAGCAGTGTGTGCTTGCTCTGTGCTCTGCGCTCTGCAGGGGCTGGGCCTTGGAGCAGTTTGTGCTTGATCTGTGCTTTGCAGGGGCTGGGCCTATCTCTGTCTCTATCTCTTAGATTTTACTTAATTTTTACTCTTTTATTTTTATTATTTAAAACTATACTTCAAGCAATTAATCGCTACTGCAAGTGTCAGCTGATCACTCTCAGCCAATGAGATCGGTACTGCACTGCAGAGCTTGGCTCAGGAGAACTAACAAAAGGCCCTGATTAAGAGCTTCTAGGTCTCTGATACTATGAGCTGAGGTAAGAGGTCAAAGTGCTCAAAAACAATCTGTATTATTATATAGACTGTTCAATAAAAATATGACAACATTTCATTCTTTGTGTGTTAATAGTTTAAGCAGACTGTGATTGTCTATTGTTGTGACTTAGATGATGATCAGATCACATTTTATGACCAATTTGTGCAGAAATCCATATCATTCCAAAGGGTTCACGTACTTTTTCTTGCAACTGTATGTACCCGGTTATTACAGATATTATAAAGCTATGTACCCGGTTATTAAGATTATTATAAAGCTACGTGCCCGGTTATTATGGATATTATAAAGCTATGTACCCGGTTATTATAGATATTATAAAGCTATGTGCCCGGTTATTATAGATATTATAAAGCTATGTACCGGTTATTATGGATATTATAAAGCTATGTACCCAGTTATTATGGATATTATAAAGCTATGTACCCGGTTATTATAGATATTATAAAGCTATGTACCCGGTTTTTATAGATATTATAAAGCTATGTACCCAGTTATTATGGATATTATAAAGCTATGTACCCGGTTATTATAGATATTATAAAGCTATGTACCCAGTTATTATGGATATTATAAAGCTTTGTACTGGTAATTATGGATATTAAAAAGCTATGTATCTGGTTATTATAGATATTATAAAGCTATGTATCCGGTTATTATGGATATTATAAAGCTATGTACCCGGTTATTATGGATATTATAAAGCTACGTGCCCGGTTATTATAGATATTATAAAGCTATGTACCCGGTTATTATGGATATTATAAAGCTATGTACCCGGTTATTATAGATATTATAAAGCTATGTACCCGGTTATTATGGATATTATAAAGCTACGTGTCAGGTTATTATAGATATTATAAAGCTATGTACCCGGTTATTATAGATATTATTATGGATATTATAAAGCTATGTACCCGGTTATTATGGATATTATAAAGCTATGTACCCGGTTATTATAGATATTATTATGGATATTATAAAGCTATGTACCCGGTTATTATAGATATTATAAAGCTTTGTACTGGTAATTATGGATATTAAAAAGCTATGTATCTGGTTATTATGGATATTATAAAGCTATGTACCGGTTATTATGGATATTATAAAGCTATGTACCCGGTTATTATAGATATTATTATGGATATTATAAAGCTATGTACCCGGTTATTATGGATATTATTATGGATATTATAAAGCTATGTACCCGGTTATTATGGATATTATTATGGATATTATAAAGCTATGTACCCGGTTATTATAGATATTATTATGGATATTATAAAGCTATGTACCCGGTTATTATAGATATTATTATGGATATTATAAAGCTATGTACCCGGTTATTATAGATATTATTATGGATATTATAAAGCTATGTACCCGGTTATTATAGATATTATTATGGATATTATAAAGCTATGTACCCGGTTATTATAGATATTATTATGGATATTATAAAGCTATGTACCCGGTTATTATAGATATTATTATGGATATTATAAAGCTATGTACCCGGTTATTATAGATATTAGCGGGATATTATGTGCCATGTACCCGGTTATTATAGATATTATAAAGCTTTTGTACTGGTAATTGCGGATATTAAAAAGCTATGTATCTGGTTATTATGGATATTATTATAAAGCTATGTACCGGTTATTTATTATGGATATTATAAAGCTATGTACCCGGTTATTATAGATATTATTATGGATATTATAAAGCTATGTACCCGGTTATTATGGATATTATTATGGATATTATAAAGCTATGTACCCGGTTATTATGGATATTATAAAGCTATGTACCCGGTTATTATGGATATTATTATGGATATTATAAAGCTATGTACCCGGTTATTATGGATATTATAAAGCTATGTACCCGGTTATTATGGATATTATTATGGATATTATAAAGCTATGTACCCGGTTATTATGGATATTATAAAGCTATGTGCCCGGTTATTATGGATATTATAAAGCTATGTACCGGTTATTATCGATATTATAAAGCTATGTATCCGGTTATTATGGATATTATAAAGCTATGTACCCGGTTATTATGGATATTATAAAGCTATGTATCCGGTTATTATGGATATTATAAAACTATGTACCCGGTTATTATAGATATTATAAAGCTATGTGCCCGGTTATTATGGATATTATAAAGCTATGTACCCGGTTATTATAGATATTATAAAGCTATGTACCCGGTTATTATGGATATTATAAAGCTACGTATCCGGTTATTATAGATATTATAAAGCTATGTACCCGGTTATTATGGATATTATAAAGCTATGTACCCGGTTATTATGGATATTATAAAGCTACGTGCCCGGTTATTATAGATATTATAAAGCTACGTGCCCGGTTATTATAGATATTATAAAGCTATGTGCCCGGTTATTATGGATATTATAAAGCTATGTGCCCGGTTATTATGGATATTATAAAGCTATGTACCCGGTTATTATAGATATTATAAAGCTATGTACCCGGTTATTATGGATATTATAAAGCTATGTATCCGGTTATTATGGATATTATAAAACTATGTACCCGGTTATTATAGATATTATAAAGCTATGTGCCCGGTTATTATGGATATTATAAAGCTATGTACCCGGTTATTATAGATATTATAAAGCTATGTACCCGGTTATTATGGATATTATAAAGCTACGTATCCGGTTATTATAGATATTATAAAGCTATGTACCCGGTTATTATGGATATTATAAAGCTATGTACCCGGTTATTATGGATATTATAAAGCTACGTGCCCGGTTATTATAGATATTATAAAGCTACGTGCCCGGTTATTATAGATATTATAAAGCTATGTGCCCGGTTATTATGGATATTATAAAGCTATGTACCCGGTTATTATGGATATTATTATGGATATTCAGATTTCAATACCAGACAATATACAGTTATTTCCCAAACTGCTGGACACTGTGCGACCTGTTTGCAGTTCCCAGTCACAGGGACAGTTTTATAGCTAAACATTGACTCTTTATATTGATATTGTGATTCGGGACTATTGATATCTCCTGGGAGTGACAATAATAATAATAATATTAATACTAATAATAGTAGTAATAATTATAATACTATTAATAATAATAATACTAATATTAATAATAATAATACTACTAATATTAATAATAATAATAATACTACTAATATTAATAATAATACAGAATGAATGTTTCCATTGAGCTCTGTGTCTCAGTGTGTGGGTAATGGGATTTCATGTGTCATGCTTCTTGTCAGGACAGACATGTGTTAATAAAGCTTTATTGAAAGCAGAAAACACTCATTTGTTGGTAGCTGTCAGGGGCACCGCCCTATTAGGAGGAGCCAACCAATGAGGTGCATAGTTTCGTTTCTCTGTTTTGAGCAGTTGCCATGGGAATGAGGCGCGCGTGCAGTGCGCGTGCGCGGTATGACAGCCCAGCTCGCGGCCAGAGTTCCGCAAGTCATAGTCAGAGCGGCGCGAGGAGGCTGTGCTGGAATCCGCGTGACCTCGGTCTGCAGGGCAGCCAATCAGGAGGCGCCTTACCTGAGCCCCAGGTAAGACCGCGCGGCTCGGGCTCTAACTCCGGCTGTGGGATCCACCAATCAGCGCACTGTATTCTGCTGAGTGACAGCTCTCTGACCAATCATCTGTTACAGTGGTCCCTCCCACCTGCCCTGGCAGAGGGATCAGACTCCATCATGGGGGGGAACAGAGGGAAGGGCCTCCCATGAGGGGGAGGGGGTGGGGTAAATGTATTGACCTTTGGTGTGGTATAAAGTGATTTTATTTTACTCCTTAAAGGGACACTACAGGCACCCAGACCCCTTCAGCTTAAAAGAATCAATGAACACCCAATGTACAGCGCTACAGAATGTGATGGCGCTATATAAATAATACAATAATAATAATTCACGCCCCTGCAGTCTCACTCATTGGCTCTCTTCCATGTCGGAGTTAAATAATTTGTGTTTCTGTTTATGTTGTCCTAGCCTCGCCTTCCCTGACTGTGACTCACCCAGCGGCATGAAAAGCATTGCTAAAAGGGACACTCCACAAACCTGAAGCAGTCTAGCTTGCTGGACCACTTTGTGTGTCCTCTGGTTTTCATTTTAGAAAAAAATGTAGATTTCAATAGAATGAACCTGGTTATACCACTCCCCCCCAGCTGCCAGTCAGAAATCTGATCCTGTCACTTCCTGGTTTGGTTAGCTCAGTGTTACTTCCTGGTTTGTTTCACTCAGTGGAGATAAACTCAAGAGGCAGCAGTTTCCCAGAGCACCTTCCTTGCAAAGACTTCTCATTGAGCTGCCGTGATTGGACAGACACCTGAAACCTGGGAGGTGGGCACTGATTTCTATTTATTTTATAAATAATTTGATGTGGCAGTATGGAGATTGTACATCCTGCTGGGTCATACAATTCATGTCAGAGATTGATCCTAGGATATAGCTAGAATGTGCAGCCACGTAGGGAGAATCAGAACGTGTCACCTTTCATTATTTGGATTCTGCAATGATGATTTATATCGGGGGTTTCTAGACTAATTACAAAATGCCGTTTCCCCAGAATGTGTGTATTTAGGGCTTCACCTGTATGGTGCTCCAGTGCTGAAATTCTCGCAGTATGAATGACAGAAACATTAATAGGGCTTCTGTCATCCCAACGCCATCTATCAGATCAACGTTTCAACCCACCTGTGTCCAGCAATAAGTGATGCATTGCAACCACAAATATATACCGTGACTTTATCCCCCTGACCCCAATGCGGAGTGACTGCCCCCTAGTGTTGGTATGGCATGCCATCGCCTCAGGCCCGAGCAAGTGATCGCTGCTTTCAACCATTGAGTTTAGGTAAAATTAGCTTAGCAGGAAATATGGTAGGAACGGATAACTGAGCTGGATTACCCTATGCCATTGTTTGGTAATAAATAAAACCGTATTGTGTGCTGGAACAGAGCATGTGATAGCTGTGTGTGCAGGGTAACATTATTTATTTTAGGCCCCTCCGGTCAGCCTGGCACCCAGCCTTTCTTCAATAAAAGCATTGGTAAACTGCAGGTCGTTAATTCATTATATAAATGATATAAGACTTCGTGTGAAGTGCCTGGGCATAAACGAATGTTGTTATACCATAAGCTTGCCATTGTCACTGATTATTTATAGAAGATCTTATACACCTTTGAAATATGTTTTTGTGCCGGTACCAAGCAAGAACTGGGCAGACTGGCGCTTCTTAAAGGCAAACGAATTGTATGTTTATAATGTTACTGTGTAACGTCATATCGTAGCTGGAGTGATCGCTAGACATGTGCATGTATATTGTAGGAGCAGAGTCGGCTGCTTGGCCGTGTGGATGTGGCGGGGCCTGACATGCGCAGTTACTACAGTCACCATCACCGCTGCGCTAGCTGCCATGGGAAGGTGCGGACGTCTTGGCAGTCACTTGCTGATGCTCTCCTGCCCCAATTGCTTAACATCTGGCTTTATAAATGTGTTGCCCTGCTGTGTTTAATAAGAATACTAAAACTAAGATGTGTGTTTCTGTTTGGACACACTGTAAGATAACTCATCTATAAAAGAAGCCGGAAGCTCCTGTCTACCATAACTGCACCAGAATTTACTTTATATCTGTCTTGTTGCTCACTCATGCTCCGTGTTAATGATTAAATTAATCATGTGTTGGAGATTAATGCTTAATTAAGGCTGAAATCGAGCCTCCGCGGACTGCTTAGGCCCTGTCTGTAGCATGTGTGCTTTCTGTGTTATTTTGACCCTTTCTGTTCCCCGTATGTGTGACATATTAATGATTGTAATGAGAGTAAGAGTGTCCCATTTTATCCCACCCCCTGCAGCATCCTGTCCTCTTATTGGTTCCATAAATCCAATTCCTCCATGGCTGCGCATGTCAAGGCGTTAACGTCTCCATACCCAGGATCCCAGGTTAATCGGTGGCCAGTCCCTTCAGAAAAGGTCAGCTGGTCCATAGAATGGCCAGAGTATAAACCTGTTGAGTACACTGCCCCCTCTGTGCTCGCTCAGCCCCCCTGGGCAGACCCTCCACTCAGGTGAGAGACATTCTTTGCTGCAGTCTCTCTGTTTCCATGTTCCTTGTGAGTTCTACCTTTGCCCCACTCTACCTATGCCCTCGTCGTGCGCCCAGTGTTTTATACATACCCACCTTTTTTATATCCTCATTCTGTATCCACCTTTCAAAATCTGCAGAAAGTAAACCCCCTTCAAATACCTCTTTCTACTAACCCTTCTATATCTTTATTTCTCTATTGCCTGCTCTTTATAGCCCTATCCCATGCCCACTTTTGTACATTATAATTTTAGTTATACTGTATTTTAACCCCATTTGTACCGTTCTGAATCTTCACCCTGTAGCCATCTTTGTACATATTCACTTTGTAATTACCATTCCATATTCTCAGTACTTATTTTTAATTTCCTTATTCCGAATCCCCCTTTCCCACCCTGTGCCCATCTTTGTATATTGGGACCTCCCTTCTAATTCCTCATCCTGAGCCATTTGTCAATATTCTCCGCAGTGATGGCAAGTTCTCTCCACAATTCAATACCCTTGATGGAAAGGTGCAGAGAGAGAGTTTAGAAGGAACATATCACACAGAGAATGGGACGCCACGGTGAGTGTAGACAAAACAGGGCTCTGGCTTTTACCCTGATCTGTGTAATATGTGTTGCTTTGTGTTTCGTAGGAACCCTGCAGGGCGTACAGGGATAATAGGAAGGGGTCTACTGGGAAGATGGGGACCCAACCACGCAGCTGACCCCATCATAACAAGGTGTGGCCACTAGTTGTTTACATACTCCCTGTCCAGTCTGCCACTCCATTCGTCCTCCATAACGCTCTTGTACTTTAGGTGGAAGCGTGATGCCGCTGGTCAGAGAGTTACCGACCCTGGCTCTGGCAAGCCCGTCCTCCAGTTTGTAGCCATAGAGAGGAAGGACTGTGGGCAGTGGGCAATCCCAGGGGTAAGTGAACCTAAACTCACTATTTCCTGTGACTCTGTGCCTTATCACCACATGCGATGACAGTTCTTCCAGTCCCTTGGCATCACGCTAAGTCTGTCCGCCATCCGTCTGTCTGTCTCCCTTTCTTCTATACAATGTTAGAACTGCTTTATGTAGCCACCAGCTAATGCCAAGTAATATAGGTTCAGTTTAACAAACCCATACAACACGCTGCTCTGATATAAATGGATATGTCTGTACACACGCTGCTCTGATAGAACTGGATATGTCTGTACACACGCTGCTCTGATAGAACTGGATATGTCTGTACACACGCTGCTCTGATAGAACTGGGTATGTCTGTAAACACGCTGCTCTGATAGAACTGGGTATGTCTGTACACACGCTGCTCTGATAGAACTGGGTATGTCTGTACACACGCTGCTCTGATAGAACTGGGTATGTCTGTACACACGCTGCTCTGATAGAACTGGGTATGTCTGTATACACGCTGCTGTGATAGAACTGGATATGTCTGTACAAACGCTGCTCTGATAGAACTGGATATGTCCATATACACACACTGCATAGGTCTTGGTGCATTCACAGCCTGAGCTGTGTGTTTCCTATCTCTCAGGGCATGGTGGATCCCGGTGAGCTGGTGACAGCTACACTTCGCAGGGAATTCTGCGAGGAGGCTCTCAACTCTCTGGAGAAAGAAGGAGACGAGAAAGAGACAGAGGACAAAATCCAGACTCTATTCTCTCAGAAACCTTTACCGGTAGGAAGTGCAATATTATCCTATATGTACGATCTGACAGATTAATATCCAAAATATCGCTCCTCACTTCATTCAGGCAGTGTGTTAAGATTAGCCACAGAAACACATTTTAACAAAAAGGAACAGTGCAGTTTAAGAATTGTACCAGTATCCAAATGTATACAAACAGATTGGTTTACATTTTAGCCATCCAGAACTGTTTACATTTAAAGGGTGCAGCTTGCTCAAACACGTTGTTCAAGTCTGTCCATCTATATGCTCACTTGAACTGGCAAATAGATTGTGTCCCAGGCACGCTGAGACTTGTGATCACATCAGAGCAATCCATCTGTTTCTATAACGATGGTCCGTATGTGGGATCGCTTGTCATGTTTTCCCGGTGACTGTATTCCCAGCCCAGCAACGTGGGAGCTAACCAGAAACGTGATTTTCTCAAGATAGTTGTAGGACAATAGATTGCACTGCTCCTCGCCAGCTATAACCGAAACTAAGCACCGCTTGTCAGCATTCCTTTATATTTGTTTTGTTACTGAGTTCACCCCTTGTTCTCACTTCAGTTTTGGTTTTATTTAAAAAAGAAGCTGTACTTTAATCATCTCCCTCTTTAGTTTTATCCCCGGTATAAGAGATGTCCCCAGGAAACCTACCGATTCCTATAAGGCAGGTTTCCCTGCTATGTTATGTGTAACCCGTGCGCAGCTGTGACTGATCAGAGAACATGCCAGATATCCACTACCCTCCATTATGTGTCCTCTGTCACAGGTGTATAAAGGCTATGTAGATGATCCCCGTAACACGGATAATTCGTGGATGGAGACGCAGGCTGTTAATTATCACGATGAAACAGGTGAGGCACGGAGCAAAGTCTAACTAATTCTTCCATTTTTTTGTTGCTATGATTGTACTCCCTAACGTGTCTTTGTCTGTGTCCCCCGAAAGGTGACTTGCTGGACTTGCTGCCGCTCCAGGCTGGTGACGATGCTGGGAAGGTGCAGTGGGTGGATGTAAGCAGTAGTTGCAGCCTGTATGCCAGTCATTCCAATTTTATCAAGCTGGTAGCAGAGAAGCATGATGCCAACTGGTAGGAGAAGAGCCTGACACTCCCATCAGACAAGCCGCACTATTCCTGCACTAAATTACTGCGTTCATCTCAGTTACACTCTGGTTGCTGCCTGGTAGACATTCCTTGGCTTTGTGAGAAAGCTCAGCCCTAGACGGTGTGGGCCCTGCCCTTGGAGTGGTTATTCTGTATAAAAGCATTTAATGGCTGTACTTGGCAGGATTTGAAGGATTTATTTTATAACCTTTGGAATATGATGTGTAATAAAAGAATAATTCAAACATTTCTGTGTGCACAGTATTCTGCTCTGCTATTCCTTGTACTCCTCTCCCTACGTGTCATTCTACTACTCCAGCACGTCGCTTCACACTCTGCTAAACCAGCATATCTTTACTCCAGCCGATATTCTATCATGAAAAACCATGCGGCTGCTGCAGGCTATCCTTACTACACACCATTCTACTACTCCATATTCTCACTACACACCATTCTACTACTCCATCTTCTCACTACATACCACTCTGTCTTCTCACTACACACCACTCTACTACTCCATTTTTTTTTCACTACCCACCACTCTACTACTCCATCTTCTCACTACACACCACTCTACTACTCCATCTTCTCACTACACACCACTCTACTACTCCATGTTCTCATTACACACCACTCTACTACTCCATCTGACCACTACACACCACTCTACTCCTCCATCTGACCACTACACACCACTCTACTATTCCAGCCCGACATGGCACACTGCTCTCCTACTCCATGTTCTCACTACACACCACTCTACTACTCCATCTTCTCACTACACACCGCTCTACTACTCCATCTGACCACCACACACCACTCTACTCCTCCATCTGACCACTACACACCACTCTACTATTCCAGCCCGTCATGGCACACTGCTCTCCTACTCCATGTTCTCACTACACACCACTCTACTACTCCATCTTCTCACTACACACCGCTCTACTACTCCATCTGACCACCACACACCACTCTACTCCTCCATCTGACCACTACACACCACTCTACTATTCCAGCCCGTCATGGCACACTGCTCTCCTACTCCATGTTCTCACTACACACCACTCTACTACCCCATCTTACCACTAGACACCACTCTACTACTCCATCCTGATATTGATTGCCCCTGTATTATTCCTTGATATCCATCCACCCAGTCAGTCTCTTCCTCTATACCCGTATACAGCTACACACCACTGTGCAACTACTTTTAACTGCCCTACTATTCCACCCACTTCTCCAGTATTCACTTACACATCACTCTGCACCCAACTACTATTCCTGCGTTCCCCTGTCTATCTGTCTTTCCTGTGTGGCTAACTCTGCTATTCTAGCAATTAACCCTGTCACTAGCTTTTACTGCTATTCCTGTATTAGATTTATGTTGTTCTTATTATCGCTATTTATATAGCGCCAACAGATTTCGTAGGGGGATTTAACTATAAAACGACATTTACAAGAAAACTTACAGGAACGATAGGTTGAAGAGGACCCTGCCCAAACAAGCTTACAGTCTATAGGAGGTGGGGTATAACACACATTAGGACAGGACTAGCCCTCACTGCTATTCCTGTATTAGCGTTGTATCCCTAGCCCTCACTGCTATTCCAATACTGAACCTGTGTCACTAGCTCACTGCTATTCCTGTATTCGTGTTGTATCCATAGCCCTCACTGCTATTCCTGTATTTGTGTTGTATCCATAGCCCTCCCTGCTATTCCTGTATTAGAGCTGTGCCCATAGCCCTCACTGCTATTCCTGTATTAGAGCTGTGTCCATAGCCCTCACTGCTATTCCTGTATTAGTGTTGTATCAAAAGCCCTCACTGCTATTCCAATGCTGAACCTGTTTTACTAGCTCACTCTGCTATTCCAATACTGAACCTGTGTCACTAGCCCTTACTGCTATTCATCTATTAGTGTTGTATCCCTAGCCCTCACCGCTATTCCTGTATTAGAGCTGTGTCCATAGCCCTCGCTGCTATTCCTGTATTAGAGCTGTGTCCATAGCCTTCACTACTATTCCAATACTGAACCTGTGTCACTAGCTCACTCTGCTATTACAGTAAGGGACTTGTGTCTCCACCACTCTGCTATTCCAAGGGCCCTATTACCGCTGCTATTGCATTCTTTGTGCTGATTATTGGTTGACTGGAGGGCAGTGGGTGGGAGGAATGGCAGGGAGGGTCAGGCATCTGCCCAAACTGGTTCTGTGTCCTGTGTGTGTACAGGAGGGGAGCGGGTATGTACCTGTCCTGGAATGTACAGGGGTGTGTTATTGAGATAACGATTAACCCTTCACTGTCTGAGATACAAGGACATACTACTTTATCGTTATTCAAAGTGTGGGCATCTTTTAATTGAGCTTGTCCAATGACTCGTAAAAGGATGGAATTACTATATCTGCCATTGTATACGCAGGTGACAAAATAGTGTTGTAACGGACCGTTTTGCACCCAAGAGGTTAAAAACCGTTTACAGTTCCACAGTTTGGGCACTGAACACCACTGGCTGTTCGGGAGTTTAAAATGGCCGCCGCCACGTGTTCGGCAACCGAACAAAGGCCACCCCGCATTCGTCAATTAAGCTGCAGTTAACCGCAGCTTCTGGGAGGTAAATTACCGACACACTCCATCTCCCAGGTGGTCCAGTTATTCGTGCGTTAGTTCGGTAGATTGAATCTACCGACCGCCGGGCAGAAAGGCACGAATAAGCCTTTTCTGCCAGGGGAAAGAAGGCTTTTAACATGGGGCCATAGTCCAAAGGCAACAGGCGAGCAACCAGGCTTCTCCAATGCAATGTGGCGAGATTGGTCTCGTCACATCTCTCCCCTTTTCCAAACAGACTAACAGGGTATCTGACCTCCTGCCGGTCAGTGCCCTTGTTAGTCCAGCAGCCCACCCACAGTAACTGGTTACTACACCTGGGTAGAGGAGAACTTGGAACTGAGTGGGCAGAGACCAGCGGTAGTAGCCTGATTGTTGGAGGGGGAGACCGACTGTCTCCCCTTTGGATACACAGTTCTGCTGCTGGAGGGGGAGACCAACTGTCTTCCCTTTAGATACACAGCTTTGCTGCTGGAGGGTGAGACCGACTGTCTCCCCTTTGGATACACAGCTCTGCTGCTGGAGGGTGAGACCGACTGTCTCCCCTTTGGATACACAGCTCTGCTGCTGGAGGGTGAGACCGACTGTCTCCCCTTTGGATACACAGCTCTGCTGCTGGAGGGGGAGACCGACTGTCTCCCCTTTGGATACACAGCCCTGTCGCTGGGGGGGCAGGACCGACCGTCCCTACACCCTGTGCTGAAAGTGCAGAGACCACGGTCCCATCTGCACGGTTGTTTACTGTCCCCCCCTGGTAGGTTAAGCTGCCGCTGGGGAGAGGGGGTAACAAGCTCCTCTCCCATATATACTTCCAGCCGTGGTGGAGGGAGACCGACTGTCTCTGCTCCCAATACAGAGTCCTGATGCTGGGGAAAGGAGACTAGGCTCTCTATTCCCTGTAGGACATTCTGCCGCTGGGGAATGGAGACTGGGCTCCCAATTCCCTGCTGTATCTCCTGCTGGGGAATGGAGACTGGGCTCCCAATTCCCAATAACACAGCCTGCCGCTGGGGAATGGAGCTTGGGCTCCCAATTCCCTGCAATTCACTCTGCTGCTGGGGGACAGGAGCAACTATCTCTGTCCCCTGTAACTCAGGCTGCCGCTGGGGAATGGAGCTTGGGATCCCAATTCCCTGCTGTATCTCCTGCTGGGGAATGGAGACTGGGCTCCCAATTCCCTGCAAGACCGGTGGAGAGACCTCGGTCCCATCTCCACCAACCACCTGGGGTTCTTCCCAGTAACACTCTGCAATATCTGCCTAGCTGAATGGGTCTGGATCTGGGTCCCCGCTTCCCTGCTGAGCCTTCTCACTGGAGTGGAACAGATCTTAGTAGCCCTGCTCCAGCTCCATCTCTCGGGTCACTAGGTGGACTAGGTCTTGCTCAATCTCATGAGTGTCGTCCCAGTCATACCTGCTCTCCCTCCACTCCAAGAGATCACAGAACCGGGCTTGTGTAGGGCTCCCAAACTCAGGCTCTGAAAAAGACTCCCATATCAAGCCAGGACCATCAAACTCCTCTCCCTCTGGCTTGTCATGCTCAGCTGTCCAGGGCAGGTACTGTGCCCCATACCACCAGAGCGAAGATGTTCCAGCCACATTTCCTGACATCTTCCAGCCACATTTCCTGACATACCCGGAGCTCCAATTCCTTCACCCATTCCCCCAGGGGCTGCTCTCCCAGGAAGGGCATCCGCAGGGCTAGTCGCTTCTGCAATCGCTGGTCTTCCTTGGGGAGTCTCTCGCCCCGCTGGTACTCCACAGTACCCAGTGCCTGGTACCAGATGCCTTTGCGAACTGCATCTCGGTCATCCATGACACCCTCATCGTACTCCACTGCTGGTTCCATCCTGGTGCTGTCAGGGTCGCTGTACTGGCACATGCATTGCCCTCAAATTGTAAAATCCAAAGAAATGGTGTCTCCTGTAGCTGTCCTTCTGGCTGTAGGAACGATCCCGCCGCTTGCCACCAATTGTAACGGACCGTTTTGCACCTAAGAGGTTAAAAACCGTTTACAGTTCCACAGTTTGGGCGCTGAACACCGCTGGCCGTTCGGGACTTTAAAATGGCCACCGCCACGTGTTCGGCAACCGAACAAAAGCCACCCTGCATTCGTAAAATAAGTTGCGGTTAACTGCAGCTTCTGGGAGGTAAATTGCCGACACACTCCATCTCCCAGGTGGTCCAGTTATTCGTGCGTTAGTTCGGTAGATTGAATCTACCGACGGCCAGGCAGAAAGGCACGAATAAGACTTTTCTGCCAGGGGAAAGAAGGCTTTTAACATGGGGCCATAGTCCAAAGGCACCAGGCGAGCAACCAGGCTTCTCCAATGCAATGTGGCGAGATTGGTCTCGTCACAAGTGGTGGGGGTTTTACAACTCCAAGAGATGATACTGCACTTCTGTATTGTCCTTATCAGAGAAACTAGACGAGACCTCGTGGGCAGAGAGGGCCTTGTTTTCCTGAAAATGAGACCTGACCGATGAGGTTGGCCACATTCTGTCTCAGATCCCGTGGTCAGTCATAAGCTGCTAACAGTCAGCTCTGCAGTTCGCTGACTCTGCATTCATTTCCACATCACAGAGCTAAGCGAGAGTCACTGACTGCCAGACTGTGCCAGCGACAGGTGTGCAAGCTGGGAGAGTTCCAAGGATCGGATAGATTGGAGAGCACACCTTTTGCCAAGGTGAGGATGCAGACTCAGTGCCAGCATAAAGCAGGGAACCAGACTCAGTGCCAGTAAAGCGGGGTACCAGAATCACTATGCCAAGATAAAACACTGTACCAGACTCAGTGCCAGGGTAAAGCAGGGTACCATACTCACTGTGCCAAGATAAAGCACAGTGCCAGGGTAACGCAGGGTAACAGAATCACAGTACCAGCATGAAGCAGGGAACCAGACTCACAGTGCCAGGGTAAAGCAGGGTACCAGAATCACTATGCCAAGATAAAATACTGTACCAGATTCAGTGCCAGGGTAAAGCAGGGTACCAGAATCACAGTGCCAGGGAACCAGAATCACTATGCCAAGATAAAACACTGTACCAGACTCAGTGCCAGGGTAAAGAAGGGAACCAGAATCACAGTGCCAGGGTAAAGCAGGGAACCGGACTCACAGTGCCAAGGTAACAGAACCACAGGGCCAGGGTAAAGCTGTTCCAGGGCCCCTATTACCGCTGCTATTGCATTCTTCGTGCTGATTATTGTTTGACTGGAGGGCAGTGGGTGGGAGGAATGGCAGGGAGGGTCAGGCGTCTGCCCAAACTGGTTCTGTGTCCTGTGTGTGTACAGGAGGGGAGCGGGTATGTACCTGTCCTGGAATGTACAGGGGTGTGTTATTGAGATAACGATTAACCCTTCACTGTCTGAGATACAAGGACATACTACTTTATCGTTATTCAAAGTGTGGGCATCTTTTAATTGAGCTTGTCCAATGACTAATGTAAAGGGATGGAATTACTATATCTGCCATTGTATCAGCAAGTTACACAATAGTGTGGGGGGTTTTACAACTCCAAGAGATGATACTGCACCTCTGTATTGTCCTTACCAGAGAAACTAGACGAGACCTCGTGGGCAGAGAGGGCCTTGTTTTCCTGAAAATGAGAACTGACCGATGAGGTTGGCCACATTCTATCTCAGTTCCCGTGGTCAGTCACAAGCTGCTGACAGTCAGCTCTGCAGTTCGCTGACTTTGCATTCATTTCCACATCACAGAGATAAGCGAGAGTCACTGACTGCCAGACAGTGCCAGCGACAGGTGTGCAAGCTGGGAGAGTTCCAAGGATCGGATAGATTGGAGAGCACACCTTTTGCCAAGGTGAGGGATGCAGACTCAGTGCCAGCATAAAGCAGGGAACCAGACTCAGTGCCAGTAAAGCGGGGTACCAGAATCACTATGCCAAGATAAAACACTGTCCCAGACTCAGTGCCAGGGTAAAGCAGGTTATTAGAATCACAGTGCCAGGGTAAAGCAGGGAACCAGACTCACAGTGCCAGGGTAAAGCGGGGTACCATACTCACCTAGCCAAGATAAAGCACAGTGCCAGGGTAACACAGGGTAACAGAATCACAGTGCCACGGTAAAGCAGGGTACCAGAGTCACTATGCCAAGATAAAACACTGTACCAGACTCAGTGCCAGGGTAAAGCAGGGTACCAGAATCACAATGCCAGGGTAAAGCAGGGAACCAGAATCACTATGCCAAGATAAAACACTGTACCAGACTCAGTGCCAGGGTAAAGCAAGGAACCAGACTCACAGTGCCAAGGTAACAGAGCCACAGGGCCAGGGTAAAGCAGGGTACCAGACTCAGTGCCAGGATAAGGTAGGGGATAAAACTTGGATAAGGAAAACAAAGCTGGAATCCAGGCTCTGTAGACTCTCATTTTCAAGATTAGTCAGAGAATCCATCTCACTGGGCCAGATTAAATGGGCATCTAATGCACCGTGCCAGGCTTGCAGTGCCAGGGGTAACTCAGGCGGAGGTGATGAGCTATAACACAGGCTGTGTCAGATCAACATTTTTCCATAATCAGAGAGCAGCAGTGATTGTCCCTGTGCAGCGGCTGTGATGATGTGGAGATACAGGAAATAATTCCGCAGCTTGGAGACCAGAGCAACAAGACAGCCAGTGATGTGTGCCAAGAGCCAGAGCTGGGCTAATAGATGCAGAGGGAGCATGGTGCAGCAGAGGGTAGTGTGTCAGTGCTAGGAGGCAGGGTGTCAGCTATTCCTGGCAGCTCTAACCTGCTATTCCTATGTCTCTCACTCACAGTGATCCTCTCCGCCCTTAACATCCAGCTGCACCCAGTCGCTCTCCATTACTGATTAATCCCAAACTCTCCATTCTTTGTGATTTACACCCTTTGTCCTGTACAGCTTGGATCTGCTTGTTTTACCTTTTTAAATTTTCCCACCCTTCACCTCTATTCGCTTATTTCCTGCTCTACCCCAAAACTGAACCCTCTGCTCTACTGCCCCCACTTACCTGCATCCTGATCTCTCCTGCCCCCACCTTAACCCACACCCCTGTCTGTTCCTTATCCACCCAAACCTACTCCCCATCCTAGCTGCCATCTCACCTGCATGCTTTATCGCCTATGCCAATCTTACCTGCACCCGATCTCTCCTGCACACAGTTTAGCTTGTACCCCATTTCTGCTACTTTCACCCAACATGCCACCACTTTGATTTTTGACACATAGTATCCTCTTTTGCAATCACTCATTCCCCCAAATCTCACCCCATCTGTTTCATTCCCTGTTATCCCTTCTGTTCCTACAATCATGTTTCCTTCATTGTACTACCTGGTCCCAGTATTGGGGGGCTATGCTGTCACCTCATATTATCTGCTGAAAAACCCCCATGTCCTGCACAAGAAAAAGAGGCTTCCCTTCTACTGCCGACACATTTCTCACCGTGGGGGTAAGTCATCAATTTATTTATATATTAACCTTTTCATGTCAGGAAGGCCCATTAAACAGCAAAATGGGAGTTTAGGGTTTAAACAACATTATATGCTGCCCGCAAAGAGCTTGCAATCTAATTGATACTGGTATAACAGCATTGCAGGTATGTATAAACTACCCATCTGCTCCCTGTTCTGATAAAATGTATAATATCTCTCTGAGTGTCACTCACAGAGGCATTCCTCCTCTCTGTGCTGGTTCTGTGCTCTGATTGGGTATTCTATTAGGGTTCCATCCTTTAATGTATGGGTATATCTGGGTGTTCTATTAGGGTTCCATCCTTTAATGTATGGGTATATCTGGGTGTTCTATTAGGGTTCCATGCTTTAATGTATGGGTATACCTGGGTGTTCTATTAGGGTTCCATCCTTTAATGTATGGGTATATCTGGGTATTCTATTAGGGTTCCATCCTTTAATGTATGGGTATATCTGGGTGTTCTATTAGGGTTCCATGCTTTAATGTATGGGTATATCTGGGTGTTCTGTTAGGGTTCCATCCTTTAATGTATGGGTATATCTGGGTGTTCTATTAGGGTTCCATGCTTTAATGTATGGGTATATCTGGGTGTTCTATTAGGGTTCCATGCTTTAATGTATGGGTATATCTGGGTGTTCTGTTAGGGTTCCATCCTTTAATGTATGGGTATATCTGGGTGTTCTGTTAGGGTTCCATGCTTTAATGTATGGGTATATCTGGGTGTTCTGTTAGGGTTCCATGCTTTAATGTATGGGTATATTTGGGTGTTCTGTTAGGGTTCCATCCTTTAATGTATGGGTATATCTGGGTGTTCTATTAGGGTTCCATGCTTTAATGTATGGGTATATCTGGGTGTTCTATTAGGGTTCCATCCTTTAATGTATGGGTATATCTGGGTGTTCTATTAGGGTTCCATCCTTTAATGTATGGGTATATCTGGGGGTTCTATTAGGGTTCCATGCTTTAATGTATGGGTATACCTGGGTGTGGGTATATCTGGGTGTTCTATTAGGGTTCCATCCTTTAATGTATGGGTATATCTGGGTGTTCTATTAGGGTTCCATCCTTTAATGTATGGGTATATCTGGGTGTTCTATTAGGGTTCCATCCTTTAATGTATGGGTATATCTGGCTGTTCTATTAGGGTTCCATCCTTTAATGTATGGGTATATCTGGCTGTTCTATTAGGGTTCCATGCTTTAATGTATGGGTATATCTGGCTGTTCTATTAGGGTTCCATCCTTTAATGTATGGGTATATCTGGGTGTTCTATTAGGGTTCCATCCTTTAATGTATGGGTATACCTGGGTGTTCTATTAGGGTTCCATGCTTTAATGTATGGGTATACCTGGGTGTTCTATTAGGGTTCCATCCTTTAATGTATGGGTATATCTGGCTGTTCTATTAGGGTTCCATGCTTTAATGTATGGGTATATCTGGGTGTTCTATTAGGGTTCCATCCTTTAATGTATGGGTATACCTGGGTGTTCTATTAGGGTTCCATCCTTTAATGTATGGGTATACCTGGGTGTTCTATTAGGGTTCCATCCTTTAATGTATGGGTATACCTGGGTGTTCTATTAGGGTTCCATGCTTTAATGTATGGGTATACCTGGGTGTTCTATTAGGGTTCCATCCTTTAATGTATTGGTATATCTGGGTATTCTATTAGGGTTGAATTGCTTTAATGTATGGGTATATCTGGGTGTTCTATTAGGGTTCCATGCTTTAATGTATGGGTATATCTGGGTGTTCTATTAGGGTTCCATCCTTTAATGTATGGGTATATCTGGGTGTTCTATTAGGGTTCCATGCTTTAATGTATGGGTATATCTGGGTGTTCTATTAGGGTTCCATGCTTTAATGTATGGGTATATCTGGGTGTTCTATTAGGGTTCCATCCTTTAATGTATGGGTATATCTGGGTGTTCTATTAGGGTTCCATCCTTTAATGTATGGGTATATCTGGGTGTTCTATTAGGGTTCCATCCTTTAATGTATGGGTATATCTGGGTGTTCTATTAGGGTTCCATCCTTTAATGTATGGGTATATCTGGGTGTTCTATTAGGGTTCCATGCTTTAATGTATGGGTATATCTGGGTGTTTGCACACATTACGCTGCTCATTATTGGGGTTTATTTATTAAGCTGTAGTGAATGTAACTGCAGTGTTTAAACAACAACAACCTATTTGGAAATATTCTGCAAACCAGCTACATTCTCGACAGAATTTTTGGCTTGGTTAGTGCCTGACCTTTGTATTAATTTGTGTTGGACTGTCACTGTGTATTTACATGCTATAGGTAGAAGGAAAGACTCCGTCCACAATACAGAATTCAGTCTTTCACACATATTTCTGCTATTCAAAAGAAGGTGTATTACTGCCTATTGTGTCAGTCAGGGTGTATTACTGCCTATTGTGTCAGTCAGGGTATATTACTGCCTATGGGGCCGGTCAGGGTGTATTACTGCCTATTGTGTCAGTCAGGGTGTATTACTGCCTATGGGGCCAGTCAGGGTGTATTACTGCCTATGGGGCCGGTCAGGGTGTATTACTGCCTATGGGGCCAGTCAGGGTGTATTACTGCCTATTGTGTCAGTCAGGGTGTATTACTGTCTATTGTGCCAGTCAGGATGTATTACTGCCTATGGGGCCGGTCAGGGTGTATTAGTCCCTATGGGGCCAGTCAGGGTGTATTACTGCCCATGGGGCCAGTCAGGGTGTATTACTGCCTATTGTGTCAGTCAGGGTGTATTACTGCCTATGGGGCCGGTCAGGATGTATTTCTGCCTATTGTGTCAGTAAGGGTGTATTACTGCCTATTGTGTCAGTCAGGGTGTATTACTGCCTATTGTGCCAGTCAGGGTGTATTACTGCCTATGGGGCCGGTCAGGGTGTATTACTGCCTATGGGGCCGGTCAGAGTGTATTACTGCCTATTGTGCCTGTCAGGGTGTATTACTGCCTATGGGGCCGGTCAGGGTGTATTACTGCCTATGGGGCCGGTCAGGGTGTATTACTGCCTATTGTGCCAGTCAGGGTGTATTTCTGCCTATGGGGCCGGTCAGGGTGTATTACTGCCTATTGTGTCAGTCAGGGTGTATTACTGCCTATGGGGCCGGTCAGGGTGTATTACTGCCTATTGTGTCAGTCAGGGTGTATTACTGCCTATGGGGCCAGTCGAGGTGTATTACTGCCTTTTGTGCCAGTCAGTTTGTATTACTGCCTATGGGGCCGGTCAGGGTGTATTACTGCCTATTGTGTCAGTCAGGGTGTTTTACTGCCTATGGGGCCGGTCAGGGTGTATTACTGCCTATTGTGTCAGTCAGGGTGTATTACTGCCTATGAGGCCGGTCAGGGTGTATTACTGCCTATGGGGCCGGTCAGGGTGTATTACTGCCTTTTGTGTCAGTAAGGGTGTATTACTGCCTATGGGGCCGGTCAGGGTGTATTACTGTCTATTGTGCCAGTCAGGATGTATTACTGCCTATGGGGCCGGTCAGGGTGTATTACTGCCTATTGTGTCAGTCAGGGTGTATTACTGCCTATGGGGCCGGTCGGGGTGTATTACTGCCTATTGTGTCAGTCAGGGTGTATTACTGCCTATGGGGCCGGTCAGGGTGTATTACTGCCTATGGGGCCGGTCAGGGTGTATTACTGCCTATGGGGCCGGTCAGGGTGTATTACTGCCTATGGGGCCGGTCGGGGTGTATTACTGCCTATTGTGCCTGTCAGGGTGTATTACTGCCTATGGGGCCGGTCAGGGTGTATTACTGCCTATGGGGCCAGTCAGGGTGTATTACTGCCTATGGGGCCGGTCAGGGTGTATTACTGCCTATTGTGCCTGTCAGGGTGTATTACTGCTTATGGGGCCGGTCAGGGTGTATTACTGCCTATTGTGCCTGTCAGGGTGTATTACTGCCTATGGGGCCGGTCAGGGTGTATTACTGCCTATTGTGCCAGTCAGGATGTATTGCTGCCTATTGTGTCAGTCAGGATGTATTGTTGCCTATTGTGTCAGTCAGGGTGTATTACTGCCTATGGGGCCAGTCAGGGTGTATTACTGCCTATTGTGCCAGTCAGGATGTATTGCTGCCTATTGTGTCAGTCAGGGTGTATTACTGCCTATTGTGTCAGTTAGGGTGTATTACTGCCTATGGGGCCAGTCAGGGTGTATTACTGCCTATTGTGTCAGTCAGGGTGTATTACTGCCTATGGGGCCAGTCAGGGGTCATTACAAGGACAGGCTTACCATTGGTGTGTGCAAATCATGGGTTCACACTGTTCCTTGGATTTTAGTAAATAGCCAGCCCCCTGTATATGGAGATTCTTAATATTATTACAGTTTGTATGTAACATGATTCTTGTTTCTGTCTCAGGAGCTGGGGAGAGAATTGAAAATACTCTGGAAGCCTTTGACAAGTAAGTACAGGATATAGCGTTGAGTTCTGTATGACAAGAGGACAAACTCATGACAGATAGTAATAACCTGTATCCCATACATAACATTCCGAGCACATGGCTCATGTCGTGAGCTGCAGCTCACTGATTGGTTAATGTATCTCTCCCATGGCAGCGCTGTGGCCAATCAGACTCACCTCCTGGAGTTAGACTGTCAGCTGACCAAGGATGGCCAGGTCGTGGTGTCACATGACCAGAACTTAAATAGACAGACTGGACATGATGTCAACATCCGTGATGTCACATATTGGGTAATCATAAACTGACCTCATAGCGTTCATCAACGTGGCACCTTTATAGGACAGTATTAATCCACTGGTGTTTCTTGTTATAATTCTGTTCTTTCTGTTTTTAGGAGCTGCCTCTGTACAAAAATACCTTGGAGGTCACCTTCTTTCCAGGTGAGCAAGGACATTGCTTACTGAAGAACTTGGTGTATTTTTGTTCAAATACACGCACTCTTTAAAGCAGTCCTCGTAAAAATGTTTCCATAGCAGGAATTGTAAAGCAGTTCCACACTCTTTTAAACATAATTTTTATACATTTTATTTTTAGATTTCCTACATTTTATGCCTTAAACATTTTTCAACTAGAATTTGGATAATTTTTAAAGAAAAATTATTTTTATAGATCACATCTGATAGAATGACATTTACTGCTAATTATCGTAATACCCACAGAGGTGATTAAACTGCTAGCACGATATACAGAGACATTCAATAGAAATCTTCCACGGGACAATGTGTCCGGCAGTGGAAAAGTAGTAGAATAGCTAACTCTGATCACAAGGTTTTTTAGATTGTAAGCTTGTTTGGAAAGGCCCATCTTCTTCTACAGTTCCAGTATGTCAATTGTGTTTTTTATTACAATTGAGTGTTTGTTTAGTTTACCTATTGTGCAGTGGAATATGTCGCAGTTATATAAATAACTGTAATTGTCCTCATACAGGTCATGTCTCGTCCGGGAGTGACCAACGGATGCCCCTCCTGGAGGAAGTGTTCCAGAGATATCCAGATATGCCGATCAATGTGGAGATCAAGGAGGATAACAATGAGCTCATTAAAAAGGTGATGAGATGAGAGTCCGTGGTGATGAGATGGGCGGTATTTGGTGATGAGATGGGAGTCGATGGTGATGAGATGGGAGTCCATGGTGATGAGATGGGCGGTATTTGGTGATGAGATGGGAGTCCATGGTGATGAGATGGGAGTTGATGGTGATGAGATAGGAGTCCATGATGATGAGAGTCTATGGTGATGAGATGAGAGTGCATGGTGATGAGATGAGAGTCCATGGTGATGTGATGGGCGGTATTTGGTGATAAGATGGGCGGTATTTGGTGATGAGATGGGAGTCGATGGTGATGAGATGGGAATCGATGGTGATTAGATGGGAGTTGATGGTGATGAGACAGGAGTCCATGGTGATGAGATGAGAGTCCATGGTGATGACATGAGAGTCCATGGTGATGAGATGAGAGTCCATGGTGATGAGATGAGAGTCCATAGTAATGAGATGGGAGTCCATGGTGATGAGATGGGAGTCCATGCTGATGAGATGGGAGTTGATGGTGATGAGATGGGAGTCGATGGTGATGAGATGGGAGTCCATGGTGATGAGATGGGAGTCCATGCTGATGAGATGGGAGTTGATGGTGATGAGATGGGAGTCCATGGTGATGAGATGGGAGTCCATGGTGATGAGATGGGAGTCCATGGTGATGGGATGGGAGTGCAGTTAAGCCCAGGGCTCTGGTGCAGTTTATAAACTCTGCCTATTGTGCCCTGTAGGTGTCTGACTTGGTCAGACGGTACCACCGCACGAACATGACAATCTGGGCCAGTATGAGCGACCGCATTATGAAGAAATGCCAGGCTGAGGTAAGTGGACCTGGAATCACTGCCACAGATTTATCCCTTTACCTGGCTGTGTCAGCTTGTTATATTACAGTGAGAATCTGCAGTTTATATCCTGGAGAGAGATTTGTTACTGGGTAATAATGGGACGTTCTTATAAGGTGCCGGGACAACTTTAGTTTACAGACCTCTTGAATCCTTTCTTCGCACTCTCTCTGTGTACCAGGCAGTGTGTGTCTCTCTCGCTCTCTCTCTCTACCAGGCAGAGTCTATCTCTATCTCTCCCTGTGTGCCAGGCAGTGTTTATGTCTCTCTGTGTACCAGGCAGAGTCTCTCTCTCTCTCTCTCTCTCTCTCTATCTCTCTGTGTACCAGGCAGAGTCCCTCTCTATCTCTACCTCTCTCTGTGTACCAGACAGAGTCCCTCTCTATCTCTATCTATCTCTGTGTACCAGGCAGTGTCTATCTCTCTCTCTCTCTCTGTGTATCAGGCAGTGTCTCTCTATCTCTCTCTTTCTCTCTGTACTAGGCAAAGTTCCTCTCTCTCTCTCTCTCGTTCTCTCTCTCTGTGTACCAGTCAGAGTCCCTCTCTCTCTCTGTACCAGGCAGAGTCCCTCTCTCTCTCTGTGCCAGGCAGAGTCCCTCTCTCTCTCTGTGTACCAGTCAGAGTCTCTCTCTCTGTACCAGGCAGAGTCCCTCTCTCTCTCTGTACCAGGCAGAGTCCCTCTCTCTCTTTGTACCATGCAGAGTCCCTCTCTCCCTCTGTACCAGGCAGAGTCCCTCTCTCTCTCTCTCTTTGTACCAGGCAGTCTCTCTCTCTCTCTCTCTCTCTCTCTCCCTCTCTCTGTGTAATCCAGGCAGTGTTTCACTCTATAGTGTCAGTGCTCCCCTATTATTTAATACACTCTCTTTCTCTCCCAGAATCCAGACATGCCAATCATGTTTACACCGCGCAGGGGGCTGATCCTACTGCTCCTCTACTACACCGGCCTGCTCCCTTTCGTGCCTCTACGAGAGTCTGTTGTGGAAGCCTATATGCCATCTCTTATAAACAGGTCAGTGTCTTATACAGAGTTACTGTGCAGCCTCTTATAATCAGGTCAGTGTCTTATACAGAGATATTGTGCTGCCTCTTATAAACAGGTCAGTGTCTTATACAACATTTCTTTATATTCAGAATATTGAATATTAATTCTTCTTAGACTTGTCCTAGTATTTTCTTATTATCCACAAGGGGGCACTTGACTAACATTAAATGATCGCCCTATAGAACAACATATATTATTGTGACAGTGGTTCGAATCAGGCTGTATATCTACTCTGCGCTGTCTGTGGATGATAAATTCTCTGTTTAATGCTAACAGCTGCTCTTCCTTCTCTATTTCCGTTACAGGACCTATTTCCCTCACAACCGGCTAATGAGCAATCCTCTTCTGGTTTCGCTACAAGATAAGTGAGTGGCAGCAGCACATACCTAAATATCTCTAGCTCTCTACACTACACCTATACATTCCTAGCTCTCTACACTACACCTATACATCCCTAGCTCTCTACACTACACCTATACATCCCTAGCTCTCTACACTACACCTATACATTCCTAGCTCTCTGCACTACACCTATACATCCCTAGCTCTCTACACTACACCTATACATTCCTAGCTCTCTACACTACACCTATACATTCCTAGCTCTCTACACTACACCTATACATTCCTAGCTCTTTACACCTATATATCTCTAACTCTCTACACTACACATATACATCCCTAGCTCTCTACACCTATACATTCCTAGCTGTCTACACTACACCTATACATCCTTAGCTCTCTACACTACACCTATACATCCCTAGCTCTCTACACCTATACATCTCTAGCTCTCTACTCCTATACATCCCTAGCTCTCTACACCTATACATCTCTAGCTCTCTGCACTACACCTATATATCTCTAGCTCTCTACACTACACCTATACATTCCTAGCTCTTTACACCTATACATCTCTAACTCTCTACACTACACATATACATCCCTAGCTCTCTACACCTATACATTCCTAGCTGTCTACACTACACCTATACATCCCTAGCTCTCTACACTACACCTATACATCCCTAGCTCTCTACACCTATACATCTCTAGCTCTCTACTCCTATACATCCCTAGCTCTCTACACCTATACATCTCTAGCTCTCTGCACTACACCTATATATCTCTAGCTCTCTACACTACACCTATACATTCCTAGCTCTCTGCACTACACCTATACATCCCTAGCGCTTTATACCTATACATCTCTAACTCTCTACACTACACATATACATCCCTAGCTCTCTACACCTATACATTCCTAGCTGTCTACACTACACCTATACATCCCTAGCTCTCTACACTACACCTATACATCCCTAGCTCTCTACACCTATACATCTCTAGCTCTCTACTCCTATACATCCCTAGCTCTCTACACCTATACATCCCTAGCTCTCTGCACTACACCTATACATCCCTAGCTCTCTACACTACACCTATACATCCCTAGCTCTTTACACCTATACATCTCTAGCTCTCTACTCCTATACATCCCTAGCTCTCTACACCTATACATCCCTAGCTCTCTACACTACACCTATACATTCCTAGCTCTCTGCACTACACCTATACATCCCTAGCTCTCTGCACTAACCCTATACATATCTAGCTCTCTACACCTATACATCCCTAGCTCTCTGCACTAACCCTATACATATCTAGTTTTCTACACCTATACATCCCTAGCTCTCTACACCTATACATCCCTAGCTCTCTACACTACCCCTATACATCCCTAGCTGTCTACACTACCCCTATACATTCCTAGCTCTCTACACTACCCCTATACATCGCTAGCTCTCTACACTACCCCTATACATTCCTAGCTGTCTACACTACACCTATACATCTCTAGCTCTCTACCTCTATACATCTCTAGCACTTTACTTTCCATTCGGGATTACAACCTGAGATTTGTAATGACTGCTTTACTTGATAGCGAGTGTAGACAGCTAGATTGACAGTTCTACTTTTGCCGGTGTCACCGATGCTCAGATACAGGTTTAAACTAAACTGCAGATCAAGCCAAACTTGTCAGCTGTGCAGCTGAGAACTGGTACAAAAGCTAGAGAGAAACATTTTTCAAATTATACTTGTCCCACAGCCAGGATTCCTTCGGTCCGTGAGCAGAATGTGCTTGGATTTAACTGAGAGAAATGAGACGAGTCGTATCCCGAGGCAGGTATCTGCTGGGCGTAAAGGCTGCAGAGCCAGCGATACGGATATTAAGAAGCAGAGATTAGTGTGAATTCGATCAGTACTTTCACAGTCAATCCTAACACAGGAAAATCTTTAATCCACGGGTTCTGTTTGCTCTCTTCCAGGCTTTTTATGCAAAAAGGTCTATTCCAGCATCTAAAAGAAAGAGGGATCCAGGTAATCAGACTGTCTGTTCGTGATTGATGTTTTGTTACAGTTTATATCTGTATGGGAAAGGTTCTAGGTAAATACTGTGAGGAAACCTTGAGTGACTGCCACCCTTACAATGTTATGTAGATAAAGTATTAAAAATTAAGCAAAATTTGTAAATAGAAAAGAAAAATTATTCATCTCTTAAAGATCCTTCACCTATGGCATTTCCACAGCAAGTGTAGGAGGCAGAGTAAGCTGGAGAATCACATTTCACCAATCCGGAGGCTGTCCTGTCTGTAGGGTCAGATCATATTCCATAAGCACCTGGCCGGCATTAGTAGTTTATTCCCCTGTCCCAGCCCTTGTTTCCCTGCCCCAGCCCTTGTTTCCCTGCCCCAGCCTTTGTTTCCCTGCCCCAGCCTTTGTTTCCCTGCCCCAGCCCTTGTTTCCCTGCCCCAGCCCTTGTTCCCCTGCCCCAGCCCTTGTTTCCCCGTCCCAGCCCTTGTTTCCCTGCCCCAGCCCTTGTTTCCCTGCCCCAGCCCTTGTTTTACTGCCCCAGCCCTTGTTCCTCTGCCCCAGTCCAATGTTCCCATGTCCCAGCCCTTGTTCCCCTGCCCCAGCCCTCGTTCCCCTGCCCCAGCCCTTGTTTCCATCATCACAAATGATTAGCCGAACTCCTCAATAGTCATAATAAAAACATTATAATAATCATACCACCATAACTACTACGGTTTATTTACATCCTGGTTCACAGATTTGTGAACCAGCCTGTCTGATTCCATGTTGGCGGTTGCGGCTCAGCTCTCTCTGAAACAGTACAGTCAGTGTTGTCCAAATTGGACAGAATTAACACAGGCACCACTGAACTGGAAATTACAGCTGCATGACTGACAGCTTTGAGGGGCTGTATTACAACTGTGTGATTTTACAAATGCTTGCATATTCTAAGTCACAGTCTAAGTCCGGGTACGAGTGATGTTCTGCTATAACGATATATGTGTAGGAAATGTTCTGGGTGAGAGTTTCTGCATTAACCCATGTTTTACCCCCTCTGCAGGTTTACCTCTGGGTTCTGAATCAGGACTCTGATTATCAGAGAGCTTTAGACTATGGGGTAACAGGGATCATGACTGATTTCCCCTCCAAATTAAAAGCTTTCCTGCAGCGATATGAGGAGGAGCAGAGAACAAGTGGGGGTACGCAGCATGATGTGACAGGAGATGGAGTGCAGAGAAACAGACACTAAGGTGCCAAGGAATGGAAAATAAATTACAGTGAATTAAAAAATAATCTGTTAAGAATGCCAAAATACTTAATAAAGCAATATAATTTTGTAGTAAAATTTCAGTGTCTGAGCCTGTCCTGATAACAAGCAGCCAGTTATAAACCCAGCACTGTCTGAGCCTGTCCTGATAACGTACAGTCAGATCCCCTACATTAGATATAAACCCAGCGCTGTCTGAGCCTGTCCTGATAACGTGCAGTCAGATCCCCTACATTAGATATAAACCCAGCGCTGTCTGAGCCTGTCCTGATAACGTGCAGTCAGATCCCCTACATTTAGATATAAACCAAGCGCTGACTCAGCCTGTCCTGATAATGTGCAGTCAGATCCCCTATATTAGATATAAACCCAGCGCTGTTTGAGCCTGTCCTGATAACGTGCAGTCAGATCCCCTACATTAGATATAAACCAAGCGCTGTGTGAGCCTGTCCTAATAACGTGCAGTCAGATCCCCTACATTAGATATAAACCCAGCGCTGTGTGAGCCTGTCCTGATAACGTGCAGTCAGATCCCCTACATTAGATATAAACCCAGCGCTGTCTGAGCCTGTCCTGGTAATGTGCGGTCAGGTCCCCTACATTAGATATAAAGCCAGCGCTGTCTGAGCCTGTCCTGATAACGTGCGGTCAGATCCCCTACATTAGATATAAACCCAGCGCTGTCTGAGCCTGTCCTGATAACGTGCAGTCAGATCCCCTACATTAGATATAAACCCAGAGATGTTTGGTTTTTATATAAATTAAGGTAAATTAGACATTTTGCTTAATATTTATAGAAACATTAATAAACACATTTTTTTCATGCTATAGACAATTATAATCAGTCCGAGTGGCTGTGAATCTGCCATAACCCATGTACACACAGTGTGAGCATGTAGTGTGCAGTGCCTTCTGGTCCCAGCAGCATGAGGGGCTGGAGCCATTGTATGTCCATCGGTTCTGTGTGTGCTTGCTCTGTTATCCATTACTGTGCTCCTTGGACACACCTAGCGGTACAGGCTCCTCAGTGTCGTTCATCGACAGCACATTACAGTCTGTTTTCTTTCTGGGACATCACAGGCCCCTGCAGGCTGGGTGTGGGGGAAAGAACCAGGATGGGGGGATCAGCTCCTGGAAGACTGGGGGGTGAAGTGCAGAAAGATTTGAGCTTAGTCTAATGGGAGGAGGGGTCCATGGACTGAGCAGAAATGGGCTGCTGGGAGACACTTGTGGCATACTGGAGACTGGGGCAGCAAAACCGGTGTGGTATGGAAAGGCAAATCTGTAAAGGGAAATTATAAGAGAGTCACACAAAAAGCACTGACACAGCCAGGGATATAGAGACTGACACACACAGCCAGAAATATAGACACTGACACACACAGCCAGGGATATAGAGACTGACACACACAGCCAGAAATATAGACACTGACACACACAGCCAGGGATATAGACACTGACACACACAGCCAGGGATATAGACACTGACACACACAGCCAGGGAAATAGACACAGACACACACAACCAGGTATATAGACACTGACACACACAGCCAGGAATATAGACACTGACACACACCGCCAGCGATATAGACACACACACAGCAAGGAATATACACACTGACACACACAGCCAGAAATATAGACAGTGACACACACAGCCAGGGATATAGAGACACACACAGCAAGGAATATAGAGACTGACACACACAGCCAGGAATATAGACACTGACACACACAGCCAGGAATATAGAGACACACACAGCAAGGAATATAGACACTGACACACACAGCCAGAAATATAGACACTGACAAACACAGCCAGAGATATAGAGACACACACAGCAAGGAATATAGACACTGATACACACAGCCAGAAATATAGACACTGACACACACAGCCAGGGATATAGAGACACACACAGCAATGAATATAGAGACTGACACACACAGCAAGGAATATAGACACTGACACACACAGCCAGGGATATAGAGACACACACAGCAAGGAATATAGACACTGACACACACAGCCAGAAATATAGACACCGACACACACAGCCAGGGATATAGAGACACACACAGGAAGGAATATATTATTTTGTGTAACACACACAGTGTGGGGACGGTATACAGGCAGATACAGTGTGAGTACAGTATACAGGCAGACACAGTGTGGGTACAGTTGACAGACACAGTGTGGGTACAGTATACAGGCAGACACAGTGTGGGTACACTATACAGGGGGATATAGTGTAAGTACAGTATACAGGCAGACACAGTGTGGATACAGTATACAGACGGACACAGTTGACGGACAGTGTGGGTACAATTGGCGGATACAGTGTGGGAACAGTATACATTCACAGTGTGGGTACAGTTGGCAGACAGTGTGGGTACAGTATACAGTCAGACACAGTGTGGGTACAGTTGGCAGACACAGTGTGGGTACAGTTGGCAGACATAGTGTTAGTACATTTGGCAGACACAGTGTTGGTACAGTTGGCAGACAGTGTGGGTACAGTTGGTACACACAGTGTTAGTACATTTGGCAGACACAGTGTTGGTAGACACAGTGTGGGTACAGTTGGTACACACAGTGTTAGTACATTTGGCAGACAGCGTGGGTACAGTTCATACACACAGTGTTAGTACATTTGGCAGACACAGTGTTGGTACAGTTGGTAGACACAGTGTGGGTACAGTTGGTACACACAGTGTTAGTACATTTGGCAGACAGCGTGGGTACAGTTGGCAGACACCGTGTTCGTACAGTTGGAAGACACAGTGTGGGTACTGACCTCTGGCCCATTACACAGTGGGATGGAGAGTAGGGTGGTGTTGGCAGTGGGGACACGGCAGTTGGGGACCCCCAAAGCTGTCTGTGTGTTGGTGGTGCGTGCTGCACAGCTCTTTCCAGTCCTGGTGACCATTCTACCTTTGTTGAAAAACTTTTATTTGCCATCAAATCTCTGGCATCTCCAGTCTCTGTGGAATCCACTGCTGGAGCACTCACATCTTTACTCTGTGACTCCTGCCTCCTGTCTCCAAGATTCAGCTGTCTGTCTTGCCTACTGTCTCTCAGTTCTGTCTGTCTCTTTTTGGTGTCTCCCATTTCTAGCTGTCTCTCTTGCCTGCTGTCTAGTGATTGCAGCTGTCTTTTATGTCTGATGTCTCCTGTGTCTAGCTGTCTCTCCCATCTGCTGTCTGTGTCAAGCTGTCTCTCATGGCTGCTCACTCCCAAGTCTAGCTGTTTCTCCTGCTTGCTATCTATGTCTATTTGTCTCTCATGATTGCTGTCTGTGTCTAGCTCTCTCTCCTGCCTGCTGTCTGTGTCTAGCTGTCTCTCCTGCCTGCTGTCTGTGTCTAGCTGTCTCTCCTGCTGGCTCTCTGTGTCTAGCTGTCTCGCCTGCCTGTTGTCTGTGTATTGCTGTCTCTCCTGCTGGCTGGCTGTGTCTAGCTGTCTCTCCTGCCTGCTGTCTGTGTCTAGCTGTCTCTCCTGCTGGCTTTCTGTGTCTAGCTGTCTTGCCTGCCTGCTGTCTGTGTATTGCTGTCTCTCCTGCTGGCTGTTTGTGTCTAGCTGTCTCGCCTTCCTGCTGTCTGTGTATTGCTGTCTCTCCTGCTGGCTGGCTGTGTCTAGCTGTCTCTCCTGCTCGCTGTCTGTATCTAGCTGTCTCGCCTGTCGGCTGTCTGTGTCTAGCTGTCTCTCCTGCTGGCTGTCTGTGTCTAGCTGTCTCACCTGCCTGCTGTCTGTGTCTTGCTGTCTCTCCTGCCTGCTGTCTGTGCCTAGATGTCTCGCCTGCCGGCTGTCTGTGTATAGCTGTCTCTCCTGCTGGCTGTCTGTGTCTAGCTGTCTCACCTGCCTGCTGTCTCCACAGATGGTTAAGCAGTGCTGTGTACTCTCTTTAACTTGTTTTCTCTCTAAAACACAGAAGAGAAACTCTTGTCAGAAGTAGAAAATGAAGAAAGATTTTACATCTAATTCCAATAGAGACCCAGCTATAGAGAAAGTATAAATGGCGGGAGTTATTGGGGCAAATGGCAATTTATTCAGACAAAAAACAGCTGAACAGGAAAATTCACTTAATTTTCCATTTTGGTCTAAAACTTGGAATTCTCTTGAAAGATTGTAGGTGATAAATAGACATTTATACTTTGGTAGGTGCACCTTTCGTCACAGTAGGTAATTACATGCAATACATGGGGATTGTATCTAGATTGGGATAATTAAAGATTAATATAAAGGAAATATACTGGGGTATATAGACATATATAATATGGGTGTACAGAGAGACACAGTGGGGTAAATACAGAGTTATATAATGTGAGGGGTACATGGCATTACACTGGGGTAAATAATATAATGGGGGGGGTACATGGCATTACACCGGGGTAAATAATATAATGGGGGGGGTACATGGCATTACACTGCAATAATATAATGGGGGGGGTACATGGCATTACACCGGGGTAAATAATATAATGGGGGGGGTACATGGCATTACACCAGGGTAAATAATAGAATGGGGGGGGTACATGGCATTACACCGGGGTAAATAATATAATGGGGGGGGTACATGGCATTACACCAGGGTAAATAATAGAATGGGGGGTACAGGGCATTACATAGGGTAAATAATAGAATGCAGGGTACAGGGCATTACATAGGGTAAATAATAGAATGGGGGGTACAGGGCATTACATAGGGTAAATAATAGAATGGGGGGTACAGGGCATTACATGGGGTAAATAATAGAATGGGGGTACAGGGCAATACATTGGGTAAATAATAGAATAGGGGGTACAGGGCATTACATAGGGTAAATAATAGAATGGAGGTACAGGGCATTACATAGGGTAAATAATAGAATGGGGGTACAGGGCATTACATGGGGTGAATAATAGAGTGGGGGGTACAAAGCATTACATGGGGTAAATAATAGAGTGGGGGGTACAAGGCATTACACTGGGTAAATAATAGAGTGGGGGGGTACAGGGCATTACACTGAGTAAATAATAGAATGGGGGTACAGGGCATTACATGGGGTAAATAATAGAATGGGGGTACAAGGCATTACATAGGGTAAATAATAGAATGGGGGTACAAGGCATTACATAGGGTAAATAATAGAATGGGGGTACAAGGCATTACATGCGGTAAGTAATAGAGTGGGGGGTACAAGGCATTACACGGGGTAAATAATAGAATGGGGGTACAGTGCAATACATTGGGTAAATAATAGAATGGGGGGTACAAGGCATTACATAGGGTAAATAATAGAATGGGAGGTACAGGGCATTACATAGGGTAAATAATAGAATGGGCGGTACAGGGCATTACATGGGGTAAATAATAGAATGGGGGGTACAGGGCATTACACGGGGTAAATAATAGAATGGGGGGTACAGGGCATTACAGGGGGTAAATAATAGAATGGGGTACATGGGTAATAGGGATGGGGGTGGGTGTACATGAGGTAATAGGGATGGGGGTGGGGGTACATGGGGTAATGGATGGGGGGTGGGGGTACATGGGGTAATAGGATGGGGGGTGTGGGTACATGGGGTAATAGGATGGGGTGTGGGGGTACATGGGTTAATAGGATGGGGGTTGGGGGTACATGGGTTAATAGGATGGGGGTTGGGGGTACATGGGGTAATAGGATGGGGTTTGGGGGTACAGACCATTTGTGCTTTCACCGCAGTCCTGCCATGAACAGAAAGGTCTCTTGTTTGCAGCTCTATTAGAATGAAAGGAAATAAATCTGATTCTTCATGTGGATATTTTAAAGCCCTGACAACCATAAACACTAAATATGAACCCCCTCTCCCCTCCATTTAAACACACGTACCTCTCCTGCTGGTTTTTAAAATATTTTATTCCTTTTGCAAATGGATTCTCCTCGATTTTCAGCACAGACAGCTGTTTGAAAGCAGACACAAGTCATGATCATCAAGTGTAGAAAATGATCTAATGTTAGAAGTACTAGCCAGTCTCTAGGGTGTCTGTTTACAGAAATGGGATTTGTGCACCCTCTTTGCAAAATGTTGAGAAAAATAAAAATTTTAAAACATTTTTGACACAGTCAGATTGGATTTTGTTCCCCAACTTCTAACGGGGCCTGATTTTGCAAACTGGTTGCATTTTCCAACTCCCTATGAACCCCTGGAGTAAATCCAATCTTGTAAAAAATATTCGACTCTTACCCTGGGGTTCTGGTAGCTGGTGACCGCGATGAAGGATGTTTGCGGGAAAGAGACACTGGATACGGAATGTGAATGAGACGTTATAAGGAGCATGTACGGTACGGCTAGAAGGGAATTCTGGGAGATACGATGCGTAATAAGGAGCGTGTACAATATGGCTAGAAGGTCATTCTGGGAAATACATTATAATGAGCGTGTACGATACGATTGGAAGGGAATTCTGGGAGATACGATGCGTTATAAGGAGCATGTACGGTACGGCTAGAAGGGAATTCTGGGAGATACGATGCGTAATAAGGAGCGTGTACAATATGGCTAGAAGGTCATTCTGGGAAATACATTATAATGAGCGTGTACGATACGACTGGAAGGGAATTCTGGGAGATACAATGCGTTATAAGGAGCATATACGGTGCGGCTAGAAGGGAATTCTGGGAGATACGATGCGTTATAAGGAGCATGTACGGTACAGCTAGAAGGGAATTCTGGGAGATACATTATAATGAGCGTGTACAATACGGCTAGAAGGGAATTCTGGGAGATACGTTATAAGGAGCGTGTACGGTACGGCTAGAAGGGAATTCTGGGAGATACGTTATAAGGAGCGTGTACGGTACGGCTAGAATGGGAATTCTGGGAAATACGTTATAAGGAGCGTGTACGGTACGGCTAGAATGGGAATTCTGGGAAATACGTTATAAGGAGTGTGTATCATCCGGCTAGAAGGAAATTCTGGGTGATACGTTATAAGGAGCATGTACGATCCGGCTAGAATGGGGAATTCTGGGAGATAAGTTATAAGGAGCGTGTCCGATACGGCTAGAATGGCGAATTCTGGGAAATACGTTATAAGGAGCGTGTCCGATACGGCTAGAATGGGGAATTCTGGGAAATACGTTATAAGGGGCGTGTCCGATACGGCTAGAATGGGGAATTCTGGGAGATACAATTTGTTATAAGAGATACAATACGTTATAAGGAGCGTGTAGGATACAGCTAGAATGGGGAATTCTGGGAGATATGATGCATTATGGGAAATACGTTATAAGGAGTGTGTAGGATACAGCTAGAATGGTAATTTTTAAGTAACTTCATCAGAGGAACCAATGAAGGAACCTTTTTTAGTAACAGGTGTGAGTTTAGAATTAATTGGAGGTGATACTGTTTATAACCAGCATTATAAATAGTAGTTTGCAGAGTTGAATGTGGAAGGTTGGTAAAAGGGAGCCATTTAATTGGTTCTCACCTGCCCGTTCTGGCTCAGGGTATTGTTAGTCAGCCTGATTTTACTGAAATTGACGGGTTTATCCATCCAGCGATGACCAGGAGCAGGAGATTCTGGGTGAATGTAGAGATGTGTTGGTGGTCCCGGCTCAGATCGACCACTCGGACTCCATGTCCCGTTACGCCACTTGTAACGGCTTTCGCCCTCAGGAACGGCCTGGACACAGAGAGAGTAGAGACAGTGCGGTTCCAGGCCTGAGAGGGAGACGGCTAATTCGGGGAACATGCGCCTGTAGAAAGGAGGAGATTAGAAAGGATCTGCCAGAGGTTCTCACTAAATTGTCAGGAATTTCAAAAGAGCTGAGACATTTTCCAATGTGCCTGTTTTGTCCTAAAATATTAAAATTTACTTCAAATTCCTGACAATTCACTCTTTACTAAATAACGCTGCGACGACAGTAAATACATGACACCTCCATTTTATATAATCTGATTACTTTAACTGTGCAACTGGCACCCCTGTGATTCAAGGGACCTGACTTTTTATTTACTGTAATCTCCCAGCTGTGCAGAAAGCATTGGAACATTACAAATAATCCCCTCAATATAGCCATGCGTTTACCCCTGCTTTGTGTGAGGGGGGGGGGGTTGTATAGTTTCTTTATAAGTAATCAGTGGAGATAATGGACAGACTTACATTCTATCCCATTCCGGATCCAGCTACTTACCTTCCACTTTTAGTAAGTATCATTTCAGTGCCTACGGAGTTAAATTTTTCCCACAATTCCTTGTTCTCCAGTTCGGAAATAATCTTAGGAGGAGAGGGTGATGATGCAATAGGATATTGGTGAGGCAAGTAAAAGTTCCCCTGGGGGTGAAATGGAGCGCCTGGGGGGCAGGTGGAAAAATAAAATTGTTAGTTATGGTCATGTATCACGTTAACAGCATTACAGAATGTTTGGGATGTGTATAAGGCTAACACAGTAAAGGAATTGAAGAATGCTCAGGATGTGTATAAGGCTAACACAGTAAGGGAATTGAAGAATGCTCAGGATGTGTATAAGGCCAACACAGTAAAGGAATTGAAGAATGCTCAGGATGTGTATAAGGCTAACACAGTAAAGGAATTGAAGAATGCTCGGATGTGTATAAGGATACGCAGTAAAGGAATTGAAGAATGCTCGGGATGTGTATAAGGCTAACACAGTAAAGGAATTGAAGAATGCTCGGGATGTGTATAAGGCTAACACAGTAAAGGAATTGAAGAATGCTCAGGATGTGTATAAGGATAACGCAGTAAAGGATTTGAAGAATGCTCAGGATGTGTATAAGGATAACGCAGTAAAGGAATTGAAGAATGCTCGGGATGTGTATAAGGCTAATGCAGTAAAGGAATTAAAGAATGCTCAGGATGTGTATAAGGCTAACACAGTAAAGGAATTGAAGAATGCTCGGGATGTGTATAAGGCTAACACAGTAAAGGAATTAAAGAATGCTCGGGATGTGTATAAGGCTAACACAGTAAAGGAATTGAAGAATGCTCAGGATGTGTATAAGGCTAATACAGTAAAGGAATTGAAGAATGCTCAGGGTGTGTATAAGGATAACGCAGTAAAGGAACTGAAGAATGCTCAGGATGTGTATAAGGCTAACACGGTAAAGGAACTAAAGAATGCTCAGGATGTGCAGAAATGCTCTCAAAGGCATGTCGTTTAAAAATTATGCGGCAAACAATTGGTGCGCAAAAACCACAAATCACTTTTTCTTAAAATAAACATAAAAATTTAATAAACATGTTTTCTTGTCATTTTCTGCGTGGCACCTTAAAATAAAAACCAAACCTATAAAGTGAGGTATAAATGCAGGAAGGAGAGAGAGGCCTGTGGTATCACACTCACTATATCTGAGTGGATTATGTGTCAGTCTCTCATTGACAGCCCTGGAGGGATCAAGCTCCCACTGATCGCTGGATCTCTAGGCCTGTTTACCCGATCTAAGACACAGACTGCAAATCTTTCAGCTGATTTTATTGTTCAAAAGGTGAACATTTTAAAAACAAAACAACCGGCAAAAATAAAAAAAAAAATATATAAAAATGAGTGACTTACGGTCTCTCCTCTGTATCAGTCTCTCAAATCACACATGCAATTTTTTTTGCGCACAAATAGTTTGATGTTTATTTAAGAAGTTATTTTGCTTTTATTTCTATTTTTTTCTTTTTTTGTTCCTGCGTAATAAACACTTTTGCTTGTTTGAAAATGTTGTACTAATCACTGTTAACTCTTAATTAAAATAAACGTGTTTTGCACAATTCATTTTTACTAGAACAGTGCTATTAAAGGGATATCGCATGCATTTCTTAATGTCACTGTTTTAAATTGGGAATTTAATGGGAATATTGCTAGAACGCCTTTTTTATTCACTTACTATATTGTGATAGTATTTAATAATATCCTATTCACTGTGTGGCTACGTCAGTCTCCATTCAATCCAGCAGGATATCAATTCACATGTTATTGTTTAAAGCAGATTTCCAAAAATCCAACGTAATTAAGTCTACAGTCATTCAAAATGGCAGTAAATATTTTAGAGGGGATAAAGGATATTTTCCCATTACGTTCAATAAACTGCGGAAATGATAAAGAAATTGCTCATTTTAGGCAAAAATAACCAAATTGGAAACATATCTCAATAGTAAAATGATTCTGGATTGTCTATCGGAGCCATAAATTAGCACATTTCTTGTCATTTCTCCACTTTCCAGTTTATAACTTGACTCGTTTGTTGTTCGGTTATTGCTAAATTGCGTCACAAATTCAGAGCGAATTTCAAATTTTTAGCCAAAATATCTGAATCGGGAAAAAGTCTGCTATGGACTGAAATACAAAACTCACTTTGAATTTCCAGCAAATCCTCGTTTCATGAATAAATCTGTCACAGCAAGGCGTCAACAGCCTTGACACATAGTGGAATTATTTGTGACAAACTTTCAAAGTCCCTGAAATGTTCCAAATAAATGAAATATTAGAAATCTACGGCTCAGCATGCTGAAATCCCCAGTACTCTAATCGATCACATATTTATAGCCAGACTGGAGTGGAGACTCTGTGTGAGTGAGGACAGTCTGTCCCGTGATTACTCACCCATCTCTCTGCTTAGTGTGGGGGGCTCGGGGGCCGATAGGCAGTATCCTAGCGTCTCTCTGCTCTGCATGCTTCTATCCCAGGCCAGCCAGGGTGGGAGAGCTTTATACAGGGGGAGGGGACAGCCAGACAACAGGAGGGGGTAACACCAGCCCCAACATTAATGGACAAGTAAAGAATATCACACTTAGATTGCAAGTTCTTGCGGCAAGTTAGTAATGGATCCATCCTTCTATCTCTCCATCTCTATATGTCCCTCATGCATCCCTCTTTCTCTCCATCCGTCCATCCATATTTCTATCTCTTCAACCCTATCAATCACTCTTTCTCTCCATCTCTATCCATCGTTCCAGTGTCTGTCTCTCCTTGTATCCATCTTCTATTCTATAAATCTTTCCTGTTCTGAACTTCTTTCTAGAGCTCATATAATTTATTCCAGCGATAATCCATTAACTACCCGTCTTACTCCGAAATTATTATTTAATTGGAATCATACATCTTTTAGATAATTATTGTGTTTATTGGTTAATCTGGCAATTTTGGAGAACTGGCAAGGAAATAGTAATTGTTATCTTTGGCCAAACCTCAGAAAATTGTCTAACTCCATTCCCAGTTCAACGAACAATGATAAAAGGGTCAACATGCCTGGAAGAACCTTCCAATTGGATCAGTAAGATTAACAGTAATATAGAAAGGGTAGTAGATACCTGGAATAGCCTTCCAGTGGGAGCAGTAACAGTGATATAGAAAGGGTAGTAGATACCTGGAACAGCCTTCCAGTGGGAGCAGTAACAGTGATCTAGACAGGGTAGTAGAGACCTGGAATAGCCTTCCAGTGGGAGCAGTAACCGTGATATAGAAAGGGTAGTAGATACCTGGAATAGCCTTCCAGTGGGAGCAGTAACACTGATAAAGAAACAGTAGTAGATACCTGGAACAGCCTTCCAGTGGGAGCAGTTAGGGAAGAGCTCTCTATGTACCTCATTAAGGCCATTATGTGTATATAGGCTGGTAATGAACTCTCGCCATACACAGAATGTATACACAGAGCTTGTCATTCTTCGTGTATATTTACCTAATCTCCTTCATTATCCTTCTAACACCTTGTCCCACGCAGGTTCCCTCCTCCTTGCACTGCTCTTGTTATTTTTCTTTTTAACTTTTTCTCAGACTTCGCAGCTGCTACAACATCTGTTCAAAGCATCCAATGTTTGTCTAAACTGTATCTCTATATAACATTATCTCTATATAACACAGGCTGATACATGTATCTCTATATAACATTATCTCTATATAACACTGGCTGATACATGTATCTCTATATAACATTATCTCTATATAACACAGGCTGATACATGTATCTTTATATAACATTATCTCTATATAACACTGGCTGATACATGTATCTTTATATAACATTATCTCTATATAACACAGGCTGATACATGTATCGCTATATAACATTATCTCTATATAACACTGGATGATAAACGTATCTCTGTATAACATTATCTCTATATAACACAGGTTGATAAACGTATCTCTATATAACATTATCTCTATATAACACTGGCTGATACATGTATCTTTATATAACATTATCTCTATATAACACAGGCTGATACACATATCTCTATATAATATTATCTCTATATAACACTGACTGATACATGTATCTCTATATAACATTATCTCTATATAACACTGACTGATACACGTATCTCTATATAACATTATCTCTATATAACACTGGATGATACATGTAGCTCTATATAACATTATTTCTATATAACACTGGCTGATACACGTATCTCTATATAACATTATCTCTATATAACACTGACTGATACACATATCTCTAACATTATCTCTATATAACACTGGCTGATACAAGTATCTCTATATAACATTATCTCTATATAACACTGGCTGATACACGTATCTCTATATAACATTATCTCTATATAACACTGACTGATACATGTATCTCTATATAACATTATCTCTATATAACACTGACTGATACACGTATCTCTATATAACATTATCTCTATATAACACAGGCTGATACACATATCTCTATATAACATTATCTCTATATAACACTGACTGATACATGTATCTCTATATAACATTATCTCTATATAACACTGACTGATACACATATCTCTATATAACACTGGATGATACATGTATCTCTATATAACATTATCTCTATATAACACTGACTGATACACATATCTCTAACATTATCTCTATATAACACTGGCTGATACAAGTATCTCTATATAACATCATCTCTATATAACACAGGCTGATACATGTATCTCTATATAACATTATCTCTATATAACACTGGCTGATACATGTATCTCTATATAACATTATCTCTATATAACACTGACTGATACACATATCTCTAACATTATCTCTATATAACACTGCCTGATACACGTATCTCTATATAACATTATCTCTATATAACACTGACTGATACACATATCTCTAACATTATCTCTATATAACACTGGCTGATACAAGTATCTCTATATAACATTATCTCTATATAACACTGGTTGATACACATATCTTTATATAAGATTATCTCTATATAACACTGGCTGATACGTGTATCTCTATATAACATTATAACATAGAATGTCACTTTATATGATTAGAATGCTGTGTACCGCACACAGAATGTCACTTTATATGATTAGAATGCTGTGTACCTCACACAGAATGTCACTCTCTGTGATTAGAATGCCGTGTACCTCACACAGAATGTCACTTTATATGGTTAGAATGCTGTGTACCTCACACAGAATGTCAATTTATATAATTAGAATGCAGTGTACCCCACACAGAATGTCACTCTCTGTGATTAGAATGCAGTGTACCTCACACAGAATGTCACTTTATATGATTAGAATGTAGTGTACCTCACACAGAATGTCACTTTATATGACTAGACTGCAGTGTACCGCACACAGAATGTCACTTTATATGATTAGAATGCCGTGTACCTCACACAGAATGTCACCTTATATGATTAGAATGCCGTGTACCTCACACAGAATGTCACTTTATATGATTAGAATGCAGTGTACCTCACAAAAAATGTCACTTTATATGATTAGAATGCTCTGTACCTCACACAGAAGGTCACTTTATATGATTAGAATGCCGTGTACCTCACACAGAATGTCACTTTATATGATTAGAATGCTGTGTACCTCACACAGAATGTCACTCTCTATGATTAGAATGCCGTGTACCTCACACAGAATGTCACTCTCTGTGATTAGAATGCCGTGTACCTCACACAGAATGTCACTCTCTGTGATTAGAATGCCGTGTACCTCACACAGAATGTCACTTTATATTATGAGAATGCAGTGTACCGCACACAGAATGTCACTTTATATGATTAGAATGCTGTGTACCTCACACAGAATGTCACTTTATATGATTAGAATGCTGTGTACCTCACACAGAATGTCACTTTATATGATTAGAATGCCGTGTACCTCACACAGAATGTCACTCTCTGTGATTAGAATGCTGTGTACCTCACACAGAATGTCACTTTATATGGTTAGAATGCCGTGTACCTCACACAGAATGTCACGCGCTGTGATTAGAATGCAGTGTACCTCACACAGAATGTCACTTTCATTAGAATGCCGTGTACCTCACACAGAATGTCACTCTGTGATTAGAATGCCGTCTACCTCACACAGAATGTCACGTTATATGATAAGAATGCCGTGTACCTCACACAGAATGTCACTCTCTGTGATTAGAATGCCGTGTACCTCACACAGAATGTCACTCTCTGTGATTAGAATGCCGTGTACCTCTCACAGAACGTCACTTTATATGATTAGAATGCCGTGTACCTCACACAGAATGTCACTTTATATGATTAGAATGCCGTGTACCTCACACAGAATGTCACTCTCTGTGATTAGAATGCAGTGTACCTCACACAGAATGTCACTTTATATGATTAGAATGCCGTGTACCTCACACAGAATGTCACTTTATATGATTAGAATGCCGTGTACCTCACACAGAATGTCACTTTATATGATTAGAATGCCGTGTACCTCACAGAGAATGTCACTTTATATGATTAGAATGCCGTGTACCTCACACAGAATGTCACTCTCTGTGATTAGAATGCAGTGTACCTCACACAGAATGTCACTTTGTATGATTAGAATGCCGTGTACCTCACACAGAATGTCACTTTATATGATTAGAATGCCATGTACCTCACACAGAATGTCACTTTATATGGTTAGAATGCAGTGTACCTCACACAGAATGTCACTTTATATTATTAGAATGCCGTGTACCTCACACAGAATGTCACTCTCTGTGATTAGAATGCCGTCTACCTCACACAGAATGTCACTTTATATGATTAGAATGCAGTGTACTTTATACGTATTATTTGCTAAACTGACAGAAATGCACAAAACGTAGGTCAAAGTAGCAAAAATTTATGTGTGAATATTGCAATTCTCTGGTAAATTTTGACAATTTACAGTTTATTAAATAGTCCTGAGTACAATGCAAAATAATTGCCAAAATATTTCTTTCTGTTGAGAATGTGGTGAAAGTCACAGAATGTAGTTTTAGTCTCTGGTTGGGATAGACTGACAGAAAGTCATTGTATCAGTTGAGGTGTTCGTACAGATACTCCCCGGCCAGCTGCAGCAGCTCTTTGGGCAGTAAGTATGAAGCCTGGGTAAATAAACATGTTTTCCATCTGTCCAGCTCTCCCCTATAACATCTCCTTCACTTCCTCTCTATGTTTTGCTTTCTCTCTGCCTCATGTTTTCTCTCCCTCTGATCAGAGAGTCCTCTCCCCCCTGGGCATTGCTGGGTGCTCAGTCTCCTTTAATCTGCCTCACACCCTGCGCGTCACATTCACCGCCTGCCCATCATAGTGTGGAAATGTAAAGTGCCCCAATCCAGCAGCCCTAACACCACCTAGCTGCCTCTTACTAGGATAAAAGTGAACCCCCCCCCCCGGAACCCCTCCTGGACCTGGCCCGGGGAGTCCGGCATGGCAGCGCACTGCAGGCTGGGAATCTCCCAGAATCCTCCATGGCAGCCATTGTTTTGGGGAATGGCCTACACTGGTGTTAGTCATGACATTACGAAGGCGGATTTTATATCTCAGTGAATCCGATATTATTGGGATATATTAGGAATGCCAGTAAAATCATACAGACGTTGTGTTGTATTTGTGCTATTTGTGATACATTACCCCCAATATTAGAAGATATTAAAACAATTTACAAAATACATAAAGGGAATCAACACAGTAATGGAGGAGACTATATTTAAACGAAGAAACATTACCACAACAAGAGGGCATAGTCTTAAATTAGAGGGACAAAGGTTTAAAAATAATATCAGGAAGTATTACTTTACTGAGAGGGTAGTGGATGCATGGAATAGCCTTCCAGCTGAAGTGGTAGAGGTTAACACAGTAAAGGAGTTTAAGCATGCGTGGGATAGGCATAAGGCTATCCTAACTATAAGATAAGGCCAGGGACTAATGAAAGTATTTAGAAAATTGGGCAGACTAGATGGGCCGAATGGTACTTATCTGCCGTCACATTCTATGTTCTACTGCCTTAATAATGGCAAAGCACCATGGGCATCAGATGGGGTTCACCTTTGACGCCTGTTAATTTGGCCTCTGTTAGGGGCAGAGAGTTAATCAGATGGGATCAACCTGTGCGTTACAGCCAGACTAGGGGCTGATTCACTAAACAGCTGTGGCGAGCTGACAACTAACTTATTACATTTAACCAAAATAGAGTTTAAAAAGGTGAATCTAGGTGAAAACTCAGAAATGCAATATAATTTTTCTTACTGACAATATATTTACATATTATTTAACAATCTTTATAAATGTACAATATGGATTTTTAAAGTATTAAAGTCTATCACGCCATTTAATCGCTCCGAGCCTGAAGGCAAACAGCACGTTAGGGGTTAATCCTTGTTATCTGTAGTTTGGATCAGGGTTGTGATACACACTGTTATATGTGTTATATATATTCACAGAAAGATCAGTGTGGACATAACACTCTGTATTCATGAAGGCTCGCTACCCTCAGGCCTAACTATTTAAATACTCGTTTAAAGCCCCTTATTGGTTCAGAATGGGAGCCCATCTTTCCTCACTCCTGGGACAATGAAATCTTCCCCAAGGTGACAGAATTGGGTGTTTGACTAGTTAGCATATGGCTGTAAATGAATTACCGAGCAAGTACAAGACATTCCCCACTAATACTATAAATTCCATAACACCTCACGCCACATGTGCTCAGTCTGTCCCAAGCAATAGACTAATAAAGGGTTAATGTACAGTGCTAATCACTTGACCCTCTGGCACGTCTATCCTGGCACGAATGCCAGAACTCCAAATCAATTTTCTAGTGAGATTGAATGGAAAAATACAACACGTTTGCCATGGGGATTGGACGTAGTAAAGGGAATGAGTGGGGGTGAGGGGTGTTGGTACTAACTAGTGACATACGCAGCATGGCATATAAGTTGGCAGGTGGCAATTGGCAGAGTTATGATGCCCAAGGACTGGATATCCCGAGCAGGGCATGTGAGACGGGATTACTGTTAAGGTTGCAGCAAGCTGACCCACTCTGTTATTATTATAATTAGCAGTTATATAGCGCCAACATGTGCTACAGCGCATTGATAAAGTGTGACATATAACAACAAGTAACTGACAGAAAATAACTGAGAGCTACAAGAAATGCAGGGCCGTGCTCCAACAAGCTCCGCCACCTGAATTTACACCCCATCACGCGTGGTTTGTGAGGACTCGCTCACTCTTGGCTGATTTGGAGTCCCCAGAGTTATTTATTAACCCTATAACTGCCAAACCAGAACATTGAACAGGTCCCCCAGCAGACACTGGGGTCCTCTAGACTCCTGATATGATTAATTACTCACCACTTGCATCATCATACGCCTATATCGGTGCATGTATGGGGACCCCCATATTTATTTCTTTTAACCATTGCCTGCCGGCTGGAATTTTAGGACAATTTGGGAATTGATCCCAGAGCGGTTCAGAGCTCTTTTTGTGCCAGGTAGACAGGTTCTAATGAGCGCCAATTTGAAGCACGCTGAAATTATGTCAGAGGTGTTTAATACATTTCCCTTATTTGGCCCTAATATGTCTCAGATGATTTCCCCCTGATTTTACTCCTGCAGATTCAGGGATTAGTAAGTAAAACTTGTTGCAGATTTGCAGATTTACCAAGAAACACGTGGTGCCATGTTAAACCATTGTGTTTATCTCTGAAATGAAATTCTTTTTGAATCAGCGTACATCAGAATGCCGGCCTGCATCATACAGCCCACTATAAAGGCAGGTGTGGATACATTAGACCATACAGACGTCCTCCTCACAAGTAGAACTGGGCCTGGACAGCTCTATGATCCTGTGCTAACATGACAGGACAGCCTTTATAGGTCCTTTAGTCCTGATTGCACAATGAATTATCCCAAACTGTGTATGGTGGTCACTTACTTGCCGCACCATCTGCAGACTGTTATTGGTATTTATATAGCGCCAACATATTATGCAGCGTTGTACAATATTATAAAAGGGGGAAAATTTACAATAAATTAGACAATTACAAAATGTTACAGGAACAATAGGTTGATAAGGACCCTGCTCATACAAATTTACAGTCTAGAGGATATTAAATCCCTATTGTAAAGTAATATGATGGCAATGAATGGACATCCCGTGCACACACCACCATGATAGATGGATAGTGTATATATCACAGGGTGAATCCGTCTTCCTCCACCCCTGGGTGATGTAACTTGATCCATTAGGTGGAAGCAATTTATTATTTATTTATTAAGCCAATCTCACTCTATTACCCAGGAGCCAGGGCAAATGGCTACCTTAACCACCAGGGGGAGCTGATCAAATGTATCTCTGATCATTTACCCAAAAAGTCCCCAACTAATTCGGGTTCTTTATAGTATACATTTCTGAACAATAATATGATCTTACTTTTATGTATTTATTTATTTATTGTTAATATGACAAAACACATTAAAATGCTTTATTTGTAATAACTTCAACAGAACAAGAAAAATTAAAAAGCAATTTAAACATATAATTTTAAAAAGGCCAATTTCAATAAGTTAATGGCAGGTTTACAATATATTGACTGGCATAAACTCTTTAGTGAAAAGAACACTGAGGATAAATGGATCATCTTCCAATAAATATTACAAAGGTACATTTCTCAGTATGTACCATTGGGAAATAAATATAAAAGAAACAAATTAAAACCAATGTGGCTTAGTAGAGAAGTAAAACAAGAGATTACAACTAAGAGAAAGGGCATTTAAAGCATTTAAATCGGACAAATCAGATGCATCTTATAAAAGATATAAGGATGCAAATAATGCGTGCAAAAAGGCGATTAGACTTGCTAAACTTCAAAATGAAATAATGATAGCTGAAGAGAGCAAAACCAACCCCAAAACATTTTTTAAGTACATAAATTCTAAAAAAAAACAAAATGAAAGTGTAGGTACACTAAAAACTGAAACTTTGACATATTACACCACGTCATGATTTATTTAACAAGAATAAAATCTAAATGGAGAAACCATGTGTGAAAAACGAAGTACACCCTTACTGCTTCCTTAGGAATTAAGAGTCTAAGTAGCAGACAGGTGCAGCTAATTCAATAGCCTTGATTAACTGATCATTAGCAAGTGGGACCATCTCTATAAAAGGTGAAGTTTTAGCAGTTTGCTGGTCTGGGGTATTCAGGTGTCTGTTAACACAATGCCAAGGAGGAAAGAGATCAGCAATGATCTCAGAGAAGCCATTGTAGCTGCCCATCAAACTGGGAAGGGTTATAAGGCCATTTCCAAACAATTTAAAGTCCGTCATTCTACAGTGAGAAATATTATTCAAATGTGGAAAACGTTCAGTTTGCTAATCAGTTGCCAATCATTCCGGGCATATACGTCCCAGCAGATTCACCCCAAGGTCAGACCGTGCAATGCTCAGAGAAACTGCAATATACCCAAGAGTTACATCTCAGACTCTACAGGGCTCAGGTAGAATGTTAAATGTTAAAGTTCATCACTGTACAATTAGAAAAAGACTGAACTTGGAAGGTTTGTCAGGAGAAACCCTCTTGTCTCTAAAAAGAAACCGGCTTAGGTTTGCAAAGCTGTCTCCGAACAAACCACTAGACTTCTGGAACAATTTCCTTTGTACAGACGAGACCAAAGTGAAGATGTGTGGCCATAATGCACAGCGCCACGATTTGGGTTCATTTTGCAGCCACAGGACCTGGGCACCATGCTCTCATCTAGAGTCAAATGTGCGGCCATCTGTCTGACAGCTAGAGCGTGGCTGACATTGGGTCATGCAACAAGTCAATGATCCCAAGCACCCCAGCAAATCTACAACAGAATGACTGAAAAATAAAGTCTAGACCTGGACCCGATTACACTTCTGTGGCGGGTCCTTATGAGATCTGTGCTTAAACAAATGCCAGCAAACCTCAATTACTGAAGCATGGTTCTAAAAAAGAATGTGGGAGACTGATAAAGTCATGGAGAAAGTGATTGCTGCAAGTTATAGCTGATAAAGGTTCTACGAGCTCTTAAATGATGTTCACAGATGGCTTCTCCATTTTGGTTTATTTTTGATGAATAAATCATGACGTGGTGTAATATGTCATGTGTTGATCATCTGAGGTCATAGTTACAGAATTTTAAGACCTGCTGAGGAACAGATTGTTATTATGTCCTGTTATGTAAAACCATAGAATTCAGAGAGGGACTTTCTTTCTCCCATGACGATAGCTTAATACAAAGGGCGCCTCATGGTCAATGTCTTTCTCATTCATTCCCAGTTGGCACAGCTGCCTGTTCCCATCCCAAATTAAACCACACTCTCTATACCTAACTCCCATAGCCCCTAACCTAATCCTACACTCTATTCCTAACTCCCACAACCCCTAGCCTTACCTTACCCTCTATTCCTAACTCCCATAGCCCTTAGCCTAACCTTGCACTCTATTACTAACTCCCATAACCCTTAGCCTAACCTTACCCTCTATTCCTAACTCCCATAGCCCTTAGCCTAACCTTACCCTCTATTACTAACTCCCATAACCCTTAGCCTAACCTTATTCTCTATTCATAACTCCCATAACCCTTAGCCTAACCTTATTCTCTATTCATAACTCCCATAACCCCTAGCCTAACCTTACTTTCTATTCCTAACTCCCATAACCCCTAGCCTTACCTTACCCTCTAATACTAATACCAAGGGATAGTACATGTAGCCTACTCTACCCCCTGTGTACTGCAACTACCATCAATATACACTTTGCTGAGAATGATGAGAATGATGATATTGTAACCCTATGTATAGCAATAAAACAGAGCTCAGACAAACCGTGCTGAAATGAACGCAGTTTATTCTAAACCAACATGTATTAAGCTCCACTATTGTTAACATGCATTGTGTGTCGCCATTTCCTAAGGATTCCCGCGGCTTCCCACACAGAACACGCTTCCTTCCAAATCCTCCATCTTTTATGGCGAGATTTCCTCCATGACAGTCCGCCATTTACCTGTATTACCTGCACAGAGCTGCGCTCTCGCCGTAACATTTTATAATGTAATCACATATTCACACACAGCACGCTATATTACACAGAACATTTATATTATGTCTGGAAACTCACTGTAATGCTGTGACTAGCTGCCTTCATTTTAATCCATTTATTGCTTTGATCTACCCTTAAACTAAACGTTCGGCGTATAAACAGAACTTTATAAGATACACAATGTATCAGGGTTTCTTGTTTCTAAAATGGAAGGTGTGCCCTGTAATGCGAGTCCTCCAAAGTAAGGTAATTATTGACCAAGTCGCAGGTTATAATAAGTTTTGGCATCGCTCACAAAGGTTTCAATACTGGATAAAGCTTTTATTTTTTTCCTGTGTAATTCAATGTGTTCCTAAATTATAACTTTGTTTGAGCTGAGCCTCGTCACCTCTCTATCTGTCAATATATGTCCGGTTGGTCCATTAATTGCTCTTTCATGCACACTGTATAATTGTAATGCCCTGCGCAGTATGTTATTGCCATATAAATACTACATGATCCCACACTGGGAGAATGTTTATTTTAGTTTTTTGAATGACGTATAGTTTTCTGCGTGCACTATGCCCTGCATTGCGCTGTATTTGCGCTGCGTCAAAAGAACACACATTTTTAATTACGCTAGCAGTCACATGACACAAGGGAAGGGCATTCATTGGTTGGATGCCTACAAAAATCTTATAGTTAAAAACCTACTTGAAATTTCAGAATTATTTTTCTGCATTTTAAGCTGTTGAATAATAATAGAGCGGCTTTATAGACAGGGCGCTACGATAATATGAGGGTTAATCACCTCCAAATCTCATTGTTACAGGTGTTCATTTACTAAAACCTGTGCAGGTCAAACAGGTGCAACATCCTTTCTCTACTCCATTAACAATCCCTCTTTGTTTTTCCACCTTGTGTACGGGTGAACCCCGCTCATACCAAGGTTCCAATCCCCGCCATAAAGTGAATATCGCTGTAAAGTGAATCACAGACATTTATTTGTTAGTTAACCTTAAATTCTGCTTTATACCTTTCACTGAGCGTAGCTCTGAACTGGGCACTCTCTGGCGTTTATTCAGTAAACATTGAATTGTAGCTAAATTAAAACTGAATGATAAAATAAAGGCTAAAGTAGCTGAAAAATTCTCCAATCAGCTATAGTCACAGATTGTCTATTTTAGCCTGATATTTGCCATTCGAAATTCTTTATATTCTTCTACCAGTGATCCTACTCTGGAGCAATACTATTAGCTGTGTGTTTAATTATCTTCTGCCTTTACATTCAATTAATCACGCATGAGAGTAACATTACGTGAAATGTTAAAATAACCAGGATATTTCCCATGATTCCCTATATAGATAATATCCACTTGTCGAAATTCAAAGTAACGCTCAGATTTTAGGGTAAATTAGCCAAATCTCCCTCTCCAAAAGTAAAAGGGTAAAGCAAGTTTGATAAATAACAATATACAATAAAATCAAACTGAGGGCTGGGGGTGGGGGAGGAATGGAGATTCGGGGGTGGCGGGTTCCGGGGAGTTTAATAGGATAGCACGATATATTAGATATGATGACACGAGTACCAAGGCCTGAAACAAAGAAGTATTAGTAAAACTATACAAGGCTGGTACTCGTCTGAAATAAAAAAGAAAAAAATAGCCAAATTAGAAACGTTTTTCAATTCAGTTTTTCCATTTTGAACTTAAATTTGAAATTTGAAAAAACACCTAAAAGTTTTGAATGGAAATTTTGTTTAAAACTAGAAAATGTAGAGGAAATGCAAATTATAAACATACTCAACTTCTATTTTTGCCTAAATTTGTCAGGTTTTGTTTTCATGTTAAAAAAATAAAGAAAAAAACGACGGGGAACTGGCAAATAAATTTTTTTTAGCCCCAAATAACTGCGAGTGGGAAAATGACTTAATAATTCAATTTCCCTGTCAGTTCTTCTCTGTTTAGTGACTGCACCCCATGGTGTTGTGATGGTTCAGTGAGAGCCTGGCAGGTCCTGTTGGAGTCCAGCACTTAGTGGGTTAACCCATTCACACCTAGCTGGGAAGTGACTACAAAGTGCAGCTCTGTGTCCGCACCCACATGTGATCTCACTGCCTGAGCCACATCTGAGGCCTGACCTGCTCCCAGGACATCTGCCATGTTTTTATAGGGGGAGGATTGGGGTGATTTTATATGAGGGGCAGTAATGGGGGGAGGGTAATAAATACGGGGGTCCAAGGGGAAGCACAGACACCTGTACTGAACATTACACACACACACACACACACACTCACACTCATATAGATTGTCTGGACAAGTCGATCATGACCTCTTATTATTTATTTGCTATTTTTATTTAAGATATATACAGCGCTGCAGAATATGTTGGCATTATATAGATAAGATGAAGAAATGTAAAATTATTGACATGTGATCTGTCTCACCTAGATGCTCAGATCTATAATGTAGACACACATGAATGCACTGCGCTGCTGAATATGTTGGCGCTTTATAAATTATTGTAATTGTGTGCTGTACACAGGGGTTTATTTACTAAACTCTGAATTGCAGTGAGATAAAAATGGCATCCTATCTGTGGCCCCCATAATATAAACTGCATTCTGTCTGTCACCGCTGCACATCTTCCAGACTCTCTACATTGACTTATAAGAAGGTGAGATAGCTCAGGTGGTTAATGCACCAACGGTGGAGTTTTTTCTAGCCCGAGTGTCACTGCCCTGACCTATAATCAGATCACTGATCAGGGGCAGAGTAAAATCTGCTAATCAGTTAAAACATGTGATAATGCACCGTGAATGAATGAATTAAATAATCAGTTGTTAGTTTACATTATATGATTTTCTCATTGTGATCGTGTATGTAGAATATATATAAATACATTGTATTCCGGCTCCCACCCCCCTGTTTGTGTCCCCTCTCTCCCACTATGTGCATTTCCTGACAACTGGACAAACGGAGTCTCAGTGCTGTCATAAAGACCCTTAATAAAGTTTAATTCAGTCCTAATGTGTGAAGTGACCTCCCCCAGCCCCACTCTCTCACCTAACAGGAGGGTCTCACATCAAAAGGTGTAGGATGGACTTTAAGGGTCACACAGTGTCTTCCTCTCAGAACTAATCTGTGTCCTGAGCTGACAAGGTGTCCCCAGACCTCCTGCCCCTCATGCTCTAAACTGTCCACCATGTATCACTCAGATATCTTCCAGCAATATGGGCCTTCCTATGGGGTGAGACCCCCACGCAGCCTGCCACCCAACTACCCCACAGCCACGGGCCACCACGAGGCATACAGGTACCCAGGTAAGAGCAAACTCACCTTCTCCCCAAGGCTTTCAGCAGTCCAAGGGAGTCTTAGATACAATGATTGTCAACTGGCCCTTCTGGTCTGTAAGATAAAAAAACATCTTAGCCTTCGCTGCTTTTACTGGAAGGCTATTCCAGGTGTCTACTACCCTGTCTATATCACTGTTACTGCTCCCACTGGAAGGCTATTCCAGGTATCTACTACCCTTTCTATATCACTGTTACTGCTCCCACTGGAAGGCTATTCCAGGTATCTACTACCCTTTCTATATCACTGTTACTGCTCCCACTGGAAGGTATTCCAGGTATCTACTACCCTTTCTAGTTATGCTCCCACTGGATAGACTGTAAGCTTGTTTGAACAGGGTCCTCTTCAACCTATCGTTTCTGTAAGGTTTTTTTTGTAATTGTCTTATTGTTAAATCTCCCCTTCTGATAACATTGTAAACCGCTACTGAATATGCTGGTGCTATATACATGGCAATAATAATAATATTAACAATAATAATCTACTACCCTTTCTATATCGATGTTAGCCTTTATTGCTCCCACTGGAAGGCTATTCCAGGTATCTACTACCCTTTCTATATCACTGTTACTGTTCCCACTGGAAGGCTATTCCAGGTATCTACTACCCTTTCTATATCACTGTTACTGCTCCAACTGAAAGGCTATTCCAGGTATCTACTACCCTTTCTCTATCACTGTTGCTGCTCCCACTGGAAGGTTTTCCAGGTATCTACTACCCTTTCTCTATCACTGTTGCTGCTCCCACTGGAAGGCTATTCCAGGTATCTACTACCCTTTCTATATCACTGTTACTGCACCCACTGGAAGGCCATTCCAGGTATCTACTACCTTTTCTATATCACTGTTACTGCACCCACTGGAAGGCCATTCCAGGTATCTACTACCTTTTCTATATCACTGTTACTGCTTCCACTGGAAGGCCAATCCAGGTATCTACTACCCTTTCTGTATCACTGTTACTGCTTCCACTGGAAGGCTATTCCAGGTATCTACTACCCTTTCTATATCACTGTTACTGCTCCCACTGGAAGGCTATTCCAGGTATCTACTACCCTTTCTATATCACTGTTACTGCTCCCACTGGAAGGCTATTCCAGGTATCTACTACCCTTTCTATATCACTGTTACTGCTCCCACTGGAAGGCTATTCCAGGTATCTACTACCCTTTCTATATCACTGTTACTGCTCCCACTGGAAGGCTATTCCAGGTATCTACTACCCTTTCTATATCACTGTTACTGCTCCCACTGGAAGGCTATTCCAGGTATCTACTACCCTTTCTATATCACTGTTACTGCTCCCACTGGAAGGCTATTCCAGGTATCTACTACCCTTTCTATATCACTGTTACTGCTCCCACTGGAAGACTATTCCTTGTATCTACTACCCTTTCTATATCACTGTTACTGCTCCCACTGGAAGGCTATCCCAGGTATCTACCATGGTTTCTCATGGTTGGAACATCCTGTTTAAGTAAATAATCCATTTTGGTGCTGAGATTGAGGGTTGCAGTGTATGGGTGTATTAAAGGTTCTATTATTGCATTGTATTGGAGGTTCTGTTGTAACGTTTGGTCTGTAGTGTTTGTGATGTTCTGTTGAGTGTGGGTCTCCAGGATTGTGAGGTATAGGACTTCTGATATATTTGGGTCTGTGAAGTTCTGATTTGGTGTGGATCTGGTTCTGGTTGGATCCATAGGTTCTGTGATGATACCTGAGTTTTCCCATTTAATAAGTATTTGTGTTTTTGTGCTAAGATACCTATACCTGAAGGCCTTCATACATGGCGATTCTCATGTATCTGGTCCTACACTGATATGATGTATCAAGTCTTGGAGATTCTGATATCTTGGTGAAAGTTTCTGATTTGGGGTCTGGCAATGTTTTACAGTTTTACAATATAACGGAGTCTTTGGTTCAGATGTCTCTGTAAAGTTGATTAATATCGGTTATGGAAGCTTTTCGAGTTTTCATGTAATTCTAAATTTGGAGGATCTGAGAACCTGGTTATGTGAGGTTCTGGTGGTTCTGGGTTTATTAGGAACTGATGTATCTGTTCTCAGCTGTTTGGAAGTCCCACGGTAATGGAGATCTGAGAATCTGGTTCTGGGAGGTTCTGGTACTGGAAGGCTGTTATATATCTGGTTCTGGAAGGCTGTGATCTATCTGGTTCTGGAAGGCTGTGGTATATGTTGTTAAGTGCTGTGGTATAAGTTGAATTTGGGTCTATGAAGTTCTAGAGGATCTGGGTCTGAGGCTTTGATGTGTAGGAATCTCAGGCAGGGTGTCTGTTTATTGGGTGGGTGGGGGAATGCTCCTATCTCATTACCATATTACCCACCAGGGTTCCAATTAACAGAACTTGTCTGTCATTTAGCACATACATGCCAATAAGCCAATATGTCACTGAGTCATGTCCCAGTGCAGATTGCAAGGACAGGATTAATCATGAAAGGAATAGAAAGGATGAGAAACACAGTGCCTGGCACTGAAATGGCTAAATACTGGCCCTGTTAACTCTTTCCCTGCTGCAGGACACGGTGTACTGACATCCTCTCTCTCTGTTACAGAACTGGATGTTCCCGGCCAAAGGTATGATAGCCTATTCTCAACACTGGATCCTTCCCAAAGGATTCTGGGAGCAGCTCCTCTCACGCCTCTCTCCTTGCCCCCCGGACCAACCTTGGGCTTTGGGCAACCACATCCACCGTGTGAAGCCCCCCGTCTTCCGGGGAATGTGAAGATGACTCTGGAGAACAAGGAGCTGTGGAAGCAGTTTCATGCAATAGGAACAGAGATGATTATAACCAAGTCTGGAAGGTAAGTAGAGGACGACAGGTCTAGAGGCACTTCGAATGGAAAATTATTACCCTCTTGTTTACTGGTTGACTGGTGCTTCATTAAATGCAACATTTTTATCACTTCTGAATCCAATGTACAACGCCACAGATTATGTTGGCTCTTTATAAAGACTTACAGGCACTAGCTTAGCAAATCTTAAATATCACATAAATCCGCTATGAAGGCGCCTAGACGAACACTCTTAGTTTATCAAACTTGCCCCACCAGAGCCAGACTAGTAGGATATTCGTGGATTTTTCACCATCAGGGATGTCCTGATTGCCCCCGAGTGCATGTAATCACTAATAATATTTCATCTTTTACCTACTGCCATGGAGCAAGACCCTAATAGCAGCGCTGTGGCTAGGACTCCAGGGCAACCGGCACCATGTTAACCCAGAGTTGGAGAATTACCCGTGTGTAGAATTCCTAGATCCCACCATTATTAGTAGAAGATCCAAACGGGGCCACCATGTGCTAATATATGTATTGCTCAACATGTCCCTTTGCTGTCTGACAATTTACCTGATATGGTTCTTGAAGTATTAGTTACTTTCTTTTCCACATTGATAGTTTTGTAAATAAAATTATGATTTAAAATAAAATTGGCCTCACTATAATACTGTTGCTCGGATCGTAATGTTATTAAGGAGCCCCTTGTGTAAACCTAGGAAGGTTAGATGTGAAGGCATCCACCCATTGACCTCTCTCGTTTCTACTCCAGGCGGATGTTCCCGCAGAGTAAGGTCAGTGTAACCGGGCTGGAGCCGGATGGGAAGTACCTCCTTCTCGCGGACATTGTTCCGGTGGATAATTCTCGCTACAAGTGGCAGGAAGACCACTGGGAAGAGAGTGGGAGAGCAGAGCCGCGTCTACCGGAGAGGGTCTACATCCACCCAGACTCACCGGCCCCTGGGTCCCACTGGATGAAGCAGCCAATATCCTTCCACAAGATCAAACTCACCAACAACACGCTGGACCAGATGGGACATGTAAGTAGCTATGGCTGGGGACCTGTGACCGATGTGACGGGAACTTTCTGATAATAGAGGAACCACTTGCTGTATGGGATGGGTTCCAGAAACAGCAAGACACAGTAGATAAAGATACGAACATCAAAATATGTGCTTTATCTAGATTGACGAGGAAGCTATTATGATATTAAGATTGTTCAGGTTTCTGATCCCCTGAAAGAAGCTGCATTAGGCGAGTACACAGCTCTCTATCTCCTAGAGAAATGACCCAAGATGTCACCTCAGTCCCTCGTAATCCTCAGAACAAAGCATGTCTTCACCTGGTAGAAGGACAAGGTGACACAGGTGGGAGAAGCTGGGGGTCCTCGTTACCACAATTATGAGATATGTGAGTTACTGTCCTCCAGCTGAGAGTCCTGTAGTGGGATACAAGGGATGTGGAAACACAGGCTGTATGTGTCTGCTCTAAATAACTAGCCATGTGGTGTAACCCACTAAGAATGGACCATAATAATGTGTTAACAGAGTCATTTCTCCTCGTCCTCCTCAGATTATCCTGCATTCCATGCACCGTTACCAGCCACGATTCCACATCGTACGAGCCCAAGATGTCTTCAGCCGGAGGTGGGGTGGGTGCTCCTCCTTCACCTTCCCAGAGACTTTGTTCCTGACCGTCACTGCCTATCAGAACGAGAAGGTAAGAGAGAGGGGCATATTCACGTAAAATATGGGGCACATTAGAAAGAGAAGGTAGATTCCCAGGGTGAATAGGCAGATTCCCAGCGTGAATGGTCAGATTCTCAGAGTGAATGCACAGATTATCAGGGTGAATAGGCAGATTCCCGTGTTCAGGGTGAATGGGCAGATTCTCATAGGAAATGGGCAGATTCCCAGGTTCGGGTGAATGGTCAGATTCTCATAGTGAATGTGCAGATTCTCAGAGTGAATGTGCAGATTCTCAGAGTGAATGGTCAGATTCTCAGAGTGAATGTGTAGATTCTCAGGGTCTTGGAGTGACCAGGCTGGTTACCAGGGTGGGCAATCTATTCCTAACAAACACTGTGTGCATCACCCCCAGAATACAGTGTGTGAGTGATAACAAGCAGTGAGTAAAGGTATGATGTGTATAAATGAGGTCGGTGAGTGCTGGCGTAGAAGCTGAGTATGAGTGTAATTAGTAGCCAGGCCTGTGCCTAACGAGTTCCCTCTTTTACAGATAACGCAACTTAAAATCCAGACCAACCCTTTTGCCAAAGGATTTCGGGAGGACGGGCTGAAGAAGAAGAGGTGAGCGCGAACATGTTTTAAGGCTCTTTTTTGGGGGATATTTACTAAACAGTGAAACTCTCCATATTCCAATGGGACGTATTTCCAAGTCAGCAAATAATAATGAGTCTCCCACTGTGAGGTGTGCGGACTTCACTCCACTTTCTTTTAGAATTTAGCGCAATATTTTTCATAGTAAATAATCACATATTCTGCTACTTTATTGCAAAACCAGAATAGCGCACAATTCAGGGAATAAATCTCGGTTAATCTGATTGGTTGGATCTGACACAAATTCAAAATTAAAAGTATAAGGAAACCTCATTCTAAACATTTCAAATAGACAAAGAGGTTTTCATAAATTTTAGGGGTGTAAGTGGGGGTGTGACCAGGGGTGGGGCTGTTCCTACTGTGAGTGTGGCTGTGTCGCCAGGGGCGGGGCTGTTCCGCATGTGAGTGTGGCTGTGTCGCCAGGGGCGGGGCTGTTCCTACTGTGAGTGTGGCTGTGTCGCCAGGGGCGGGGCTGTTCCTACTGTGAGTGTGGCTGTGTCGCCAGGGGCGGGGCTGTTCCTACTGTGAGTGTGGCTGTGTCGCCAGGGGCGGGGCTGTTACTACTGTGAGTGTGGCTGTGTCGCCAGGGGCGGGGCTGTTCCTACTGTGAGTGTGGCTGTGTCGCCAGGGGCGGGGCTGTTACTACTGTGAGTGTGGCTGTGTCGCCAGGGGCGGGGCTGTTACTACTGTGAGTGTGGCTGTGTCGCCAGGGGTGGGGCTGTTCCTACTGTGAGTGTGGCTGTGTCGCCAGGGGCGGGGCTGTTCTGCATGTGAGTGGGGGGGTGGTGAGAGCAGGGCTGAATCATTTTAGGTGACTTACTAATAACAATTTATAAAACTAAAATATAATTTAGAACAAGAACATTGTAATGGAGGTATTGGATTTAGTGAAAACCGGTATTCAAAATGTGCAATCTTTATTGTACTATTTTCTAAGAGCAAAAACATGCACTGAGCTTCTCTAGGGAGAATGTAATTAGGTACAAACTGTTACTTTATCGACCTCTTCCGTGTCCCCCCACCTTTTCCAATACCTAATCCCTCCCACTTTTCTACACAGAGATCGAATCACGCGAGTGAAAAGGAAAGCGCCAAGCGCAGATCACGAGCAAGACTCGTTTCAGGCCGGTAGGTGATACTCAATACTACTATACAGCGGAGACCAGCAATGCTGCTTGCAATAGATTGGCTCCTCCTCTGGCAATGTAGGTGTTAAACATATTAATTCCTGATGGGACTGGCACAGTCCACAGATTTAACCCTTTAAGGACCAATGTTGTCATATTAGCAGTCTGGTCTGCAAAGATGCCGTTTCAGCGTGGAGTGTCCCACTCAGGGAGCAGTAGTGAGGGGCTGATTTGTGGAGCTCCCAGGGCTTGATAAACAGGTCATTTTTTGCTGTTTCCAGATTGAGTTGACAGAGAAAACGTTGTTAAACATAGTATTTGGATACATGTGGCCACTGGACCTTTCATTTTAGAGACTGTTGCATTTTGTATATATACTATAGATTACAGCATTCTATATTTGAATATAGTATTAATGTATGGAATCTTGTCCCCCCAGCAGAGTGCAAGCGCCCACTTTACGGAGGACCGTGTGACTCTACACTGGGAGAGGAGCTGGATATTGGGGGGAGTCTCGCTATCCCTCTCCCCAGTCCTGATTGTGCTTTCCACCTCATCACCCCCCCAACACCAGCACCCCCAGCCAGTGAAGTCCCTGATCCCTCTTCAATCCCACCAATGACAGCTAATCAGGACCAAGGGACCACCCTCGAGGTACCCCAGCAAAACACAGAGCCCTTCCTGGAGACAGGGGGACAGTCCTACCCGGAGCAGCCTGTGGACAGGGCGAGCAGCATCTTCTCATGGTGAGTGCAGGGTCCATCGCCCTATTTATATATTAACTATTGACGTACAGCGTGCATGGTCAAATATTGGGGTGCACAGCAGCGTTTGGGGAGACGACCTGCCCAGCTTCCACCATGATGGCAGTAACATTACTTTGCTGCAATGCAAATAATAATAACAGAATGTTGAATTTTTACAATGAGATCCTGTCGACCCTAATATTATCTCACAGACTGATGGTATGAATGTTTTTATGCTGTGGGTTGCCAGACTGCCATGGTTTTTACTTTTTTTTTTGTAACATGTATAAACTCTTCAAGCTGTGGGGCTGCTCGCACAGTGTGCTCTTAGCTGTATGTAGCATTCATGTGCCGTGGACATGAAAGACGTTGATAATACAGAGGGGTATAGAAAGGTAAAAACTGTGATTGGTTATTTGGTTTCACTCCTGCAGCTCTCTACAGCCAGGAGTACTTTTGATGTCCAACCCCACAGCTTGAAGACATGATACGAGTCTTGAAAAATCAAACAGAATAAAACATGGACCTCTGTCAGTCCTGGATAAGAATTTACTCATTAAAGGACTGAGTACAGTGTTTTGTTCAAAATATTGATTACAGTCAGTGACTCATAATATATTCATCAATAGTCTGTATGTAAACACAATCATGACTGTACATCAGTACAGAATATACCTGTGTTTTGCAAGGATTAATAATATAATGTATATTTACATTAATTAAACAAACTAAAGAGTAAAACTTGAAATTTCTCAGATTTTTTTTTACCATTTTTCTATCTTTCTCGCACCTTTAGCCCTCCTGAATCGCCAGTTTCCCAGCTCCAGTCTGTCTGTGTACCGCGTTCTCTGCATCCGTTCCCCCCATCGTTCGCTGTCCCACTGGACTCCCCCCAACTCACTGACAGCCAATCAGATTTCAGGCTGTATGGGCCGGACCACCCCTGCGGAGCAGAATTTACACCCTCGGCCTGCGCGGTTGCACCGACTGGAAGAAGTGAGGATGTAAGTGCCCGAGGTTACCACATGAACTCTGAAATTCGATTTCCTCACTTCCTGGCCAACACGGGTCCAAAGCTGGGCCTGCAATTTTCAGGTCCACAATTACAGCGTCTATATACAGGGGGTGGCTGGATGTAAGTGTTATATTCAGACAGTGAAATTAATAGTGGGAGACGATCAAGACCGACCCCCATTACCAGAAAAATATTGCAGAGTTCTGGTTGTAAATATGTTCGATAACAAGTCTTTAATAATGAATCTGCTCCCAATCAGACATTAAAAGGAACCCATCAGCTGTTTAATGAAAGAACCTGTTTGTGGGATATTTCTTATTTTTCTATATTCATAATACGCTTGTGATAATCCTTAAATAATGGACACCCAGTTCATGAATAACTTGTACACTCAATCCAGCCACGAATATCCTCCATCACAGCCCCCCAACCTTGGAATTTAATCTCATATTCTCCCAGGTTCTGCCTGCTGGGTTTGGAATAGACCGCTGAGTTCCGTAGAGACCCACGTGGGAGGGATCATTCATAGGAGCTCTGCATGGTTTGTACTCATACGTTGCTGATTACAGCGGAGTTCCGGAGGGTTTAGGGAGTTGCTTTAGAAATGAGTGATGGGTAGAATATCTGCAGAGTTTCCAATACCTTGCTGCTGAGTTCATGAGAATCAGCGACAGGGCTTATTCGTGGGAACTCAGAATAAATTGTAAATAAAAATGCCAGGAAAACCATTAATTTGGACGCGGCCGAGTATTGAGTAAGTATTGAAGAGTTTTACTTTCCATCTGAAGTTTAATTCAGTTTATGCCAGACAAATAGCTAATGAGTTAATGAGTGTCTAGCACCCTCCAATTTGTGCGCCTGCCAGTCATGTCCCATTCTGGGAATTCTAAAAAATTAGGGGTTGGCTCCTTATTACTCTGCCATAGATTTAAAGAGAAACACACCACTTAAACATATTATGGATCGATTCCTTAAACAACTCTGAATATACCATACGTGCTTCCCGTATTTCTCCGATGATAAACGTTGCTCATTAAGCGAGTGCAGATGTGTAATAGTCTTACCAATTTACTGCTCCGTGTGACCCGCTAATCTAATGCCAAATTTTTTTTTAATTTTTTTTTTTAAAGCACATGCAAATATGGCTGAAATTTTTTTAATATACAAATCTGAAATCTCTTATAGACAGAACATCCACTAATAAGAGGAATGCAGAGCTGGCATTTTAACCCTTTAACTGTCAGCTATGTAATGTTAGCATTTCTGATACACAGAGGTTTATGGGCAAAAAATGGCTTACCCCTCTGACATGCAAAGGGTTAAGGATACCCCGATAACCCGGCTATGACACACAGTGGGAATTCAAAGTATTTCAAATTTAAGGTGGAAATAGCCATTCCAGTAAAATGCTCTAAATCAGCAATGCTCTCGGTTTGTCTACTTTGGCCTTACATTTGAATTCACTGTGAATTCCCATTTTACTGACTAACCCTGCTCTAGGGTTCTGGTTCTGCAGAGGCCTGAAAGTATAATTAGCGTTGTCCCCTATTATATTGCATACTGTTCAATTATTTTCTCTGTTCTACTCTTTGACTTTGTAATTATTTATCAAACACCTACTGTTTACTTGTTTTTGTTTTGTCTTGTACAAAAAAAATAATTATGTTTTGCAATAAAAGAAACAAAAATTAGTCGTTGGTTTCTGACGTGGTTGCTAAAGGGGGGATAAGCAGTGGTGCGGTTGTTAAGGGGGATACGCAGGGGTGACTATTATAAGATCTCCAAGCTCAGAGGATATAACAGAGGATATAACATATATTGTGTGAGTTAATCACTAAATTGGGAGTTGTTACGAATTGACCTGACAATTGCAAAATTTAGGCAAAAATTGTTGAGATGGATGTTGCTTATTTAATGAATAAATAAAGATGTACATGAAGGTGGTATACAGCACACCCATAGGCTATATCTGATTCTACAGATTTAACTATTCCTAACCAGACCAGTCTATGTGTGGATAATGGGAATTACAGTTGGTATTAGAGTAGATTTTGCTGTCCTGCAAGGGCATTACTGTAGCAGGGTGCCTGACTTGGCAGCTGTGCCCATATAAAGTCTGATGGCTAGCTATTTGCACCTGCAATCCTCCCCCCCCAAAGCTCAGACACCATTTGTCTCCCCCACCTCCTGTTCTAGCGCCTGTTTTCACACCTTGCTTACAATCCCCGGCCCAGCCTTAAACATCTGCCTGACACACAGACTTCCCGGCTCTCTGGGATCATGTCAATCATCAGACTTTCCCATTCACTCACAAGTACAGAAACAATGAATGCACAGATCGGGGCCGCAGAAATCTATCCACAAAATCTTGTTAGTATGGACCCGCAGAGTCACATACCGGAAAGCAATGCTTTAATTGCACTAGATTTCCTGATAATTCACATGTTCGTGAATAGGCCTGAATTAAATTCTCTCCATCTTATAGACGCTCAGAGTTTACTCCTGGGAATGTTTCTAATTTTGAAAGTTCGTCATCTCTCATTAACTCACTGTTATGGGCAAACACCTCTTTATTTTCCGCAGAGTGCTTGTTAGTCTAAACCAGTTTATTTACTACAGTGAGAATTGCTGGGAATTCAAATTTGAAAATGTAGGGTAAAGTAGCGAAATTAGAAAAAATTCTCCAAATCACTTGGGTTTTCAATACGGCAACGTCGACCTTTCATTTTGAATTCCCTGCAATGCCCACTATAGTAAATACCACCCCCCACAAGGTTTAGTGTCATTGATCTGTGAATTATTGGGAATTTCTAAATAATTTAAAGTTCTGGACCAGAACAGCCTCAATGAAAGTATAGCAAAATGTTTCCAGCTCTTTAAAAAATAAATCCCACTGAATTCCCACTTTAATGAATTATCCTGTCTCTGTCATCTCATCAATGAACTCCTCAGTAGGAATGGGCAGTTTCTTGGCGCTAACAAACTCTAGAATTGGATTTTGGTTTTCAAATCACTACAATTTGCTGCATAGCGCATAAACCCCTCAATGTCTCTCTCAAGATAGTTTGTTTTCTTTTTAGTTTTTTTTTCCCCTTTTTTTTGCCAAAAAAAACCACAAAAACTCTGCCGTATTATATTACATGTGGTTAACAGAAATCTGATCATCACACAAAACATAGCCACTATTTTGGTATATTTATCCACTAGGGCAGCGGTTCCCAAACCGTGTGCTGCGGCGCCCCAGGGGAGCCGTATGATATTTTCCCGGGGCTATGATGAGGGAGAGAGGAGGACCCGGGGTAGCTCTAACCTGCAGCTCCACCGGGTTCTTTTCTCGCAAGCAACACCCCAAATCTTGCAAGAGTGAACTCTAGCAGCTCCTGAGGCTGCCAGAGTTCACGCTCACCAGTGGGACCACCAGGGATTGCAGGAAATGTCTCCCCCTCCCAGGCAAAGGTAAGCAGGGAGGGGAATATCATTTTAATTAAAGAAATAAAAGTATATATTTGTTAATTTGCCCTCCTACCCACCACACAATAGCTCCCCCATACACACAATATGTACCCCTCCCACAACCTGCCCCACACAAACCATTCCTGTACACGCACACTCCACCCCTCACACCCACATACATAGAGACACATACTAGAGCCCCTACCCGGCAGACACCAGATAAGTTGCCCTCGGAGGGAACTAATGGCCCCATAAGCACTACAACGTAATGGATTGGTTATTGTGCCTGGAATAGTTTCTTTAAATAATGTACGCGTGCCACTGATTGGGGCCCAGTATATGCCACATCTCTGTACATATATACAACCTAGAACATATATTGACTTGGGGTGTCTTGGAAAAATATTGACATATTAAGGGCGCCTTAAACCTAAAAAGTTTAGGGACCACTGCACTAGGGTTTATACCGCCACCTTGTGTACAAGTGTCATAATGCAGCATCACCTCAAACACCATAACCACTTCAGTGATTTGAAGAGGAAGTCTTTTTTTTTTTTAGAAACACTGCACATGTCGAGTTTAACCCCTTGCCTGCCTAAGTTGTAACTCCACCTTGCAGCAGTGTCATAGAGGTGTGATTAGGCAGCCTGGAATAATGTCAATGACTGGCGGGTGTGTTGGCCACCAGCTTGTGTTGTGCTTTGCCCAATTAAAACTACTATATTGACAACTCTCTACATTAGACAGCATAGATTGAAGATAAAAGCCACTTAACATCTCAAAGACAAATAATGGACAGTGAGCCGCATAAACCATACAATAAAGAAATCAATGTGGATTCAAAGTGAATTTAAAATTTTTGGTCAAAATAGCAATATTGGAAAATCCTCCAAGCCAATTAAGTTTTCAATTCAGCTATTTCGGTCCAATATTTAAAATTTACCTTGAATTCTTGGCAATTCATATTTTACAGCACAATTTGGCCATTTGAGGCCAAATTTTGAAATGGTCTTTACAATTCGCCACAATACAAATGCTATTTATCTACCACAATGCGACATGTTGCAGTATATCTGAACACATTTATAATCTCATTAGAAGAGGAGCTAAAAATATACAAGAGATGCTCTGCAGCAGACCTGGTAACGCAAAGCAATTAAGGAGGCACTGTGAGAGACGCACTGTGCAAATCAATAAAAAGTTAAAAATAGTATAGACAAATCCAAGTGAAGGTTTAAAAAAAAAAAAAAAAAATATGGATTTCACTATTTTCAAGTTGAGGAAAGAACGCTTTCTCCCCCTCCTGGGAAAGAACATAATTGCAAGTACTTGGGAAATATTTGTTTACCAGTGAAATCACAGCAGGAGCCCAAATTATCCTCAGGCAGAGAGAGTACTGTGACCTTCCAGCTCACAGCCCATTGTTAGACCAAAGTTCTGCAAATACAGAACACTATAGACAGATCTGTTCTGACAGCCCAACTGGGTAATTTAACACTATAACAGACAGATCTGCTCTATGACAGGCTAGCTGGGTAATTTATCATCTTAATTTTTCAGTAACTTTTCAATTTATCGATGCATTAAGAGAATGACAGTATAAGACTGAACACAGAGGTCATGACAGGAGCCGATTTAGGGAAGACAATACAGAAACATTAACATTCTAATAACATAACACAGGTTTGCAGATTCCTAAACGTCATAAAATCCTGGTCTACATCTGAAGTATATAAATCAAAAGTACACCAGGAGTGAGAGAAACAGACTGAACCAAAGATATATATGATCTCGTGTGGATAAACATCGCCGCTCTGGAAAGGAACTCGCAGTCTTGATTTGGAGGCAACATTTTTGTAGGCAGTTTATATTAAATGTAGGTCCCTGGTATGGTGAGGTTATCCATAGCAACTTAACTCAAAATCTTAATATAATCTGTTATAATATACTGCACTATTGCATTTTATTAAATCTCTGGTCCATCTTTACCTCGCCCTCTTGTCAGATTTTTTTTTAGTTATCTGACCCAATGCTCAGTATTTTGCCACCATTACTTTCTATCTAGATATATAAAAATAGTCACTGTTCCTTTAATAAGGGGAGAAATGTCAAATGGGGGCCCCCCAAAAAAGTATTACCAACTGTATTGATTCAACTCTATGGACCCAATGATTATAATTTTTTTCCCGCCAAAATGTTGTGTTAAGAGATCTGCTGGCACAGCTTGATGCCATTTTGTAAGTTTTAATTGCGAGTTCTGCATGGTTGATAAAAAAAAAATATTTATTAAAAAGATCTATATGGGTCCTCCTATTAATCCCACAAAATACAAACGGTGAATAACACAAGTGTTTTACATGTTTTAGGTGATTCCACCCTCCTTTTTACAAAACAGAAGTTTATTGCAGAAGGTGAGTGACTGAAGCCATGATTGTTAGTCACGGAGTTCATAATGAGTTCATTTGACTTTGTCCCCATAAATGAAATACTCAGCACAGCACATGTCCAACAGTTCTAGGGTTGAGGTGGTAACATCTGGTGTAGTTTGTGGGGTGTCATGTACCAAAGGTTAAGACAAAGAGCTGGATTTGGCGGTTTCTATGAATAAAATATCTGTCAATGGATATCGAAACAAAATCAATTCCCAATATTTTACCTGTAGACTGCACCTGTAAAATGATTCAGAGTTTATTCAATAATAGATTTTATTTAGGAGGTACTGGTACTAACAAATTTTTGCACAAATCTAGCGTTTAGTACAAATTAAGCTGTGATATGTTCGCGAAAAATATTGGAGCAGTCTTGGTATGGCCTACATCTGTGTCGCCAGTCCAGTCAACAATTCCGAAAGCAGTCATGATGTAGGTTTGTTGGTTAGACCAAAAACTCCCGTCTTTATGCCTGGTCAGTCTGGGTCTTACGAGCAAAGGCACCAGGAAGAAATTAGGTGGGGCTTCAAAACAGATGTTAAATTTTAATATTTAAATTCTGCCAAGAAAAGCACTTTTGGAGTCCACTGATATTCAGATTAGCTCTCTTTTCTTTCGTATTTTAGTTCGTATGCCTTATAGGCAATAACAAAAGAAGAGAAAAAAAAAAAAAAAAGAGGAGAGGACTTTCACAATACTAGCTCTGGCCTCCCTTGAATTGGCTGAATTCATCCATGGAGACTGGGCCGGTTGTTGCAATATTAGCACTACGATGGAAAAAGATAAGTAAAATACCTTTTATCCCCACAAAGAAGAGGGCCGTGGACCTAATCAAATATTTCAACGCTATAGTGTTATCAATACTTTTTTGTATTTCTGACACTATAGAGCTCCTCTATACAGACACAAAAGGTGGCAATATGACCAAATAAATCTGTGAAGACGTCTAAAAGGTGATGTACAAGAAAAAGCTCAGCTGCCATCTTGATAAAGGATGGAAAATAAATCCAGTGCAATAAGGGAAAACGTTTGGTTTGATTTATTAAGTCACTTTTACAAAAACTGCATTTAATTACGTTAAGACACAGCATCTTATCTCTAACAAGACATTTACACATAGCAGACAGTTACTCCAGCTTTTGTTAATCTCTGCTATGCATATCACTCACTGGGTTTAGCAGATTATATATATATATATATATATATATATATATATATATATATATATATATATATATATATATATATATATATATATATATATATATATATATACATACATACACCATATATATACATACATATATATACACACATATATACATACACACATATATACATACACACATATACATATATATATATACACACACACATATATAGCATACACATATATATACACACACACACACACATATATATATATATATATATATATATATATATATATATATATACACATACATACATACATACATACACACACACATACATACACACACACATACATACACACACACACACACACACACACTTTTTGCTATTGCATCTGTAAATAGACTAGAAATATGGCAACCATGGATAGCTGGGCCACCAAGTGACAAGGCAGCATCCCACAATTACTAGGTATCTATTCACTAAGCTCTCAACTGTATCAAATTTCAATGTTTAAACAGGGCCCCAATAAAAGTCTCAGGATTGTTCCATTAAATCTCTTTCCATAATTATTAATTGGAGAACAAAAAACTAAACTTTGCAAAGAAGGCTTTAAATATTCCAAACAGAATGTCTGATGTCATAACAGCCACAAAGCTTGGCTTCCTGGCTACAAACAAGCCTACACGGCATCAAGGGCAGTTATTATAGCCTGCAAATAACAGACCTCTCAGAATCGCTCACCTGCCAAAATGCACCATTATTTCCTCGATATAAAAGCATTGACAATATTCTTTTAATGGCCAGTTAGAACATTTAAGAAGTGTGACCAACTCTAGTTTGGAGTGTCCCTTTAAAACAGATGTTCTGATACAGCACCGGCATTCACCTGCTGGCAATATACTGAGACATGTTGGCTGTGAGGATCCTTGTGCTGATCCTGCAGTAGGGCACTCATTTCACATACAGTAACTAGATACACAGTCTTCTTATTGAAGGCCGTAGGATGTGTGTCTTACAAAGCACTTACACAAAACTCACTATCAGGAGTTCTGACTGAAGTAGGAACTGCGCACACACATTTGGACAATAGTCAAGCAAACAACAAATTAAATTTTCCATTTTTTTTTTTATTGCATTTTCTTGTTTTATTAGCAGATTTCCATAGCTGTATCTACCAAAAAGTCAAATAAAAATAGAAATGGTTGTCTGGTGAAAGCAGGACAGGGGTGTGAGAGAGATGGGAAGTACACAACCACATTTTACCTACAAGTGACAGACAGGGGAGGTATTTATAAAAAAAAGGCCAAGAATTAGGGAGAATCAATCCAGTGTAGGTTGCGGAAGTATGTTACAAACATTTCAACCACGCCAGTCACCAGTGACTGCTTCCATCATATAGCCAAGACATGGTTATAGGGTGAGTAAACTCCTGGGGGAGAGGAGAGGAAGGGGTGATAAAAAAAAAAAAAAAAAAACCCTTGGTCTTAATACCGCTGCTGGAAGAATACAAAAACACCACTCCTTCAGTTGGTAGAACCACAGCACCATGCAATGCACCCCATCTCTGTGACAGTGCTTGCAGGGCATCTTATGGTAAACGGGTGTTCTCAAAACAGTAAAGATTATACCGCCTTATCCTGGAACCCGTTGGGGCCATTAGACCCAGTATATGAGCACTAAGGCACTCCAAGCTGACAATTCCTAAAAGAATAGGACCATAAGCAGATAGTACAGAGACTGTGGGGCTCAGGGTAGAACAGAAAGGAATGATTGGAGCTGGGTTTTAGGAATCTTATAAAAATTGAGGAAGAAACTCCTGAAAATGCCTAAGAGAAAAAAAATTTGGTTTCTTTGCATACCATTGCCAAAACCCGCCACCCCTGAATGCATCTCTCCTTTACACCTTCTTTGAAGTTCTGCAGAGCATCAGCACATCATTTCTTAGATGCAGCACATCCATTATAGGGTTTGATTCAGTTACTTTCATCCTTGCTAAAGAAACCTGCAGAGCTTTACTGTCTCCCTTCCCTCCCACACCCCTACATAAGACATGAAAGCCAATCAGTTTAAAGGCTTCATTGACACCCTTTTCATACATGAAAGGTCCTCACTCCACTTCCAATCACAGCGCCCCCTCCTGGAGATCTGCAGCACATTATTCTAAATAGACATTTAAAAAAAAAAAAAAAAAAGAGGTGCAAAGAGCAATGTTCTGCAAAGATGACACCAGCAAACTCCTTCCCTCGTAAGGTTGTGCTGGTCCCACAGAGTAAGAGGGTGAAAGAAAAAAAAAAAAAAAAGAGGTGGCGCGGGGAGACGTTATAAAGACACCTGGAGGAGATCATGGAGGCGACAAGCTTGGTGAAGCAGGTCACAGGAAGTAGTCCGCCACAGGTTTCTTGGAGGGAATGCCTCTAGTCTCCTGGGGCGCAGCCTCAAAAATGATGAACTCTTTCTGTAGGTGTTCATCTAGCTCCAGTATGGCAGCTACATTTCCACATCTAGAGTAAGAAGAAAAGTGTGAGAGCAGCCCAGTAGAGGAGTCATTGAAGGTAGTTACTAGGATAGGGAAGACCATACCTGTAACAGTAGTTTGGAGCAGACCACACTGTTAAGACAGTCTCATTGAAGTGCCACTTGTAACCCTCCATGACAAGCTGATGCGCCCGGCAAATCATATCGATGTTATTTGCCGCATTGAACTGTGCCACCACGTCACTGCCAAACAGGTATCCTGCTCCACGCGGGCTGACCCCCCAGCCAGTCGTATCTGTGTAAAAAAATATGATAAATTCACTACAGCCATCTGGTTATTGCAAAAGAAGAGAAAGCCAGTGTATATTCCAGTAAAGCAATCAATAGTATCTACATAAGATTTTTTTCTTTTACCTTCTGGATCAGACCACAGCAAGTCACACATGGGTCCATCATGAGGCACTTCTTGCTTACGGTCAATGGTGCGGATCTGATCCAGAGTTTGGATGGAAGGTGAGAGACCACCATGTACACAAAAGATCTGATGGGGGAAAGGAAGTAACAAGTTACAAATTGCATCCACTCACCAGTCAAGCATTTAATATGAGAAACCAAGTGCACTGGTAAAAACAGGAAACAAAAGTATTTTGGGAGAGCAATTAGGCTTAAAAAGTTTACAGTGTCTGTAACCCATGGACTTATGCAGTTAACACATTCTGCTTTCCTTAATCTTTTTGCATGTTCAAGGCAGAAAACGATTAATGTACACCAGTCATGATGAAGTTCAAGAAAAAATTAAGTGCAAAAAAGTTTCATATAACATTACATATTACACAAAATCTACTGCGCATGTCTAGCACGTTTTCTCTAAACTATGCAGGGTCAGTTCCTCTGTCAGCTTGCGCTGTGAAAAAACAGGTTGCTGCTTTAGCAAATTATAGCCATGAGAAATTCTTGCTTTTAACCCCTGCAGACATGGAAAGACTTAACTAAGGCAATAACTGATTTACATGGCAGTTTTTGATTTAGGAACACAATTAAAAGTTTCAGGTGCTTAGAGAGAATGTTATGTTTTCCAACAGCAGGATGTTTATACACGATAGTGGAATCTAGTGTCAGGCTCTCAACAGAAAAATATGGTATATTTAAAAAATGCGCATTTAACCCTTTATTTACCTGTATCTATGACAAGACCACTTTTCTCTGGTACGGCAGGTGAGTTAGGCAAGGTATCTCCAGATGTACTAATTACACCTGTGGGCCTTTAACTAGCGCTTCACTTCTATTCCCTTTGACACCCTCCCACCACAAACCATCGAGGAAGACCTGTCCTGGTATTTGTAGATACAGGATAATAGATGTTATTAAATCCATGTCTCAGTATGCAATACATCTATAGGTTAATGCATATATGTATAGCTCTGTATATCTAGGGGAATATTCACTAAGCATTGTATAGGTAAAAATTCATTTTCCATCAAGAGCCTTCCCCCAAAACCATTTTATATTCTTCACTATGTTGACATTAACCACTCCAACTCATATGTTATTTCAGATCTCAAACAGTTTCCTCACAATACTCTCATTTTATTCCAGTTACCTCCCTGTCAATAATCCTCACCTTCCCATCAATAATTGCTGATAGACTGAGGTAGTCAAAGATCTCTGTACAATACCGCCAGACTGTCACTGAGCCATACTTGCGAAGACACTCATCATAGAATCCGTACACCTGAGTGATCTGCCGACTCTCATGGTTCCCTCGGATTAATGTAATACGATCAGGGTAGCGGACCTGTAAAAAAACAGCACCATGTTGAGCTTGGAAATCATTTCATATAAATATGGAGACCAATCCCTTTATCTCCAAAACTGTCTCGAGTCTCACCAGAAGCATTTACTGCTCTGTTTTCCTTAAGGCAGATCTCGGACACATGCTCAGTGGCCCAATACCCACCTTTAATGCTAGAAGTAGAAGGAATGTTTCGACGCTGTAAAATCCTCGGTCAACAAAGTCACCCATGAACAGGTAATTTGTTTCTGGCACATCGCCTCCCACCTATGATAAGGAGACTTGAGTAGTTAAAAGGACTTGACTAACATTTAAGTAAGACATACTATACATAGCAGCTACACAATTACATAAAAGTACAAAAGGATTGTTATATTTAGACACAAAAATATAAAAAAAAAATCTATATATATATAAAAAAAAAAAATTAAAAGGGAGGAAAAAAAAATGAAAATATAAGAATTCTTCCCTTTTCTGCAGATTGCCTCTGGCATAAGGAGAGGATAGAGATGGAATACGATATTAATAAAGGAGCTGGCTGCGATAGACATTTCTAGGATCCACTCTCTGCTCTCCTGTACAGCATCATTCTTGGCTGGCTTGGAATCAGGACCCCGTGAATCGGCACACAGATATGGGGAAGGTCTTCACTGGCCAACAAGGAGACAGCTCTATACCATGTGTTGCAGTGGCAACCTGGATTTGACAAGCTCTTGAACAAAAGCTCCCTCACATAAATATTGGTTAATTAGTAGGCATTCACGCTTTCAAATCGGAAGGGAGGGTCATAGTAACAATGCATGTAGAATAATATGACATATTTTTTATTTTTAAGATCTTATTTTGCAGATACCTTTTTGGTCTCATCTTTGAACAAAGGAATCCTAATATTGTAAACAAACACAAAAACACAAGCACTCACCCTGAACAATTCCTTGAGGTCATAGAACTGGCCATGGATATCCCCACACACCTACCGGAAAGCAGAACACACAGTGAACACACATCTCATCTATAGTATAACGAAACAATATGCTTTTCTGCACTGTAGATCAAGCATCTCCACAATCAAAGGAGCCAATAATTCAGTGTCTCCAGGAAGAAGCTTTTAAAGGACAATGATCTGACGTTTGGTACCTCATGCATTTTGTATTTGCAATAATTGGATCAGAGTAGAACCTGTATATTTCAGCAAACACTTTAGAGTGATGGAAACAGGATAGGGCAGCATAAGAATATGATATTTTGTTACAGTTTTATTTTCCTTTTTGACATCTTTGACTATTCACCGTCTGACCATGCAAGGTACTAGATGTCAAACACACCCTACCAACCCGTAATTTATGGTGTGACTCATATGTACAACTGTATGATGCTCAATAAAACGTTTTAAGAAACACTATATAGAGTAAGGAATACAAACATGTATTCCTAACACTATACAGTCCTGGTGCCTTGTTAGATTATTGGACAACCCTAAATTAAGTAGAGCAATGGTCTCAGTCCACTCCATCTCCTTGGAAACTATCAATCTTGCTGATTTCAGCCAACCCAATGCTTTGTCATAGATAAATGTTGCGAGACTAGTGCGAATGCACAGCAAAATGGCACACTTCAATCAATTCCTCTTAATGGGCGGTATTTGATTGAGAACGAAGTTTGACTGTTTTCAGAAGGAAAGTGCTACAAGTGGCTGTCAGGAAGACTGGAACAAGAAGTTATCCCTGCATCATAACATTGCTGTATGCACTAAAGGACAAGTTCTTTTACATTGCAGGGTTAAAACTAAAGAGCTACTGTAACCAGACCACTTCATTGAAAGGAAGCAGTCTCTTTAAAGAGGAGGAAAATGAAAATATATAGGATATACCTAAAAATCACGTGGAAAACAGCAAATGCATTAGCCAGGACAAAGGGAATCTCAAATTTTAAATTGATACAAGTGCATTTGAGCAGCCAACGTACCGTAACAGGAGAATCAACCCTCTGGACGTTACTTTCTTCCACTAAAATTTCACTGAGAGAAAAGGGGGGGGGGGGGGGGGAAACTGTAAGACAAACTGACAGATTGCACAGCATTCAGATGTTACAAACAGTGATACATGCCACATTTCTGAAATAACATGACACAGGCTTCCTAATGAAGGGTTAATGGTTCGGCACTCACCGGGCCTTGGCACAAAGAGCTTTCACTTCACTTTCCTTGATGAGCTCACAGCGTCTCAGCTGCTCAATCTGACGGTCCAGGTCACTAATTTCTGTCATGGCTCTTCGCTGATGAGCCTCTAACCTGAGGGTACAAGTTTTTAATAGCTTTAGCTTCAATTCCTCAGACACCATTAAGCTCACATTAAAGGAAATCGCCTGGAGACTTATGAAGCTTTAAACTGCCTTAAGACCCTTCCTATAATGTATACTAGATTCAGACTTCTTGAAAATGGCAGCTTAACCCCGTAGCACCTGTACTGGTTTTAGGGTATTTTGGTTCTGTGACAGGTACAGGTTTATGTACAGTAACCCTGTTTTATGAGGTAGCCAAGCAAACAACTGCTGCCATGGCAATTAAGCATGGTAAAATTAGAGTAGGTATTCAGTTAGAGAGATAGACATATTTTTATATATTTTTACTTTTTAAAGCAAACTAGTCTCAAAATTGTCATGACAATTAGATTGGGCTACCAATCCCTTGGAGAAGTAGATTTTATTTTTTTGTTTGGGAATTTAACATTTTTATTTTTCTTTTAATCATTTAAAACGTTCTCTAACCCTAACAGCCAGTATTGCAGAGACACATGGTCACTACAGTAAATAAGCTTTATCGTTTTATGATTGAAATTCCAATCCAAAACAAAGATTGTGTCACGTTATCGGGAGGGGAAAAAATAAAACTAAAATAAAAAATTTTTTAAAACACATTAATAAGCTTATACTTTCTGTACAATCAGGACTCCTGAAGGGCAAAGTCAGATTGTTACAGGACTGTGCGATTTTAATGTGGTCACACCATACCTTCCACAAGACAGACATTAAAGGCAGCTCTATCTCCTGATGCAGTAACAGACTAAGGCCTTCGCTGGCTATTTAAACACAGAATACTGCAGCAGAATCCATTCAGACCCTACAATCCACGAAAAGGCCACAGAGTCCCCAAGTATAATTTACAAGCGCTGAAGACTTTAGGTTTAGTGAATAAGCTGGTAGGTGTTTTATCAGAAAGGATACAGTTTCTACTAAGTATTTACAAAGTAACACAATTAAAGACCATTTTCTACCAGGGGTAGGCTACCTTCAGCACTTCAGATGTTGTGGACTGCATCTTCCATGATGCTTTGCCAGCAATATGGCTGTATGAGCATTAATGAGATGTGGTCCATAACCTCTGCCTATCCCTGTGACAATGAAATGCCATGTTCAATACCATAACCAGCATTCCACATATAGAAGACAAACTGTATACTGGCATTACTTCCTAGTGGAACACAAGCCACCACTTACATAGCATCTCCCAGGAACAAGCCACAACAACAATCAGTAGAATAGAATTTTACAGACAAAGCTCATTTAAAACAAGACAAATAAGGCAGAGGTTTCAATGTCACTTCGCAACAGATTCTGCTTCTGCAATATAATGCCGTAAGATAAAACTCTTTATTCCTCTACATGGAAAGCAGAGGCTTTGTATTCCAGATGAGGAAATAGTCTGCATATAGTGTAATTTACAGTGTTGACTGGTTAAAATTATCAAGAGACTCCAAGATAAGAGCATGGAAAGAGGTTAGAAATTAGGAAAAAGCCTGAGAGGGGACAGAGGCAGATAACTGCAGCACAAAAATCACATGGTGTAATAATCCCTTTTCCTACAGCAAAAAAAAAAAAATCAGCCCGACAAGAATTAATCCAGAGCCGTCTCGTTATAACAGGTCTTGGGCGCAATCTGCTACTTTCCCAAACTTAATCACTACATAGACCTCAGTGCTACACAACCCTTCCTTGGAATACAATGAAATACTGGAGATTACTTCCTACCAAAACAAGACCTCAAACATATGTAATGCCATGCACAGATAACATGTAGTATCCAAGACACTGAAGCCACATGTATGTATCCCCTATACGTAGAACAAATCCATAAGGTACTGGTGGATGGTTATCCGACTATCACCAGCTCTTTCAAAGTATTTTAATGCAATCAAATTCCAAAGCAGAGAAAATGAACACTGGAACAATTGGCCAGACGATCCATCCTCAATGCTTTGACACATTGTTCCTCAGGATGCAACAAACAGAAACAGGAAAAGGGTCTTCATGAAGTATATGTATGAAGGTGGGCTTTGGAGAGAAATCAAGTCCCAAATTGCAGAACTGCCATGAAAAGGGTTAAGAGGTGCAATGTAGGGACTCAAATCTAATCTTTTATAGAGGAAAAGTGACCGTACCAGTTAGCGATCAGAGCTAGGACTGCACGCGCACACTGTGCTACAAATCGCAAACCACACACAGTCATGGAATCCAGCTGTGACGCCTGAGCTTACACAATGCCTCTAGCAGCTGACATTATCAGCAAGCCTGTCTCTGGCCTCCAGCTAAGAAAACTGCACTTTCAACAACATTATGACTCCGCACACCTCAGCCTGTGCAAGTCCAAAACATGATTCTAGTGTAGTTAGCATATTGTCCTCGTGGAACAAACATTGACACCCGATTCCTTTTAAAGGGATTTGCCAAACACTGGCAATCTCAGTGATTTGAAGTGGTCATGGTGTCTGTATCTGCACTGGTTCACCCTGCATATACAAAGTTTAACCAATTTGCTGCTGGAGGTGTAGCTCCACCTACAGCATTAGCCAGCCAGGACCAAGAGTTCAGAGTGGCAAATATGGATTTGTGCATATTTATATGAATGAATGGTTGGGGGGTCGACTTCTAGCTTCTGAAGTAGCCACATGTCACTGGCAACTGAAGGACACTCAGCACCCAGGGGCATTACAAAGTTTACTTCTACAGGAAAATCCCTGAATTTGTCCAGGAGGAACCGTAGAGCTCTCTGATCCAAATGTAACACAGTTGGCATCTTACTATTGAGATCCTCACAAGACATATGAAGGAAGCTACAAAGACCAATTAACTGTAGCATTGGGGTAACTGAGCTGTAAGCAGTTTGGAGTTTCTTGAACATACATATATCACGTAATTAATTATTAAATCTTTATCATTCGTTACACGGTGCTTTCTTCTATTTTACATGTTTGGAATGTGTCCCTTTAAAAAGAACTTGCCACGGGTCGGTTTATTTACATTACAGAAACATTCCATTTTAAATTGATAGGAATACTCACGCACATCAGGTAATTCCACCCTGTAATGACAGCTCCAGGAGGATAAAACCATACCTTGTGTATGTCTCTACTTGCAAGGAACCGGGGCAATGTATGTGTACAAGTAAAGGTAACTGGGGTGGGGGAATTTTATTTTTATCACAAATGGAAAGATTAGGGTACACATTAAGTTACATCATTTCCATAGAAATGTATCACCCCAAATAACAGGAACTTTCTTAAAGTAGTGCACTGAGATTTTTGCCTAATTTAGCATTAAGGGTAATGAGTAATAATATCAGCATAAGCAGTGATTTAATCAGGGAACACATTATGTACATGTCCACACTGAACTTTGTGATCCTGGGGCCATGTTAATTCAGAAAAAACTTTGAAAATCTAAACTAAAAAAGACTAGCCGTGGCTATAGTGGAGTTTGAGATTATTATTTTATTTTTTTTAAAGTACCAGCCTAAATCTGCGAGAAAAAAAAAGAGATATACAATAAACACACACAAAATGTTGAGCAACTTTTGGTGTGTGTGTTTATTGTATATCTTTTTTTTTTTGAATATTGGCAATACTATGAACGGTCATGTTCATCAAACCATTCCCGAAAAATAGTTTTAGTGTGTGGCAAAGTGCATTATCCTGCCATCGACACCATTGCCATGAAGGGGCATAAGTGGTCTGCAACAATCTCTAGGTAGACGCTATGTGTCAAAGTAACATCCACAAAACCTGATTCATCAGACCAGGTAAACTTTCATTGCTGCATGGTCCAGCACTGATGCTCACGTCACCATTGAAAGTGCTTTGGCAGTTTACAGGGGTCATCACAGGCACTCAGACCAGTCTCAGCTATGCAGCAAACTAACGCACTGTGTATTCTGAACCCTGTCTATCATTGCCAGCATTAATCTTTACAGCAATTTGAGCTACAGTTTATCTTCTGTGTGACTGGACCAGACTGGTTAGTTTTCTCTCCCCATGTGCATCAGCCTTGAGGGCCAGTGTCCTTGCACCACTTTTGGTAGGTACTAACCACTGCATACCAGGAACATCCCCAAGACTTGCTGTTTTGGAGATGCTTTGATCCAGCATCCTAGCCATCACCATTTGACCCATGTCAGTCACTCAGACCTTTTCGCTTGCCCATGAAATGCAAGAACTGACTGTTTACTTGCTGCCTACTATAGCCCACCCTATTAGCAATGTTATTCACTTCCCCTGGCAGTAGTGACTGCAACACACACACACACATACTACAGCTGCCTAAACAAAAGTGATTGCAGTCCAAAATGGCATAGACCTGAGCAGCGAGATTGCAGTGGCATGATCTATACACCAAGCCTGCTTCATTAAGTTAAAGGACCACTATAGTGCCAGGAAAACATACTCGTTAACACTAGCTGGACCTGGCACCCAGACCACTTAATTAAGCTGAAGTGGTCTGGGTGCCTATAGTGGTCCTTTAAAGTTGTTTTGGTGCCTTTTGTTTAGCTTTAAAGCAGAGTAATGGTTCTGGCCACCCATAGCATGGCCTCCTCAGAGATTACACTCTTACATGCTTCCTCAATGGCCTAATCGGTACAGAAGAAATGAGCTGTTGGGGATTCGTTTAGCATTAAACAATTACAAATTGTTTAACGGTAAAAAGGACTGCACCGGGGGACTTCAACCATTTCAATAAGATAAAGCAGTTAACAGTGTCCCTTTAACTGGATAGATTTGTCACGTATTTGTCCTGCCCTAGCAGGAAGCAAGTTGCCTCCTGCTAAAGTAATATTAACAGCAGCACATGCACTGTAGTTACTGTCACAATGCAGTAGAAATGACAATAGAGTTCTTCTGACCTCCTTTTGTAACAGAGTTCATAGTATAATCCACTGAGACTTGACAAGAAACCATATCTTTCTATGGACTTTTCTGGAAGTCTGCACATTTTCCAACACGTTTAGATGAAATTTTATGATCAGTCCACTTTAATCTTCCAGGTTTGCATACATTCTGAAGGCCTCAGTTTGGCATTCCAGTGTATACATCAGATACATACTCTGAGGGTCCACGACTGGCAGTACCGTATTATATAACCCATGGCCGTACTGTATATTATATTACCTACAGAATGAGGGCCCCAGCATAGCCATACCGTGTATATATAACCTACAGCGTGAAGGCCCTAGTATGGCCGTACTGTGTATATGTTACCTACAGCGTAAGGGGCCCCGCATGGCCGTACTGTGTATATATTACCTACCGCGTGAGGATCCCAGCATGGCCGTACTGTGTATAAATTACCTAGAGCGTGAGGATCCCAGCATGGCTGTACTGTGTATATGTTACCTACAGCGTAAGGGCCCCCACATGGCCGTATTGTGTGTATATATTACCTACCGCGTGAGGATCCCAGCATGGCCGTACTGTGTATATATTACCTACCGCGTGAGGAACCCAGCATGGCCGTACTGTGTATATATTACCTACCGCGTGAGGATCCCAGCATGGCCGTACTGTGTATATATTACCTACCGCGTGAGGATCCCAGCATGGACGTACTGTGTATACGTTAGCTACAGCGTAAGGGCCCCCACATGGCCGTATTGTGTGTATACACATTACCTACAGCATGAGGCCCCCAGCACGGCCGTACTGTGTATATATTACCAACAGCGTGAAGGCCCCAGCATGGCCGTACTGTGTATATGTTACCAACAGCGTAAGGGCCCCCCGCATAGCCGTACCGTGTATATGTTACCAACAGCGTAAGGGCCCCCCGCATAGCCGTACCGTGTATATGTTACCTACCGCGTGAGGATCCCAGCATGGCCGTACTGTGTATATATTACCTACAGCGTGAGGATCCCAGCATAGTCGTACTGTGTATATATCACCTACCGCGTGAGGATCCCAGCATGGCCATACTGTGTATACATTACCTACATTGTGAAGGCCCCAGCATGGCCGTACTGTGTATATATTACCTACATTGTGAAGGCCCCAGCATGGCCGTACTGTGTATATATTACCTACAGCGTGAGGGCCCCAGCATTGCCATACTATATATATTACCTACAGCGTGAGGGCCCCAGCATGGCCGTACTGTGTATATATTACCTACAGCGTGAGGGCCCCAGCTTGCCCATGCTGTGTATATATTACCTACAGCGTGAGAGCACCAGCATGGCCGTGCTGTGTATATATTACCTACAGTGTGAGGGCCCCAGCTTGCCCGTGCTGTGTATATACACACACTATGAAAAACAGCCATATACCATTATCCCTCCGACAACAAACTGTACAGTTGGCACACTGCAGTCAGGTAGGGAACATTCTCCTGACATTCACAAAATCCAGACTTGTCCATTAGACTGCCAGAGAAGGGTGATTCTTCACTCCACAGAAGACGTTTCCACTGCTCTAGAGTCCAAAGGTTGTGTGCTTTACACTACCTAATCCAAAGCTTGACATTGTACTTGACAGCAAGGTTTTGTGAGGCTTGAACACAGCTGCTCAGCCATGGAAATTCATTCCATGCAGCTCCCACCTCACAGGTTTTTCTGCAGATAATGAAAACAGAAGTTTGGAATTTTTCAGTTATGGAATCAGCTGAGCATGGGCGACTTTTACACACCTCAGCATTTTGTGACCCCGCTCTGGCTTTACATTACGGCTATTGCTAAACACTTCCACTTTACAATACAGTTAACTGGAGTATCTGGGATGAAATTTCACCAACTGCGAATGTGGCATCCTATCACAGTAATGGCCGGATCATGTGTATATTACCTACAGCGTGAGGGTCCCTGCCTGGCCAGACCGTGTGTATATTACCTACAGTGTGAGTCCCAACGTGAGGGACCTGTGCTCGCGCTGAGGGCACCAGCCTGGCCCTAACCTGTGTTCGCGCTGAGGGGCCCCTTAGGCCGGGCTGGGGTTACAGTGGGGGGCCCCTTAGGCCGGGCTGGGGTTACAGTGGGGGGCCCCTTAGGCCGGGCTGGGGTTACAGTGGGGGGCCCCTTAGGCCGGGCTGGGGTTACAGTGGGGGGGCCCCTTAGGCCGGGCTGGGGTTACAGTGGGGGGGCCCCTTAGGCCGGGCTGGGGTTACAGTGAAGGCCCCAGGCTGGGGTTACAGTGAGGGGTCCCTTAGGCTGGGCAGGGGTTACAGTGAGGGGCCCCCAGGCCGGGCTGGGGGTTACAGTGGGGGGCCCCTAGGCCGGGCTGGGGGTTACAGTGGGGGGCCCCTTAGGCCGGGCTGGGGGTTACAGTGGGGGGCCCCTTAGGCCGGGCTGGGGGTTACAGTGGGGGGCCCCTTAGGCCGGGCTGGGGGTTACAGTGGGGGGCCCCTTAGGCCGGGCTGGGGGTTACAGTGGGGGGCCCCTTAGGCCGGGCTGGGGGTTACAGTGGGGGGCCCCTTAGGCCGGGCTGGGGGTTACAGTGGGGGGCCCCTTAGGCCGGGCTGGGGGTTACAGTGGGGGGCCCCTTAGGCCGGGCTGGGGGTTACAGTGGGGGGCCCCTTAGGCCGGGCTGGGGGTTACAGTGGGGGGCCCCTTAGGCCGGGCTGGGGGTTACAGTGGGGGGCCCCTTAGGCCGGGCTGGGGGTTACAGTGGGGGGCCCCTTAGGCCGGGCTGGGGGTTACAGTGAGGGGCCCCTTAGGCCGGGCTGGGGGTTACAGTGAGGGCCCCTGGTATAACACCCGGTTATGACGTGTTTCCGGCCCCCAGGTCGGTACATTACCGGAAGCTGTGACGTGGTTCCGGGGCCCCGGCCTCACTCGGTGTCTCCCTCACCTGGCGCGGTGTCGGGCGGTCCCTGGGCAGCGGGGAGATCGCTCGGTGCCCGGCCTCGTGTTCGGTGTTTCCCCGGCTCCTCCTTCCGGTGTCTCCCGCTTCCTCCTCCTCACACCGAGCGCAAAGCACCGCGAGAGGATGACGTCAACACGATCCACGCAACTCCCAGCGGTCTCTGGGCGCGCGCGCGCTCCCTCCCTAGCAACGGGCCGTGCGTTTCCTGCCTAGCAACGGGGCCTCGCGCGAACTCGTGACGAGAAAAGAGCGCGGAAGGCTTGGATTTTGAATAGGAGAACTTTATCAGCAAAGTAACAATCAGAGGGAGTCACGTGACTGGAGTGTTACCATGGCAACTTGTACAGACTGCAAGGCCCATCAGTCTGAGGCTGTCAGTGGATGGTTTAGTCTCCCTGAGATAGAGGAGGTGGTTGTGGTGTCCCAGGCTGCAGGACACACAGGGCTATTCACATCCTCTGCCAGCTGTGCTGTCACTGCAGCTTGTCTGAGAATAGCCCTGAGTGTCTCCAGCATGGGGGTGGGCAGGGCAGGAAGAGTGCTGCCCCCCTGTACACACCATTTCATTATTATTATTTATAAAGCGCCAACAGAGTCTGCAGCGCAGTACAATTCATCAATGATCCCCTCCTGCAGCATAAACCACACAGCGAGAACGTGTCATAGATTGCAATATATATCAATAAAAATAATACAGTTACCACAGCGCGTGAGGAGAGCGTTATTAATAAACATACCCCCCCAATACACTCAGAATGGGTTACGGTCACCGAATTACTATATACTTAAAGGAACACTATAGTCACCTAAATTACTTTAGCTAAATAAAACAGTTTTAGTGTATAGATCATTCCCCTGCAATGTCACTGCTCAATTCACTGTCATTTAGGAGTTAAATCACTTTGTTTCTGTTTATGCAGCCCTAGCCACACCTCCCCTGGCTATGATTGACAGAGCCTGCATGAAAAAAAAAACTGGTTTCACTTTCAAACAGATGTAATTTACCTTAAATAATTGTATCTCAATCTCTAAATTGAACTTTAATCCCATACAGGAGGCTCTTGCAGGGTCTAGCAAGCTATTAACATAGGAGGGGATAAGAAAATCTTAATTAAACAGAACTTGCAATAAAGAAAGCCTAAACAGGACTCTCTTTACAGGAAGTGTTTATGGAAGGCTGTGCAAGTCACATGCAGGGAGGTGTGACTAGGGTTCATAAACAAAGGGATTTAACTCCTAAATGGCAGAGGATTGAGCAGTGAGGCTGCAGGGGCATGTTCTATACACCCAAACTGCTTCATTAAGCTAAAGTTGTTCAGGTGACTATAGTGTCCCTTTAATACACTCAGAATGGGTTATAATCACTGAATTACTATATACCTAATACCAGAATGGGTTATGGTCACTGAATTAATATATAATTAATACACTCAGTATTGCTCACCATCAATATGTATAATTGATATGTGTCCAGGAATAGATGGTGGGCCCGGCAGACCTCATGGTAAGCAGTCTCTATGGTATAATTTTTACTGTAGGTTTTACAGATATATTTACATACACATCTCAATGTCTTTCTCTGATCTCTTTCGTAACTTACTTAGTGTATTAGTAAAGACAGATACTATTGTGGTGAGCTTCAGGATGCTAGTGCAATAGTCTGTGCAGGTTACATAACATTACGTGACGCCATGAAACATAGAATGTGACGGCAGATAAAAACCATTCGGCCCATCTAGTCTGCCCAATTTTCTAAATACTTTCATTAGTCTCTGGCCTTATATCTTATAGTTAGGATAGCCTTATGCCTATCCCATGCATGCTTAAACTCCTTTACTGTGTTAACCTCTACCACTTCAGCTGGAAGGCTATTCCATGCATCCACTACCCTCTCAGTAAAGTAATACTTCCTGATATTATTTTTAAACCTTTGTCCCTCTAATTTAAGACTATGTCCTCTTGTTGTGGTAGTTTTTCTTCTTTTAAATATAGTCTCCTCCTTTACTGTGTTGATTCCCTTTATATATTTAAATGTTTCAATCATATCCCCCCTGTCTCGTCTTTCCTCCAAGCTATTCATGTTAAGATCCTTTAACCTTTCCTGGTAAGTTTTATCCTGCAATCCATGAACCAGTTTAGTAGCCCTTCTCTGAACCCTCTCTAAAGTATCAATATCCTTCTGAAGATACATGCACAGGGCCTGCGTACATCCATTTCACTGTGAAACTAATCAAGGCATTATATATCTTCGCCAGCATTATGGGTGTAAAAGCATTATGAGAGATGTAGTTCACAATATCTGATGTGCCGAAGGTTGACTTCCCCTGCAACTAGTCAAAAGACTACCAATCTAGATTATTATTATTATATGTATTTATATAGCGCCAGCTAATTCCGCAGCGCTTTACAATATTCACTGATTCTGAACCCTTCCCCAATAAATAGTTGAGATGGAATAAAAGCTAAGATTAATAATTGTTCTTTCCTGCTGTTATGGACCAAACTCTGCAATTTTTTTTGTCAGCACCCAGTTATTCTGGCTCCAGCAGAAAGCCCAGACATTTCCTGAATATTCTCACTAATGAAGCTACCACAGCTCATTGTTTAGTAAATATACCCCCTTGTGATGTAGATATTGACAAATACATGCCCCTGGGCTCAGGAATGAGGACATACAACTTCCTTATACCAACACACTTTCACCAAAACTAGGCTGAGGCTGTGAGCGGATTGCCATTGTCATCACCAATTAGGGGCCAAAATGGCCCTCATTCATGGCACTAACAATCAGCAGCTAGTCGGCACATGGTCTTATCATGCAATGCCAGGCAATGCTCCTTCCTTTGTATTTTAATAGGAAAATTAAACAATCCTTCTATGGATGACACATTGTACTTTAGCTCTGGTTCCCCTTCACTATTTCAAAACTCTCGTTCTTTCAAAATAGTGTTTGCAATCGAAACAATCTAAAATCATTTTCAAAAGACAATACCATATTTCAAAACCAGATATTCTAGAAGTGGGCTCGGAGGGTTTGGGCAGATTCTCAGTATGTGTGAGCAAATTAACAGGATGAACGGGCATTTTCCCGTGTTCTCAACTTGACTGGGCAGACTCTCATGTTGTATAGACATATTGCCAAGGTCTTAGAGTGACTAGACAGATTCTCAAAGTCTCATGCTGAATGGTCAGATTCTCACAATGAGTTTTCAAGTCTTGGTGAACAGGTGCATTCTCAGAGTGAGTTGACAGATTACCAAGAAGTCTCACAGTGAGTGGGCAGATTCTCAGGGTTTTTGGGTGAATGATGGGGTCATAGTAGGCATTGGCAGATTCTCAGGATTATGGGTTTTTTGACACCTCCTGTCAATACACAGTTAGAAGATGAGCTAAAACGTGTACAATGCAACATGTTCCCAGTGTTTATATTTTCAAACACCTTCTCGTTGTGAATGTTTGTATAACGCAGAATTTCCTTGAATACTGCCATATAACAGGTCACTAAATATATTAATAGGTAATTTTATATAAGGATATACACAACCCAACTGCACATTACAATGTAATGAAATCATATCGTTTATTGCATTTTGTAAAATATTGAACAAAAAAATAATCTGTATGGAAGCTGGTGACCTCCTGTAGAGGGTGTGTACAGAAACCCAGGCGAAATGATCAGGTTTACGTTGGCTCACATCAAGTCTTCATATCTGATTTAATAAAGTGTGCTTGCCAAAGCATGCCCAATCTCACCCAGACTTGTGCAAGAATACAAATAGGATATGATGCGTACAGATTATTCCCTGCGTATCAGATCAGTGTGACTTCCTGGACACACACTTATTCAACATGCTGCAGTGCTGTGAATAAAAAGTGCTACCCAGCAGTTTGTAGAATTCATACACTGCCCAGGCGAAAGCAACTCATTCTTCACAAGGTTATTCACAAGAAACTAGTTATTTTCACTCCAGCAGCATATGATTTCTACATACAACCATATAATTCTGAGCAGTGCAAAGTTACATGTGCCTGGTAAACATGGAGGACGGGGGAATCACAACTCGAATACTGGCAGGTTCATTAAAGTTAGTTGTTTATTGGCTAAATTGGGTATTGTAGAGAAATGACAATTGAATTGCAAATTCTCGTGACTCGGCTATTGATCCAGCACATTTCCTAAACTTTTCGATATCCTAATCAATTCTCCATAATCCCCTGTTTAGTGTACAAACCCCACTGTGTATCCTAAAGTACTATGGGGGTTAGTTACTAGTGTGGATATTCAGGAATTCAAAGTGAATTTCAAAATTAAGTAAAAAATAAGCAAACCAGAAACAACTAGTGGTCACCAATTTGTCTATTCTGACCTAAACATTGGTATTTTGAATCCCCAGCAATTTAGTAAATAGCCTTGGAAGTGTTCTTGTTACTCCTGCAGTTGAGGATGTCGGAGTTACCCTGGTCGGTGATACAAAGTAATGGAATTAACACACACACACAGTTCTGTCATGAAGTTTTCTGCTTTATTGAGATTTAACCAGCAGTGACACAAATAAAGGTGACTCAGAGCTGAGAAAAGTGTACAGAAGGTGGACTAAAGCACAGGAACGTGAGCACACACTCTCCCTCACAAGCTGACCCATCGCACTCGCAACTCATAACACTCTGCAGGTCCATCCAGAATACTCAGAGGATAAGAATACTCATTGTCTCTCTCCAGCAAGGGGAAAGCTAACGGAGTAACGCTCTGCAGGGTTAGCAGGAAATGGCTTATTGTTCTGCAGAGGGACCTCACACACTACATTAAACGGAAGCAGCCATCACAGTGACAAACTATGGTATGAAGGGACACAGATTAATAAGCGTGGTTGGACACAAACAGGGATTCGCCTGCTGCGGCTCCTGCTTGGCCGGAGGGCACGTATTTTCCTTGGCAGGCCAGGCTGTTTGCCTAAAAGAGAAAAAAAATAAAGATCAGAATTAACAGACATGTTTTACAGAGGGAGATATCGGACAATGTAAAACGTTACGTCTTAAATCAAAGAGCGGCTGGTGGTAAGACTACTACAATAAAGGACAGCGCGATATTATAGCGCAATAAAGTAAACTGAAAATATAGGGTATTTGTGCACCTATTTATATTCAGGTCCAATAACAAAAATTGTAAACGATACTTAAAGGAACACTATATAGTGTCAGGAATACAAATATGTATTCCTAACTATAGTGTTGGACTATCTTTTAGGGTTCACGGCCCCCTCTCTGTGGAGAAATAGGGTAATTAAACATATTTTCTTGCTCGCCGCATCTAGCCCAGCTTATAGAAACATAGAATGTGACGGCAGATAAGAACCATTCGACGCATCTAGTCTGCCCAATTTTCTAAATATTTTTTAATTAGTCCCTGGCCTTATCTTATAGTTAGGATAGCCTTATGCCTATTCCACGCATGCTTAAACTCTTAAACCTCTACCACTTCTATCATGATCGATGTTCTCATCCAATGGTTTCCCATAGAAAAGGATTGAGATGCTAGCGTGCATGCGCAGTAAAACGCTGCGCCAATCAGCACCTCCTCATAGAGATGCTTTGAATCAATGTATTGCTATGGGGAACATTCAGCGTGTCCGTGCAGAGCGTGGAGATGCTGAACATAGGTGAAACAAACTAGGAAGCCCTGAGTGACTGTCACTAGAGGTGTTACTAAGTAGCAATGTAAACACTGCATTTACAGTGCTATACTGCATGAATATCAAGCTGCAGAGCTAAAACAGCCAAGCTCTCACTTTAGTGGAGTTTGAAAATTATTCAAAATCAGCTATTTTTTTTAAAAATATTTTTTTCAATTCACTATAATTCCCTATGTAGTGAAGAAACCCCCAAATGGTCTCCAAGTGGCCACAGGCAGTACTGCACGAGTATAATGTGTTGCGTGCAGTATGGTGGTAGTGTATAGAATGTGCTCATAGTAAGTAATTGTACCAGTGCACGCTTGGTGTACTCCTCCTGAGCGTTCTTGACGTTTTCCTTCTTGCCACCCCAGGTTTTAAGTGCGGAGGCCTGAAGGGCACGGCCATAGGAGAAGGTCAGTGGCCAGGGTTTAACCTGGGGGCAAGTGTTGATGGCATTCAGATGAATGGTGGCTTCCTCCTCACTCTGACCTCCGGACAGGAAAGTGATACCTAAAGAAACAGAATGACATGATCAGCTCTCCTCCAAAGGAAGTCTTCATAACTGGTTCCTCTGGAGACCACACCTCACATTACAAAAATAACCCCTTAATAATTACTGTCCTGTTTCCCATCTCCTTACCAGCAACAGCTGGGGGCACGGTGCGCCTCAGAGCAGTGACTGTGGCCATGGCAACTTCTTCAGGTTTGTATTTCTTGGTGCAGGCATGACCAGGGGTCACCATGTTGGGTTTCAGAAGGGTTCCTTCCAAGTACACGTGGTGGTCGCTTAGAGCCTTGTACACAGCAGCCAGGACCTATGGTTACACATAGTCCCTCAGTATACAGCAAACACACAACACAGGATTTGGTGACCACAATCAGAGAGTCACATACCTTCTCAGTCACATACTGGCATCTCTTAAGGTCATGTTCTCCATCGGGAAGGACCTCTGGCTCCACAATGGGTACAATTCCATTCTTTGGAAAGAAAAAAAACCACAATGCTTAGGAGAGGTCTAAAACCAATGGTTAAGTGTCTGTACATGCCTAAATGAGTCACTGGGCCACCATGGAATACATTGTCACTTCATTCCCTCCCCTCTTCAGACAGCCCCACTGATGTTGGGGTTGTTATTACCTGTTGGCAAATGCTGGCATAGCGTGCCAAGACATTGGCATTCTCCAAGATGGCTAGATGCGAGGGAGTGTGGTCAGAGATCTTCAGCACACAACGCCACTTGGCGAAGTCAGCGCCATCCTTCTTGTATTGGGCGCAACGCTCTGACAAACCGTCCAGTCCTGCAGGGGGAAAAAATAGCAATGAATTAGAATATAGGAAGTTCTGCCAAATAAAAAAAAGCTTTGTTTTCTCTTTGTGGTAGTGACCGTAGGCTTTCACTGGACCCTATAGCTTAGTAACTCACTTCGTAGAGTTACACCAAGTTCACCCAGTTCTTCTGACCTTCACCCATTGCCAAGACATTTCTAAAATTAAACATTCATCTCAATCACTTACCTTGTGTTGTAGTTTCTCCATTTGTTCCGGCCAGGGGGACAACACCTTTATCAACCTGTAGTGGAGGTGGAAAATATTATAGAATTACTCTAAAATAAGTACATTAAGGAAACCAAACTGTTCACCCCTCCCCCCCCTCAACTTGCCCATCGCTATCTTCCTACCTTGATGCCCACAACAGCACCTTTGTCCTTGATGACCTTGGTGAAAAGTGTGCCATCATCGGCTTTGTGGTAGAGGGTCTCGTGGAAAGTGATGACACCCCCAATGCAGGGATTTACCCTGTTGTCAGCTGTGAAGAGAATCTGGCGGTAGAAACGGCGGTTCTCCTCTGTGTTTTCCACTCCAATAGAACTCAGACGCTTGGCGATACTTCCTGATGAGGAAAAACATGGCGGGTTCAAGGAAACCATTAAAAACATACTAACTAAGGTCTGTACAAAGTGGCAAGGCGCCAAAACGTGGCACCAAAATTGTTTTTATAATACATAAAAATAATATTTTAGCCATCCAATGGACATCCCAAAACACAAAGGGACGCAGGATAAAATAACGTTTAAACACTACATTCTTGACAATATGTGTATATTTTTTTTCCACGTTGCCAATGTGACTGGTATCAAGTTTGTTTCTGGTGGTTGATATATTGAGGTTTTTTTTCTCATCGTGACCACAATTCCCTTACAACGATTGCATATAAATAATGCATGAGAAAATCCCAGAATGCACCTGTATTTCAAAATGGCTGCTTCTGTTTATGTTGCCATGGTTAGTCAGGCCCTAGTTACATTAATATAGACTGAGAAACACTACACAGGGGTAATTCAATTCACTAAAACTAACATAGCAAAGCTGTGATTATAGCCGAGAGGAAACATTTTTCCAAATCAGTTAAATTAGCTTCAATCTTGTAATTCTGTTTTCGGAATCATTGCAATCTGGTGTTTAGTTAATAAACCCCACAGCTACACACAATACACTTACCTAAACCAGGCAGTCCTCCCTACAGCACTGACCCACCTATTTACAGCCACCCCGTTACCAAAACCAGACTGTCCTCCTCCGCACATAACTGACCTACTCTCAACCACCCCTTACCCAAACCAGACGGTCCTCCTCCCCACAGCACTGACCCACGCTCAACCACCCCTTACCCAAACCAGACTCTCCTCCTCCCCACAGCACTGACCCACTCCCAGTCACCCCATTACCAAAATCAGACGGTCCTCCTCAGCACATCACTTACCTACTCTCAACCACCCCTTACCCAAACCAGACTATCCTCCTCCCTACAGCACTGACCCACGCTCAACCACCCCTTACCCAAACCAGACTCTCCTCCTCCCCACAGCCCTGACCCACTCCCAGCCACCCCATTACCAAAATCAGATGGTCCTCCTCAGCACATCACTTACCTACTCTCAACCACCCCTTACCCAAACCAGACTATCCTCCTCCCTACAGCACTGACCCACGCTCAACCACCCCTTACCCAAACCAGACTCTCCTCCTCCCCACAGCCCTGACCCACTCCCAGCCACCCCATTACCAAAATCAGATGGTCCTCCTCAGCACATCACTTACCTACTCTCAACCACCCCTTACCCAAACCAGACTATCCTCCTCCCTACAGCACTGGTCTACTCTCAGCCACCCCATTACCAAAATCAGACTGTCCTCCTCCCCAAAGCACTGATCTACTCCCAGCCACCCCATTACCAAAATCAGACGGTCCTCCTCCGCACATCATTGACCTACTCTCAACTTCCCCTTACCCAAACCAGACTATCCTCCTCCCTACAGCACTGACCCACGCTCAACCCCCCCTTACCCAAACCAGTCTATCCTTCTCCCTACAGCACTGTCCCACGCTTAACCACCCCTTACCCAAACCAGACTGTCCTCCTCCCCACAGCACTGATCTACTCTCAGCCACCCCATTACCAAAATCAGATGGTCCTCCTCAGCACATCACTGACCTACTCTCAACTACCCCTTACCCAAACCAGACTGTCCTCCTCCCCAAAGCACTGATCTACTCTCAGCCACCCCATTACCAAAATCAGACGGTCCTCCTCAGCACATTACTGACCTACTCTCAACCACCCCTTACCCAAACCAGACTATCCTCCTCCCTAAAGCACTGACCCACGCTCAACCACCCCTTACCCAAACAAGACTGTCCACCTCCCCACATCACTTACCCACCCATTACTAAAATCAGACTGTCCTCCTCCCCACATCACTGACCTATTTACAGCCACCCCGTTACCAAAACCAGACTGTCCTCCTCCCATCACTGATCTACTCACAAACACTCCATTACCAAAAATCAGACTGTCCTCCTGCAGCACAGGCCCACTCACAGCTTCACCCAGATCAGAATGCCCCCTCCCCATAGCATAGATCCAGTCCCAGAGAGCCATTATACAAACCATGCAGTCCCCCCTCCATCCACTATGGCACATCCAGATAGTACATATAGTGACCCTCACACTCACCTGTGGACTCATCGGCTGCGAGGATACCCTTCCCAGGGGCAACAATACGCTTTGCGATTTCATTGAGCTCCTTCTTCTGCTCAGGGGTCAGTGCAGGGTATTCGTGAGGCATGATGCTGCTTTCTGTGGAACAAGACAGGAAACTGTGCGTTAGCTTTTGGGAAAGCTCTGCTGTACAAAACGATGGAGGAAGAAAAAGCTCTGCAGTGCAAGAAAAGTGAGGAGGGGAGCTTGGAGCTCTGCAAGGTTACAGGAGAGGAAGAAATCTCTGCAATGCAAAAGGCTCTGCAACCTTGTATGAGCGAAGGTGCTCAGCAGGGCATATAGAGGGCTGTGGTTCTTCAGGGAGAGGAAGTAGACTGTTGTGCTTTGCAGGTATTTTGTATATAAAGGCTTGGAGCACTATTGTTATATCATGCAAACCGACGCCTTATGCACACTGAGGACACGCCTGGAGCATTAGCTACCCACGAGGGACACAGAAAACCAATCGATTTAACCCCTCCTCTGCCACAGCTCAGCTAATAATGCATCTCATCCTGGGAGGGGTCCCACAGCGCAGTGATGCTATATTGCACCACAGACATCATATGCTCGGAGATTGGCCTGAAGGTCACAGATATTTCTGGGTGGGTTCAGGAGCCAGGTGGCTCTTTTGGGAGCTAGGATGAAATGGGGCCCATGGAGACCAGTGATAGCACAGCATTTTAGGGGCCCTGGGGTGGGTCTCATCCTCCGCACAAACATCATCTCCCCCCACTGCAGTACGTAGCTGCGCTCTGAGGCTCTGCAAGGCCTTCAAGGTGACTGAAGGACAGCCAGCAATGTACTACCTGCAGAGCTCTGCAGAGACAGGCATGTGCCTTGCTTTAGGGGGGGAATGGCAATTTGGGAGGGATGGGAGAATACGTGCTCTCAGTCTTCTCAGCACTGTGTAATAAACGCAGCCACACAGTAACTGGTGGGGGGGTGGGGGGGTGGAGGGGTGGGGAGGGGAAGGAATTTCCTTCTTTATTACACGGAAATGATGAGGCAAAATGCAAACTCAGTGAGAGTCCCACAGGTCTGTTACGCAAATACAAATAGACGGAATAACAGAATAATGCTCTGCAACATGGGCAAAGCATGGCACAGTTAACCCCTTCCTGGATGGGAACTCTGCAACGTGGGCAAAGCATGGCACGGTTAACCCCTTCCTGGATGGAAACTCTGCAACGTGGGCAAAGCATGGCACGGTTAACCCCTTCCTGGATGGAAACTCTGCAACGTGGACAAAGCATGGCACAGTTAACCCCTTCCTGGATGGGAACTCTGCAACATGGGCAAAGCATGGCACGGTTAACCCCTTCCTGGATGGGAATTCCCCTTTCTAGACGTGTGCACCCACTACTTGCTCAAAATGATCGAGTATTAACCATTTCCCTACCAGGAATGAGCTGTAATACTAACCATTTATTGCAAAGAACCAGTTGCTACATTAACCATTTCCTTGCCAGGAACTGAAGAACAGCAGTGACATTAACCCTTTCCACTGTAAAAATAACCCTTCCCAATCCATGAACTGTAATAATCTATCATACCATCATTCTGCAAAGCATATTGGGATATTAACCTCGACCCTGTGCAGCAAGCCATCATTAACCCTTTCCCCAACAAGAATATAGAATAAGGTAATAGTGATCTCATTCCTGCATACACACTATAGAGCAGGGTGGAATTAACCCATTCCCAGCCAGTATTTTACAGATTACTGAGATAATGATATCAGAGGTGTCTACAGTTGTGTTGCAAGGAAAAGGTGTAATAGAATGGTATTAACTATTTCCCTGCCATGAATATACTGGATAATGTTTCACTAAAGAATACTCTGCCATTAACCTTTTCCCTGCCTGCAGTGTGACTGCATGTAATATACACAGCTTGCAGAGCATTAACCCATTCACGGCAAGATATCTATATTAACCCACATGCTGCCAGCAGCGCCAATCGTGAACTTTGCCTACTAACACAGAATTAACCCTTCCTTTCTCGTGATACTTACATATTAGCCTATTTTCAGTGCTGGGTTCTGATGTACTAACCACTGCACTGAGGCGGTAACACCATTGTTACTGATTTTCTTATAGAAATAAGAGTTTAACTCCTTCTCCCCTGTAAATGTATTAATCCCCTCCCTCTCTGTCTCCAAACCCAGCATTACTCTTTCCTGCCCTAGCCTCCTCCCAGGTCTCCTTAACGCACCTTAGCACCCACAGATAACTGTTCACTCCACCTCCTAAAACCTCCATTAGTTCTCCCCAATCTGTCCTCATCCACGGGCCGCCCTCCATCCACTTCTATCATGCATCCACCCATTACGGGTCTTTTTTTGACACCTGTTCCCCACATCACCATCACGTGGCCCCACCATTTATCATTCCTGCTTCTCCATAATTTGCCCTCTCTCATTACTGTGCATCCTACTAATTCTGTCAACACACTCGCCATCGAACCACCTCAGTCCCCTACCATTCATCCTTCTCAATATTTTCCCTCATCTTTCTCCCATCATCTACTCTCTCCATTATTTAATATTATTATTTTATTATTTATATAGTGCCAGTAAATTCTGTAGCACTGTACAATGGGTCAACGAGTCTTCATCCTCTCCCATTATCTACTCTCTCCATCGAGTCTTCATCCTCTCCCATCATCTACTCTCTCCATCGAGTCTTCATCCTCTCCCATCATCTACTCTCTCCATCGAGTCTTCATCCTCTCCCATCATCTACTCTCTCCATCGAATCTTCATCCTCTCCTATCACGGGGCACCATCATCTAGTTTCCACTTCAACACCTGCCCTCTCACATCCTTTCAAACCATCTCTGTCCTTTATTTTATCCACCAATTTATATGCCCTGTCCCCTGATACCTTCTCTCATTCATCTCCAACCATATAATCTCCATATCAAAAAATTTCCATGTTTGCCCACCACCCACTATCATAGACAGCTCCTTTGACTTTTTCCTCCATCTTCTCCCAACAGCTAATCTGCCCACCAACCAGCCTCCATCTTCTCCCAGCAGCTAATCTACCCACCAACCAGTCTCCATCTTCTCCCAACAGCTAATCTACCCACCAACCAGCCTCCATCTTCTCCCAACAGCTAATCTACCCACCAACCAGCCTCCATCTTCTCCCAACAGCTAATCTACCCACCAACCAGCCTCCATCTTCTCCCAACAGCTAATCTGCCCACCAACCAGTCTCCATCTTCTCCCAACAGCTAAACTACCCACCAACCAACCTCCATCTTCTCCCAACAGCTAAACTACCCACCAACCAGCCTCCGTCTTCTCCCAACAGCTAATCTACCCACCAACCAACCTCCATCTTCTCCCAGCAGTAATCTACCCACCAACCAGCCCTCCATCTTCTCCCCAGCAGCTAATACTGCCCCACCAACCAGTCTCCATCTTCTCCCCAACAGCTAAACTACCCACCAACCAGCCTCCATCTTCTCCCAACGGCTAAATACCCACCAACCAGTCTCCGTCTTTACTCCCAGCAGCTAATCTACCCCACCAACCAACCTCCATCTTTACTCCCAACAGCTACACTACCCGCAACCAGTCTCCGTCTTCTCCCCAACAGCTAATCTACCCACCAACCAGCCTCCCATGCTTCTCCCTAGCTAAACTGCTTACCAACCAGTCTCCCGTCTTCTCCCCAGCAGCTAATCTACCCCACCAACGGCCTCCATCTTCTCCCAACAGCTAATCTGCCCACCAACAAGTCTCCATCTTCTCCCAACAGCTAATCTACCCACCAGCCAGCCTCATCTTCTCCCCACAGCAGCTAATCTACCCACCAACCAGCCTCCATCTTCTCCCAACAGCTTCAATCTGCACCCACCAACCAGTCTCATCTTTACTCCCAACAGCTAATCTACCCACCAGCCAGCCTCCATCTTCTCCCAGCAGCTAATCTACCCCACCAACCAGCCTCCATCTTCTCCCCAACAGCTAATCTGCCCACCAACCAGTCTCCATCTTTACTCCCAACAGCTCGACTACCCCACCAACCAACCTCCATCTTCTCCCAACAGCTAAAACTACCCCACCAACCAGTCTCCGTCTTCTCCCAGCAGCCTCTACCCACTACCCACCAACCAGTCTCCGTCTTCTCCCAACAGCTAATCTACCCACCAACCAACCTCCATCTTCTCCCAACAGCTAATCTACCCACCAACCAACCTCCATCTTCTCCCTACAGCTAAACTACCCACCAACCAACCTCCATCTTCTCCCAACAGCTAATCTACCCACCAACCAACCTCCATCTTCTCCCTACAGCTAAACTACCCACCAACCAGCCCCCATCTTCTCCCAACAGCTAATCTACCCACCCACCATCCTAACCTACCTACCCACCATTCTAACCTACCTACCCACCAGTCTCCATCTTCTCCCAGCAGCTAACCTACCTACCCACCAGCCTCCATCCTCTCCCAGCAGCTAACCCACCTACCCACCATCCTAACCTACCTACCCACCATTCTAACCTACCTACCCACCAGCCTCCATCCTCTCCCAGCTCCCACTCTCCATCCCTCACATGTCAGACTGTCCCATCACTGGCTCCCTTTTTCTTTCCTCCTCCATTTCTGATTGCCTCCATGATGGCCATGCCCCTCTCTCTATCCGGTGAGTCTGTGTGTTCTCCTGGATGTCACTGCTCAATGAATGGGTCCCGGTTAACCCTTCCCTCCCGGAGCTCTCACCTCCTGTACGTTCTCAGCCGGACTGATCCCCAACGTTCCAAATCAGAACGTCATGTATCACAGGAAGGGGGCGGGGCCAAGCTTAAAGGGCCCCATCCATCCTGCAGAGTGATGGAGTGTGAAGGTCAGGCAGACACTGACATCATCAGCATCATCATCATCATGATCATCACCCACAGCACTCCCAGCCATACTCACATACAAACAGATTGCAAGGCTCTCAAACACAACACTACATATTACACACACTATATATTACACACACACTACATATTACACACTGCATATTACACACTGCATACATATTACACACACACTCTATATTACACACACTATATATTACACACACTATATATTACACACACACTACATATTGCACACACTTTATATTACACACACTATATATTACACACACACACTACATATTACACACTACATATTACACACTGCATACATATTACACACACACTCTATATTACACACACTATATATTACACACTGCATACATATTACACACACTCTATATTACACACACTACATATTACACACACACACTACATATTACACACTACATATTACACACTGCATACATATTACACACACACTCTATATTACACACACTATATATTACACACTGCATACATATTACACACACTCTATATTACACACACTACATATTACACACAGAGCTGTAGTTTCCCTGTAACTCACCGCATTGAGTCAGACTCAGGACGTGACTAAACTCACATCATCTGATGCAACTAAATGTCACCAGCCTGCTGTACCACATCTTCACCATTGCACCCCATAACTCTCTCACTGCACCCCATAACTTCCCCACTGCACCCCATAACTCCCCCCACTGCACCCCATAACTCTCCCACTGCACCCCATAACTCCTCCACTGCACCCCATAACTCTCTCACTGCACCCCATAACTCTCCCACTGCACCCCATAACTCTCCCACAACTCCCCTACTGCACCCCATCTGTACCCCATCTCCTCCACTGCACCCCATCTCATGCATTGCGCCCCAGATCTCTGTACACTGCACCCCATACCTTCCATACTGCACCCCATCTCCTGCATTGCGCCCCAGATCTCTGTACACTGCACCCCATACCTTCCATACTGTACCCCATCTCCTGCATTGCGCCCCAGATCTCTGTACACTGCACCCCATACCTTCCATACTGCACCCCATCTCCTGCATTGCGCCCCAGATCTCTGTACACTGCACCCCATACCTTCCATACTGTACCCCATCTCCTGCATTGCGCCCCAGATCTCTGTACACTGCACCCCATACCTTCCATACTGTACCCCATCTCCTTACATCTCTCCCCTCCAGTTAATTTTGAAAAACATTTTTATTTCATTGCAGTTGGCTGAATAAATCCCTATATTATTTTTAGTGACTGCATGCAGTAAGTTAAAGATTAATATGTTGTACAATGAAATCAAGAGAAATGTAAACTATAATAAAAAAATATATGCGTTGGCCGGGAATCGAACCCGGGTCAACTGCTTGGAAGGCAGCTATGCTCACCACTATACCACCAACGCTTCACATGGGGAGTGAGACATTGTAACTGTGTGATACTTACTGTGGAAGAGACATAGTTTGCAGCTATTACAGTACACACAGTCCATCACATTCAATTGTGAGAACTGACAAGGACATTTTTACTACTCCCAGAGTCCAGCAAGATAGCTGAGAAGTAGATTGTAAGCTCCTGTAATCAGTTCCTGATATCAGTGTAATTTATTTCCTACGCAGCATGTCTCCCTTGCATTCTGTATAGTGCATCGCTCTCTGTACTTGGTGTATTGCTGTGTCTCTGTTATTATTTCATCTTGATTGGGAGTATCCTGCGCTGCAGAACACGTTGGCGCTATTGGAATGAAAACGCTTGATCTGCAGGGAATGTTATGTGATAAGACTGTGTAATGGCCAGCAGGCAGGCGTGAGATAGAGGGGTAGGATTTGGCTGCCATGAGGGGTAGTTATGGTTGGATGGAGGGAAGTGGGGAGGTAGAGATTACCCCACTGGGGTCACATTAATACCAGCCAATAGACCAGCAGCTGCTAAGTGCCAGAAACTGATCCTCAACCTTCAGCCTCAAAAATAGCCTTGACCTTTCCAGAGAGACAGCTGTCAGCATCACCCAGTGTGTGTGTCTGTGTGCATTACAGAGGCTGTTAGTGTGCCTATATCTTAGTGTGTGTGTGTGTGTGTGTGTATCAGTCTGTCACATCAGGCTGCTGGTGTATGTATGTGTGTGTATTTGTGTCACAGGACATGCTGGTCTGTGCCAACATGGATGCGTCAATGGTAGGTGGTATGTCAGGAGTGATAGGTGTGTGTGAGGTGGCTGTTGTGTGTCAGGGGTGGTCGGTGTGTGTGTGTCAGGGGTGGTCGGTGTGTGAGACGTGGTTGGTCTGTGTGTGTCAGGAGTGGTCACTGTGTGTGACAAGTGGTTTGTTTATTTAAGGGGTGGTCGGTATGGGCATGTCAGGGTTGTGTAAGGTGCTTGGTTTGTATGTTATAGATGGTCAGTGTGTGTGTCAGGTGTGATCGTGTGTGAGAGGTGGTTTGTGTGTTTCAGGGGTGGTCGTTAGTGTGTGTGTGAGAAAGGTGGTTGATGTTTGTGTTTCAGGGGTGATCGTGTGTGAGAGGTGGTTTGTGTGTTTCAGGGGTGGTCAGTGTGTGCATGTGGTAGTTAGTGTGTATGTCAGAGGTGGTCAGTGTGTGTGTGTCAGGGGTGATCGTGTGTGAGAAGTGGTTTGTGTGTTTCAGGGGTGGTCGGTATGGGCATGTCAGGGGTGATAGGTGTGTGTGAGGTGGTTAGTGTGTGTGTTTGTCAGGGGTGATCGTGTGTGAGAGGTGGTTTGTTTGTTTCAGGGGTGGTCGTTAGTGTGTGTGAGAAAGGTGGTTGGTGTTTGTGTGTCAGGGGTGATCGGTGTGTGAGAAGTGGTTTGTGTGTTTCAAGGGTGGTCAGTGTGTGCGTGTGGTAGTTAGTGTGTGTGAGAGGTGGTTGGTGTGTGTGTGAGAAGGGGTTTGTGTGTTTCAGGGGAGGTCGGTATGGGCATGTCAGGGGTGATAGGTGTGTGTGAGGTGGTTAGTGTGTATGTCAGAGGTGGTCAGTGTGTGTGTGTGTCAGGGGTGATCGTGTGTGAGAAGTGGTTTGTGTGTTTCAGGGGTGGTCGGTATGGGTGTGTCAGGGGTGATAGGTGTGTGTGAGGTGGTTGGTTTGTATGTTAGAGGTGGTCAGTGTGTGTGTCAGGGGTGATCGTGTGTTCGAGGTGGTTTGTGTGTTTCAGGGGTGGTCAGTGTGTGCGTGTGGTAGTTAGTGTGTGTGAGAGGTGGTTGGTGTGTGTGTGTGAAGTGGTTTGTGTGTTTCAGGGGTGGTCGGTATGGGTGTGTCAGGGGTGATAGGTGTGTGTGAGGTGGTTGGTGTGTATGTCAGAGGTAGTCAGTGTGTGTGTATTGGGGTGGTCGGTGTGTAAGAAGTGGTTGGTGTGTGTGTGGTAGTTAATTTGTGTGATAGAAACATAGAAACATAGATAGTGACGGCAGATAAGAACCATTCGGCCCATCTAGTCTGCCCAATTTTCTAAATACTTTCATTAGTCCCTAGCCTTATCTTATAGTTAGGATAGCCTTATGCCTATCCCACGCATGCTTAAACTCCTTTACTGTGTTAACCTCTACCACTTCAGCTGGAAGGCTATTCCATGCATCCACTACCCTCTCAGTAAAGTAATACTTCCTGATATTATTTTTAAACCTTTGTCCCTCTAATTTAAGACTATGTCCTCTTGTTGTGGTAGTTTTTCTTCTTTTAAATATAGTCTCCTCCTTTACTGTGTTGATTCCCTTTATATATTTAAATGTTTCTATCATATCCCCCCTGTCTCGTCTTTCCTCCAAGCTATACATGTTAAGATCCTTTAACCTTTCCTGGTAAGTTTTATCCTGCAATCCATGAACCAGTTTAGTAGCCCTTCTCTGAACCCTCTCTAAGGTATCAATATCCTTCTGAAGATACGGTCTCCAGTACTGTGTACAATACTCCAAGTGAGGTCTGTACAATGGCATGAGCACTTCCCTCTTTCTACTGCTAATACCTCTCCCTATACAACCAAGCATTCTGCTAGCATTTCCTGCTGCTCTATTACATTGTCTGCCTACCTTTAAGTCATCAGAAATAATCACCCCTAAATCCCTTTCCTTATATGTTGAGGTTAGGACTCTATCAAATATTCTGTACTCTGCCCTTGGGTTTTTACGTCCAAGATGCATTATCTTGCACTTATCCACATTAAATGTCAGTTGCCACAATTCTGACCATTTTTCTAGTTTACCTAAATCATTTGTCATTTGGCTTATCCCTCCTGGAACATCAACCCTGTTACATATCTTAGTATCATCAGCAAAAAGACATACCTTACCATCAAGACCTTCTGCAATATCACTAATAAAAATATTAAAGAGAATGGGTCCAAGTACAGATCCCTGAGGTACCCCACTGGTGACAAGTCCAAGCTTCGAATATATTCCATTAACTACAACCCTCTGTTGCCTGTCACTCAGCCACTGCCTTACCCATTCAACAATATTGGAATCCAAACTTAAAGATTGCAGTTTATTGATAAGCCTTCTATGTGCAACAGTGTCAAAAGCCTTACTGAAATCTAGGTAAGCAATGTCTACTGCACCACCCTGATCTATAATTTTAGTTACCCAATCAAAAAATCAATAAGATTAGTTTGGCATGATCTCCCTGAAGTAAACCCATGTTGTCTCTGATCTTGAAATCCATGTGTTTTTAGATGTTCATCAATCCTATCCTTTAACATGGTTTCCATCACTTTCCCCACTACTGAAGTAAGGCTTACTGGCCTATAGTTGCCCAACTCCTCCCTATTACCTTTCTTGTAAATGGGCTCAACATTCACTAACTTCCAATCTTCTGGGACTATTCATGTTAATGATTGGTTAAATAAATCTGTTAATGGTTTTGCTAGTACACCACTAAGCTCTTTTAATAGCTTTGGGTGTATTCCATCAGGTCCCATTGACTTATTTGTGAGAGGTGGTTGGTGTGTGTGTCAGAGGTGGTCAGTATGGAAGGGTCATGAGTTGTTGGCAGTGTATGCCAGGATGGTAGATATGGGTATATTAGAGTGGCCTGTATATGTATGTCAGAGTCACAGGTATGGGTGTATGTGTGTGTCAGGGATGGTTGGTGTGTATGTGCAGGGGGTAGCCAGTGTATGTGTAAGTGTTTGTGTATGTGTGTCAGGGATAGCTGTTGTGGGTGGCTAGTATGGCTGTGTCAGAGGTGGTTGGTTTGTATGTTTTAAAGGGGGCCATGAGTATGTCGGTGTGGCTGGTATGGGGGTCAGGTGCAGTAAGGCTGCTGTCTTGTGTGAATGAATGTCAGTTGTGTGTCTGCGGCTGAGCGGGCGTGTGTATAGAAAACTAGATCACAACCTGTGCCTGTCAGCTTGCCCATTCAGATTACCTGCTAGGCACAGAAATAATACCTGTGACACCCTTTAAATCCCTGTCAGTATTGAATGAATGGTTAATCACCTGCTCAATTCAAATACATTCCATTATATGGTGTAATAAAACAAGCAACATTCTGACCCACAATGCCACGGATTTAAAGGGCCACAGACAGTTAGATTACAGGAATAACATTATAACCCCATAAAACATGAAGCAATATACTACACGTTTCCAAACTACGTGTCCCAAAATGCCTTGCCAGACTTACGGATGGCTGAGTATGATGGGAAATCATCAAATATATCTGTGGTGCCAGGAGTCTGTCATCGCCACGGATTTTGCTGGCGCTATATAAATATAAAATAATAATAACGAGTTTCCTGGCATCCCAACCAGACACAGAGGGCATTGTTTACTATACAGAGATTTGTTGTAAGGTTTAGAATAACTTCTTAGATTTGTTTCTGTACAGGATTTCTGCTTTGTATGTTTAGTTTTAATGTAACAACTGTGGTGATTAACGCAGCACAGGTCGCTGTTTAGTGAATATGCCCAAGCAGGTTAAACCGAGCTGCGTGGTGTGATCTGAGTGTGTACCTACAGAATTCCACCCCGAGGGCTATTACAGTGAGACAATAAGTAGTCTGGGCCTGTCCCTGCGCATTGTGTGCTCTGAGAGCCTTATGGGATTAAATGCTGGCCAAGGAATCTGCCCGTGTCAGCGAGATTCTAGGGAAAGTTGGCACAAACGCAGACAGACAGACAATGCCGGACAGACAGGACAACAAGTTCAATGAACAGACAGACCAAACTCCAGAACTACAGCGCAGCCTCGATTGGCAAATCTGCCTAAAAATGTATCCCACTTACCCCTTCATTCCGATACTCCCTCAGACACATGGAACTATAACTTGTAACATTTCAAAGTGATATAAAGGGACACTACTATGTTTGCAACTAAAATGTAATTTATAACAAGAACCAAGTATTTTATTTACACAGACTGATTTCTAAACACATTTATTGCAGTTTAAAAACACATTATTGGGAGTATTATTGCTGTGGAGCTCTGTTATACACTCAGACACATTACTGGGAGTATTATTGCGGTGGAGCTCTGTTATACACTCAGACATATTACTGGGAGTATTATTGCTGTGGAGCTCTGTTATACACTCAGACACATTACTGGGAGTATTATTGCGGTGGAGCTCTGTTATACACTCAGACATATTACTGGGAGTATTATTGCTGTGGAGCTCTGTTATACACTCAGACACATTACTGGGAGTATTATTGCTGTGGAGCTCTGTTATACACTCAGACACATTACTGGGAGTATTATTACTGTGGAGCTCTGTTATACACTCAGACACATTACTGGGAGTATTATTACTGTGGGGCTCTGTTACACACTCAGACACATTACTGGGAGTATTATTGCTGCGGAGCTCTGTTATACACTCAGACACATTACTGGGAGTATTATTGCTGTGGAGCTCTGTTATACACTCAGACACATTACTGGGAGTATTATTGCTGTGGAGCTCTGTTATACACTCAGACACATTACTGGGAGTATTATTGCTGTGGAGCTCTGTTATACACTCAGACACATTACTGGGAGTATTATTGCTGTGGAGCTCTGTTATTCACTCAGACACATTACTGGGAGTATTATTGCTGTGGAGCTCTGTTATACACTCAGACACATTACTGGGAGTATTATTGCTGTGGAGCTCTGTTATTCACACAGACACATTACTGGGAGTATTATTGCTGTGGAGCTCTGTTATACACTCAGACACATTACTGGGAGTATTATTGCTGTGGAGCTCTGTTATACACTCGGACACATTACTGGGAGTATTATTGCTGTGGAGCTCTGTTATACACTCAGACACATTACTGGGAGTATTATTGCTGTGGAGCTCTGTTATACACTCAGACACATTACTGAGAGTATTATTGCTGTGGAGCTCTGTTATACACTCAGACACATTACTGGGAGTATTATTGCTGTGGAGCTCTGTTATACACTCAGACACATTACTGGGAGTATTATTGCTGTGGAGCTCTGTTATACACTCAGACACATTACTGGGAGTATTATTGCTGTGGAGCTCTGTTATACACTCAGACACATTACTGGGAGTATTATTGCTGTGGAGCTCTGTTATACACTCAGACACATTACTGGGAGTATTATTGCTGTGGAGCTCTGTTATACACTCAGTCACATTACTGGGAGTATTATTGCTGTCGAGCTCTGTTATACACTCAGACACACTAACAATATGGAGCTCCTAGAAAAAAGGGACAGAGCGATTTAGGATCAAAATAGAGACTGTATTATTGCTGTGGAGCTCTGTTATACACTCGGACACATTACTGGGAGTATTATTGCTGTGGAGCTCTGTTATACACTCAGACACATTACTGAGAGTATTATTGCTGTCGAGCTCTGTTATACACTCAGACACATTACTGGGAGTATTATTGCTGTGGAGCTCTGTTATACACTCGGACACATTACTGGGAGTATTATTGCTGTGGAGCTCTGTTATACACTCAGACACATTACTGAGAGTATTATTGCTGTCGAGCTCTGTTATACACTCAGTCACATTACTGGGAGTATTATTGCTGTCGAGCTCTGTTATACACTCAGACACACTAACAATATGGAGCTCCTAGAAAAAAGGGACAGAGCGATTTAGGATCAAAATAGAGACTGTTCTTCCTAAATAGGGCCACTTGGGAGCTATGTGGAAGGGTTAAACGTAGTAATAAGACAGGCTAAGGGATTACTTTGTAGCGTCTCCAAAACCCTATTGGAAGCTGTGATGCCTTGACGTTAGATGCATCTAGTCAGTGCCTGGTGGTGTGGGTAATTACGGTAATCC